GGGGGGGGCGCGCGCCCGACACTGACACGAGCAATAGTCGTCTTGAATGCAAAGCCAGTACAACACTGATCAAAGTACTTTGGCCACTTTGTTTGGACTTTTACTTTGCCTGGTCGTGCTTCTTATTTGGGCCCCCCGGTGTGTCGCCAACAACTGCATTGCATCTGGACCCCAATGGATGGGAGAAGATGGCTCGAAAAGCTGGGTAAAATGACTGGGTACGCACGCACGCACGCACGCACAATATACAAGACTACTCTGCGAGTATTATTACTACGATTGTAACAATGGGGGGACCGCCGTCGGGTTCTCTGCTCCAGGCCCTTGGCTTGGCCCAAACGTTGCGGCCGCGTTGAGTATACAGCCACGGCGTGGGCTTGCCATGACGACGAGTTTAACTTTTCGCCCCTTTCCCAGCTTCTCGATCTCGGCCTCGGCCATTCTGGGAAAATGGCAGGACGGCCAGTGTGACTTATCTATAAAGCATCCCAGTCTGGCACCAGATTCCTGGAACGACCCATCCCGACCACCTGCAGCCACCTCACAAACCCCTCCCCCTTGTCCAATCTCGAATCCCATTTTGGAGCCTGCTATACATACGCGCCGTCTCCTACACCTACATGACCGCGGAAGACTGTTTCTGCTTACCGCAAGGCTGACACTGCATTGCAAGACAGACACGCGGGCCAACAGGACAACATTGTCACCGCCTTTGCCAGGGAGAAGAGTTGCCGTGCTCGCCAGTCTTGGTCGACCACGAGACGAGCAAGAAAAGCAAAGTTGTACAACGCGACCGGTCGTTTGCCCCGGGTTTGTCGACAGCCACAGCAACCCCCTTGTTGTTCCTACTACTTGGTCAAGACCCTTTCCGTTGAAAGCAGAATCGCCATTTCGCCCTTGACTCAGAGTATTAACAACACCCCTGCCGATATACTTCCCTTTTCCACCGTCTGGTACCCACACGTGCTCCGGTTCTCAAGGCGCTCTAACCGCCCATCCATAGCGTCAGAACAAAGCACCCGCAGGCATATATATGTGTATATATATACATGAGCGGTTCGCCCACCGTCTCACGCACTCCTCCTCAAACTATGTTATCTGTTTCCGCTCAGGATACCCGTCACTACCACCCGAGTCAAAACCACCAGACATACCTCCCTCACTACCGCCCAATGCCTCACCGTGAAGACACCCCTGTCATGAGTGTGCCCGCGGGCAGCTCTCCCGCTCCAGGGAAGAGTTCACAGGATGCCGCGGTGGCTCAAGCTCTCGAGATCGCCCGCGAGAGTCCGGACGGCGCCTCGGACCCTACTGTCAGCAAGATTCTCGAAAATGCCCTCGCTCAGATCTGGGGCAAGGTCCGGGATCAGCCCAACACGTATATCATGACACGGGACGAGTTTGCCGTCTTCAACTTCTTTCAACACCGTTTCGTCGGTGACAACGACGCTGTCGGGGCCCGAAGACGATACTGGGACAACTGCCGCGCTTGAGAAGCACACGCAAGTCTCCCCGCCATGGTATTAGCACGATACTGGTCGTTCCCTCAACGCTCCTCCCATCCTTTAGTTTTCTGGCTGGCCAGAAACCGCACTAGCTTCATGTGGCCGTCCACCAAGGCGAGCCCTTCTCGACACATCCCAATTCCGACATGCAACGCATACGGGCATGCCACCACCGCGTGTAACCAGCGGTCCTTTGCCACGAAACTAACGACAACCAAGGTCGGATCCAAGCAGAGCACTCTAGACGGCTGTGTTTCTGGCAGGATTTCGACCAAGTCGGGCCGTCCATGGTTGGACAAACTTTTACCGCAATCAACTAACTAATTAACTGGCTTGTACCACTGGTCCTGGTATGGTGGGAAGGGGGGGGGGGCGAACGAATCCGGTTGGTTCCTCGCGACCGCGGTCGAACGTCACTATGCCGCATACCACGAGTGCGTTCAAAGCACTCGGCTGGTGCGAAGATACAGAAAGACGGGGCATGGACCCCGATCCCTACAGGGGCATCGGACTGGACTGGATCGATGCCGATTGTCGCCTGGCTGCGGAAATCTATTATGGCGTGGTGATTGAGGTTCCCAGGCTGGCCAGGTCCTCACTGCTTCGGCCCACAACGGGACACCTGGACTGACTGCTGGAGTGGCCTCAGGACCTCAGCTCTCGGCATCCAATGCAATAAATAGTACATACGGAACTCTGATGCCGGCCAGCAACGAGCATTGTCTGCTCTCACTCACCAGTTGGCCTGATGCACGACCAATGGCGGCCCCATGGGCCCGCTGGCCACCGCGGGTCTGGCCCTGGGGCTGTCCCGGGTCTACCCCTGGACTGTCACTCCAATTCTGGGCAACAGCAAGTCGACTGCTCGCCAAGCTGTTGGCGGTGCAATTTGGACTTGCCAAAGCAGGACGATCTGGTGCCTCTCGCCAATCGCCGTCATGGCTGGCCGCGTCAGAGCCGAGGCACGGCCAACAGCAGCAGACCATTCATTATTGCGTGGCATGATGCCACCAGAGTCTTGACTGGCAGGCCAGGAGCCGTATGTACGTGGTTTGCGGCATGCGTCTGGGTCTGATGATGGCATGGTTTGCCGGAATGGTTCCACGTGTCGGCAATGCTGAGATGGCACCGCCATGTTCCACCGGCAAGTTGCAACAGTGGACTTGGTGCCAGTGCGGCGCTCCCTTGCTCGCGATACTTTTGTCTCTTGTGGTCGTGAGCAGGGCCCAACGTCTCGATGGGCGAATTTTTGTGGTGTAAATGTAAATATAAATGGGTATACATACATACACGCGCATGCTTTGCCCACCTGGGTAGGCATGCGGCCCGATGATGAATTCACGAACACGTCTCTTTTTACTCATTTCTGTATTACCTTTTTTTTTTCCTCCTACGGGTGGACCAGGACGTCGGATGGGGGGGTGATGGTGCAACACCTTGTCCATAGTAATACTACTAGACATCATTACGTGCGTTCTGTCCATCAAGACAACTGAAACACGGGACCTGGCGAGCAGTCTCGACCGCGCTAGGGTGACTGGGACGACTCTCACCAAGACGCGACTTGCACGGGAGGCTTCACCGGCGGCGCCGACGTGTTTTGGACGGAAGATGTCGTGACGCCCAAAACTCGACAGACAGTCAGTACTCCGTAGGCAGGCAGCTCTATCGAGAATCACGCTCGGCCCTTTTCTCCCGTTTCATCCTTTGTTCCCCCTCTTTCTTTCCGTCTCTCTCCTTGTCGCTCTCTTCGCTCCTTCGTCGCCGTGGCCGTCTGCAGCAACAAACAGGCCATGTACCATACGACGCGGGGGCCCGGAGCTCCGGCACCTCGGATGTCGACGGCGAACAGAACTGCCGACATGCTGTAGAGAGTGGATCGAGATGCCACGAGCGCAGCCTGCTTGGACGGGGAAGGGAAGGGCAAGGGGGAAGGGCGAAGGGGGTGTGAGACTGTGAGTGCTTGTTGCTTGTGTGCAACGATGCGCGGGCGTCGTTGATTGCGAGCCTGTTTTGCCTCTGCCTGGGCTGGGCTGGGCTGGGCTGGCAAACACAACCACAACCACAAAACGCGGGCAGATGAAGAAACGTCGCACAGACCCGGGCCGTCATTTTGTCCTGTTGCCAGCTTGCTTGCCCCCCTTTGTTTTCCCGGGGGGATGAGGCCCAAACCCACGCCCACCCGGCGCTGCTGACCTGCCTGCGCACTTGCACCTGGCGACCTGAGGACGGCTAGACGGCAAGCGAGGACGTGCGCGTGCGCGTGGTGCGTGGCGCGCGGACGACGACCCCGCGGACGGACGGACGGAGGTTTTCCAGCTGGGAAAGGGCCTTTGTTGGCTGGCACGGCACGGCACGGCACGGCATGGCATGGCATCAAGTACGGAGCGGGATGGAAGTAGAAGTGAAGCAGGCACGCAGGCACGCAGGGTAGGGGCCGAGGGCTTTGTTTGCACGAGAAGCGAAGACGAAGACGAGAGAGGCCACGGCCGGACGGGCCGCGTCTGCTCCTGGACGCCGGGGCAGAGGGCGGGATCAGGATCAAGACAAGACGGCGTCGCGGCGTCGCCATGAGGCATTCGGTGCCAGTGTGCCGACTCGCGTGTGTGAAAGGAGGGAGTCGGGGGCCCAGGCGGAAAAGTCTAATCTCCAGTTTTGCTATGGATTCTGGATTCTGTGATTATACTCCTCGCTGCTCGCCTTGCGAGGTGAAGAGAACGTGGCACGCAGGAATTCCGCGGGGCTTGGCGGACAAGATTAAAAAAAATGTTATTATTTTTTTTTGAAAATAAAAATAAAATAAAAATGTGCACGGCATCGATTGAGCGGGCGTGCGCGCAGGCAGGCAGACTCGGTACCGGTTGGCGCGGAAAGGAAAACGGGGGCTGCCCGCGGTCGTGCGGACCGCAGGAGGCAGGAGCATACGGTCCGGCGACGACGGGTCGTCTGCTCAGCGGCTGGCCGTCCGTGGCCAGCCAGAGATGCCAAGGCCCAAAACCCCGTGGCGACCACGTGTGCTGCGTCTTGCGTTTTGCGTTTTGCGTTTTGCGTTTTGCCGGGGCGCCCTGTTCCTGGCTGCATGTGGCGAGGTGGTCGTTCCCCCTTGTCCTCACCTGCAGTCTTGTACATTCCTTCCTGCATTCCCTTGGTGATGTAATGAGCGTTGGTTCTACAGTTTGCCTCGTGCCCGCCAGTCCCAGTAGGGAATGAATGACTTGGGCTCCGTGTGGGGCCGCCGCAATGCTGTGGCGCTGAGTGGACAATGTGCCGACGGCGCCAACTCTAATTTGAGGGCCGATGGGATGCTTCAACGTTCGAGAAGGATGCCGCTTGGGGTGCGAGCTTGGGGTTGGGTTGGGTCAGGCAGTCGGGCAGTCGGGCAGTCGGGCAGACGAGAGGCCAGGGTCGAGTCACGTCAAAGTCCAATTAGGCGCAGCCCGGTGGGATCTGGACAGTGCATGCATGCACGTTGATGAGGCTGCTGGGCTGGGCTGGGCGTGCGCACATGGGGGCATGGATATGAATGATGGATGAGTGAATGAATGAAAGTGCACCGGGACGTTGCTTCGGAGTACGTGGCTGTGGGCATGACAGGCTGGAGTTTTGACTTTGCTCGATTGTCTTGGCCCCACTTCTCGTTCTGCCTGTTGCCCAGACGGGCTCCCGTCACCTTTTCCAAACCAAACCATTGGAACTCGGGTGCCGCCATTCCATTTGCGCAAGACGGATACGTTCGGCTCGGAAACAATGCCTGCTTCCTCGTGCCAGACAGAGCGGCATGTGCGTCCCTTTGCGTGCCACGTTCCTCGCTGGCCAGGGGCCTGCCCGCTTCGGTTCAGCCAACACGCACACCAACGCGCACACCAACACGCGGCGCAGCTGGCCAAGGGACAACAAGACGACAGGGACGGAGAGTTTACGGGGAAGAGGGGGGAAGGGGCCCCGGCCCACGACAATATATTTAGAGTTTGGCCCAGAGAGCCTGAAGGATGCTTTTACCCGCCGGCCCGCCAGTCAAAGTTTGGACATGCTTGACGCCTGTCGCCTTGACAAGCCTCTTGTCTGTCTCTGTCTGTCTGTCTGTCTGTCTGCATTCCACCGCTTCGGGCGGGGAGTTACTCCGTAGGTGCCTGTGCCTGTGCCTGTGCCTGTGCCTGGCCGTGAGCGCGGGCGCGGGCTGGTCGGCAGCGGTCAAACAAGGGCTGCGTCGGATATCGAATATCCAGTCTTGTCAGAGTGAGTGAGCCAGTGTGCCTGGAACCGGCTCTCGTCTCGTCACGTCACGTCACGTTGCCGCGCTCATCGTCTTGGACGAAACCAGCAGCCAACCCCCTTTTTCCTTTGTCTCGTCTAACCCCCATTTATATCACGAGACGGCCGTAGACGAGACTACTGTGTGTGTACGTGCCAAGAGCAGGATTCGACCGTTGATCGTACGACCCAAAGCCTCAAATGAAACCCGTCACGACCCATTGGGCGACGTACGAAGACGGACTGGGGAAGGAAACACCTCAAGACCTTGCGTGACGCAGCATAGGCATGGACGCAGAGCGTGAGGAACGACGGGGGAGACACGGCACACGGGGAAACGGGGAAACAGGCTGAGAAATGACGAAGAGGAGGAGGCAATGTAGAAAAGCCCGCCGTCGCAAGTTCCAGGGCCCCAGCGAACCCGAATCCATGACATCTGCTGGTGATTAATTGTCTGGTATGTGTGTGTGTGTGTGTATGTACGTGCGTATGTTCTCAGTGGCCTTGAAACGAACACCGTCGGTCCACCTTGTCTCTCCCACACGCAAACGCCAGCACAAACAGACGGCCGCGGAGCAAAAGCCCGACGACAAGAGAGCAACAGAAGAAGGAACTCGAGAGGAAACAGTGCCCCCCCGGCCCGCCACGCCTCTGGAGGCGAACCTCGGGAACCGTTGAGAGGAGCCGTCTGGAACAAAAAAAGCCCAACAGTGATTGGTAATGCCAGCAACAAAAGTTCTGCTTTTGACTTTTCGACTTTTCCAGTCGTCGGCGTTTCACGTCTCGCTCCACGCCTGGTGCGGCCAAGAGCGACGCCACCGCGAACAAACTGGGGGAATCGCAGCATGGACACCTCGACAGGACAGGACGAAAGAAACTATAATGATGGTGTAAACTTTGTCCAGCTCTGGCTCTAGCTCGTCGCAGCTGCGCGGCCTCTTTCCTCTTTGGTGTTTTAGCAGGCAGGCAGGCGTTGCACGTTGAGGCGCTACGCGGACCTTTTTTTTTTTTTTTTTTTTTTTTTTTTTTCGGGGGCCCGCCTCCGTCTCACCTCCGTCTCCTTTCCCTTTTGGGTATTTTTATACGAGAGGCTCCCGGAGGCACCTTACTGCCCGGTGCTTGGGAGAGGCTTCGTGCGCGCTCTTGTTCAGCTTTGCGCTGGGCCTTGGGTTTTAGCTTTCTGAGATTCCAGAGATTGCACTCGACCCCCGCTGGCTGGAGGAACCCTGCAGAAACGGGCTGCGCTCGTCTTGGCCGTTTCGGCTTGCGGCGAGCGAGCGAGCGAGCTGACTGACTCCTGGTGCGGAGCAGGCAACTTGACTTGACTCGTGGGCGACTCGACTCCAAACAAGTCTTCAAGTCTCGAAAAGAGCTGTGCCACTGCGTCCTGCCACATGCCAGGTCGACGTGCGACGTGCTCTGCGGCGCGACGGGCCGGATGGTGTTTGCCCTTTTTTCCTTTTTTCCCTTGTTTCTTTTCCTCCTTCTCTCTTTTCTATACACACATGCATGCATAGAGGCGACCTGCAACGATGCGCATTGTTCCCCCGGCCCGTCCCGTCTGCCAACCTTTACATCACATGCCTTTGCTGTCGACTTTTGCCGCGGCACCGAACTCGTGATAGCACGTCGGATGAGGTGAGTGCAGGCACATGGAAATGGAAATCTGCAAACCGCGTCCGAGGACTCCGTACTCCGTAGAGCTGCGTGTCTCTTGGTGCAACGCTCCTTGCCTCTTGCTACTACTTGGCTTGCGGGAGAAGAAATGGTCTCTTGCAGGGTATGGAGCAAGGCAAATTGCAACCGCGCCATTTTCATCGCTTGTTCGCTTTTTATCACATGTATATTGTTCTGGGTTTTTCGTTTCTAGCATTTGCAAGGTGGCCCACGTCGTCGAGGTGCATACGTACTCCCCACGCGCTCTGAAGAGAGCTCTCTTCGCGGCTCTGTGAGGGGGAACCTGCCCGCAAGTGCTGCGTGGCATCACGAATACCGAGGTTCCAACGCGCACGCCCGTCATTTTCCATGGAGCGCATACGAGACGTCTGCCTCCCGTTCTCCATGTAATCCATACTCGCACCGACTTTCTCCTGCCGAGACGGACGAGACTGCAGACGGGGCGCGGCATAGGGTAGCTCGCCTGTTCGCCTCGTCGACTCGGCACAGAGCCGGGCATCACCTACAGACGGCAGACGGAATTGGTTCAATGGACCGAGTCATCCGAGTGAGCAAGAAGACGAAAAAACCACCTGGTTCCTGGGCCGACGAGACGACGGCATGAGCTTACACTTGCAACTCGGATGGGTGCTGCAGAGCCGTACATGGATCGCGGACCAAACGCTGCATCAACCGACATCCGGCTTGTCGAAGCCCGGCAGCGATGCTGTTGTATTCGCGGCCTTGGACGAGACCTTGCCCATGAATGCAGAGCAGAGGAGGCACAATGACGAGACGGCAAACTCGATGAGAAGGTACGAGAGGGGCTCCATGAAAAGGGGTCCAAGTGAGGTTTGTGACTCTCTCAGAAGCTACGCGCAAGGTCGATATACCGGGTGATTGGCAAGTACACGGCCGAGTCGCCGACGGCGACCCTGTCCGCGCGCGAATGACCAACATTGCTGAGGTTATAACCGTCTAGGAACATGTCCTTCGTTGTCTTGCTACTGTCTCCCATACACTCGCTCCGTCTCCGTCCATTTGCACTGGCACTTCATCAGCCAATACAGAAAAGGCACACGAACAAGCCGGGCATTGACGACGGTTTGCCCAATGGGCACTCCAGGCTGAGACGTATTGGCTCTTTGGTCCACGGCCCAACCGTCGAGGTGACTCATGAGTAGCCATGGTGACATGCCGTTGATAGTGGGAGATTGTAGAGGGAATGCACATTCAGCTTCAATATCAACACCCGTACTGGGGAGCTGTGAAATGGTGACAGGCGCGTGTCGTGACTCTCCATCTCGGCTGCATCCAATGTTCTTCTCTTCACAGCGGCACATTACAGTGACAAACGGGACGAATCTCCATGAAAATTACGCACACACAATCAGATGCAGCCCGTGGGCTCCGTCTTCACAATGATATTATACGTCTCCCAAGCACTGCCTCACACATTGCATCGGCACAGCCAACTTCGACGTGCCTGCTGGCAGAGGCATAATCGGCCTCGGACTCCAATCGCGCCACGAATTGATGACGGAGAAGCAGTCGACCAAAGTTTCCATGACTTACACAACCTGTGTCCGACAGAGCTGGCACAATCCGGCAGGGACTTTGGCACTATTGGGCCGAGACTAGCTCCGACAAAGCTTAGACGGCTGATTTCCCTGCAATGATTGATGTCACCCAGTAGCACAGCTGCTTGGAGACAAAAATCACAAAGCAGGCAAATGAATGGTTGACTCCTTGCAGGCCCGGCAGTGGGCATGCGACAGTTTATTTCCAAGGCTAGCCAGCCAAAGGCTGTTCATAGTCGGCAGGGCAGCTGCTGAGCTTTGGCCAAATCTTGTGATGGATGCTTACGACTAGTCGCATCGACGGAAGACCCTTTTGAAACCCTTCCCCGGTTGATCCGGGTAGCGCAACGCTTTCATGGCTGACGTAGGGTTAGGACGGCAAGCCAGTGACTGTCAATGCCGTCGGCCGAGAACCAATGACGACACAATTCTTGACCACCTTGGGGGCCCATGCGGCTCCTTGGAAACGAGCAGCTCGTCCCAGAGCTAGGAGACGTTTGGGGAGGCGCTAAAAGGCGCAGCCACAAAAGGCAGGGGCAACTGGCGGCAAGCGAAACTCGTTGCATGTCGTGTCCGGTTGTGTCGAATGCTGCATGTCAGGGTTCTGCGCAACCCGCTCGCAGCGTGGCCGCGCCAATTTTATTGGAAGCAGAGCCAGTGTTGTAGGCGTACTCCGCAAGGCAGCGGTTTTCCCTTTGTCCCAGTCGTGGGCAACGGATGGCCACGATGCGGCCTGCCCCGTCTTGCCGCTCGAAACGGGCGCTTGGTGATGCATCACACACACACCCACCCGCAACAGACTGAACATTCCTAGACGATTCGCGCCGCCGGTCCAAAGGAGATTGGCGAGCGCGGTGAAGCTGTCATGGTGGTTGGCTGAAAGTTTGGAGGGTTGGGATAGCCCTGCGGAGACGAGCCGGCCGACACAAGCCAGCGAAAAACTGGGTTCTTTAGCTCTTCTCGGCATCAAGCCAGCCCGGTGAGGTCATACATGGTCCATTGCTCCCTTGCAACTTGCCGATCGCTCCGAGGGACGGGTACGCGAGAAGAGAGAGACGAGGTTGTTAGGTGAGATGGAGGGAGGGAGAAAGCCAGAGGCGGATACGAAAACGAGTCCCAGAGTCCCAGCTCCCAGGCTCCCGAGCAGGTGCAGGCAGGTGCCCGCTGCCATGGCCCATCACCCATCACCACTGATGACGACGGACGGACAGTCGAACCGTTCGCTCCTGCTTCAGACAAAAAGGCCGCCGCCGCCTGCATCGCAAACCTTTTCCTCCCCTCCCCCTCAGATGTGCGTTTCATAGCAACAACCAAATCGTTCCCCTCCAGGAAAATTCAATTTCTCCATACCCCATATCACTCACCATAGTAGTCCGTAATTGGTGTTTACTCTTTTTCTGCATCCGCCAGCAGCCGCGTTTCCACGCTTGGGCATACCGATACTTATTACCGACGGCCCGTCTGCTTCAAAGCATCCTCTGCACAAAGCTCTCAAAATACCCAGCGTCACCAGCCGTTCCGCCACCATGGTCGGCTTCATAAACGCCATAGTCCGCTCCATCGGCCTCCTCTGGACGCTGCTAATCACGGCGCTTGTCGGCAATGTCATTGCCAGCAACATCAACGGCCAAATGGCCGCCATCAACTTCACCATGTTTGTTGCCGTTCTCGCATGGGTTGCCAACTTGTATGGCCTTGCCGCAGCCATCATCTCAAGCCTGAGCATGGTCATTGTTCTCCTCGCTCTCGACGGCCTGGCTACTCTCTTCACCTTTATCAGCGCCATCGTCTTGGCCGCCAAGCTGCACGCGCCCAACTGTAGCAATCTCCGAAACGCCGGGCTCTCGAGCAGCTGGATCGGCTGGGGCTCCTCCGACAACGAGAAGCGCTGCCGGGAGCTCCAGGCCAGCACCGCCTTCATGTGGTTCCTCTGGGCCTGCTTTTGTGTTTCCCTGTTCTTCAGCTTCAAGGAAGCTCGAGGCGGCGGCGGTCTTCGTGGTTCTGCGCGCTCTGGTAGGCCAAACATGTCCCAGGTTGGCGTATAAAAAAGGCCACTTACTTCCTCTTCCCTTGCAAGAAGCCGGAAAACAAAGCTGAGAGCCATCTCTTTTGCCTTGGTTTCTTTTCGCCGTGAACCAATGTTCCATTTCGACTCTGCTTCGGGCTTGACGTTAACTGTCATTTTGTTTCAGGCGTTTAATTCTTCTTGGACTGCCGTGGACCGACAGCTGGCTGGGCTTGCGTACTTGTTTTGTTCCGCGTCTTTTTCTCCCGCTCTTGTGCCATGTGCTCAAGCAAGACCTTTCCCTCGCTTTCACTTGGCCATGCCGGTGCTGGCCGCAGAAACTTGCATTTGCACACAACAGATGAGGCGCCTATCCATCAACGCAAAACCAAATGGATCAAGGAAGATGACATGAGCCTATCGAGGCGTTCTCGACGGAGAGAGGGTGGCATTTTTGGAAATCAGGGGATAATACTATTGGGTATGCCATACTTTAATGACGACGGCGCGGGCACATGGGCCAAACATAGACACTTATGATGGTTGCAGTTATGTATTAATCTATTGCCGTTATCGACTTTTTACTGACCGTCTTGCTCGCGGAGAGACCTGATTGATGAAATGGAAATAGCCAAGTTTCTATTGTGTAGATGATCGAGTGTATGCATAAATTCGTGCTGCCCTGGATGGTCCGTCGAGACCACGCTCATGAGTTCCTCGAACGCCTGAGCAATAAGTCCAGTTCATATGGGGTTGTAAAAAGGCAGATCGCCCGAGTGTTGAAAGGCGTCTCCTAGCCCATGTGTTGCGTAAGCTGCTGTCGTCTTCCAGCATGGCCATGTTCCAATTCCAAATGGATGCAAATGGCACCCCCTCACTATTACTATAACGTGGCCGCTGTCTCTACTACACCCGCAGCCTTGAATGCCTTCTTGTTCGTCCATCGTATCTCAACTCCGTGCATCCATTCCATATATCTTCCCCAACCTAATATCTTGGTTAGCGCCTTTCCTCCTCGAACATGCACTGCACCTGGGATCACGAGGCCTGCTGCACCAGGAATGGGAAAAGGAACAGACGAGAAACAGTCAAGAGGGGAGCATGCAAGGCAGGACATACTCCAGTAGGCAAATTTCCTGCCAAAATATTTACCCACCCACGGAACTACCATCATGGTCAGTAGAAGTTGGAGCTGCTCAAGAGACCGATCCCATTCGGCCTGGGCGTCGGAGTCGGCATCGGAGTAGAGCTCGCTAGAGGAAGACGTCGAAGGCAGAGAGTCGACATCGTCTTCCTTTTCGTCATAGGTGTCTTTGAGGTCGACCAGGGATTCGGCGGCCACCATTGTGACTGAGCTGGCGACGAAACGCAAGAGCAGCAGGAGGGAATGGGGAGCTGGGATCGGAGACGCGGAGAGGAGGACGGTGTTCAATAGCGTTGCGGCATCTGCATCAAGGTGTCCGGGGGTTGCCGCGCGGAAAACCAGGTTCAAATGACCTTTTCTGGCTTCGAACAATCCCTACGTCGTGAATTGGGGATGCAATAACCAGTAACTAGTTACCCTCTCCCCCGGAACGCGCCATGGCCCATGGCGACGGCGAGCCAATGACGACGAGCTGAGGCTCGCTCGCCGTCCCTCCCACGTCGCGATGCCAGTCTCACGTGGGCCATCACGTGAATAAGCGCAGGCCATTCACCGGCGCAGCGTGGTCGCCACTGCCTTTATCACCACGACGGACGGACGTACCGGACGTACATGTAACGTGATGGAGACGAACTTGACTCGCTCGACTTCTTCTCGTCACTCATGTTTGCTGCCTTGCAAGCAATCCAGAACAAGCCTGAGCTCCTTGTGCTGCACTTCTTCGCATCCCTCTTGTTTTGGCGACAAACGGATTACCACCGTTGGGTGAGACTTGGCGTACTAAAGCAGGCAGAGACGACACAAACAAGCACAGTAGCAAACGGTCGGGCATATCCAGGTTCTGCCGGCTTTGGGAACGTCAGACATGGAGAACGAGGTGAGAGCCGTCTCTGCTGTTCTCACGCACTTGTTTTTGCTCTCCTCCCGTTTTTGCTTTTTGGCTCGTCCGTCCACTGCGCGTTGGACATCAACGCATCGGGGTCTTATGCACGGTATGATTAATACCGGCTGGCCCTTCTCATTGCCCATTGCCCATTGCCCACTGCCCGTTGAGGTGAGCGGTTCCCTGCGTACTCCGTCAGCCCTGCCTGGGCTGGGCCCTCGCTGTTGTTGCTTGCCCCTCACTCCGTTCCCGCCAGTGCGGAATAGTGCGCAACAGTCATTGACGTGCACAAATGCGCAATGCAGTCAATGCAAGACGGAGCACACACAATTTTACCCCACCTCCACGCACGACTGACCAGCCCAGATCCGCACAACACCATTCACCATTTTTTGCCATAATCCCTCATCAACGTCCCATTTCTATTGGTGTCTGCTGAGAGAGTCTGCTGGTGCGCGTGGGAGTTTGACTCATCTCCTCAATAATCTCATTTCTTTTCCTGACCTCCGTCTTCCACCGAATCGCACACGTGACGCTCACATACACGGTGCGCTGAATATTCCATTGCCACTGTTCGGTTTGCCTTGCCCTCGTCGCTTCATCTCGCCCACGCTCTGCATATTTCTGATCCAATCTGCCTCCGAAACTGCACGCAGAATTAATCTTTGCTAATTTCGGCTTGTCTGTTCGCACTGCGCAGGACCAAAAAGAGCGGAAGTCTCGCAAGTCCGTCGCCTTCACCGACGAACAACTCGTAGTTGACGCCGACGGCTCAGTCACGATGGTGACCGCCACCGAGGAGCCCAAGGAGACGGCACAGTCCCATACGCCTCGTACGCCGCCGTTGTCCGCCGCCTTGGGAGCCTTTGCTGACCCCTCAGCTCAAGCCGCCACCGATGACATCCCTGCACCTGCTGATGGCGGCCTTGATTTGTCCCTGATGAAAAAGAAGAAGAAGAAGAAGGTCAAGAAGGAGGTCGGCGAGGAGGATGACTTCGCTGCCAAGCTGAAGCAGCTGGAAGTCAAGGATGCCGAGGATGCTGCTGCCACTGCCGTGGAGGAGTCTGGTGACATGGATGCCGGTACTGGTATCTGGGCGCACGACGAGACCAAGAACATTGGCTACAGCCTGCTCCTCCAGCGATTCTTCCACCAGCTGTCACAAAAGAACCCCGACCACACTCTCACCGGCACCAAAAGCTTCAAGATTCCTCCTCCGCAGTGCATGCGCGAAGGCAACAGGAAAACCGTCTTTGCCAACATTGCCGATATCTGCAAGCGTATGAAGCGAACCGAAGACCACCTTACTGCCTATCTGTTTGCTGAGTTGGGAACAAACGGCTCTGTCGACGGAAATAGGAGATTGGTCATCAAAGGTCGTTTCCAGCAAAAACAGATTGAGGGTATGGTCCGAAAATATATTAGTACGTTGCTACCCCTTCCTCCTGTTCCCATCAAGGCCCCCCAGACACATTCTCACCAACAATCTCATAGTCGAATACGTCACTTGCAAGACCTGCAAGTCCCCCGACACCGAGCTCAGCAAGGGCGAAAACCGTCTGTACTTCGTCACTTGCAACAACTGCGGTTCGCGACGTTCCGTCACTGCTATCAAGACCGGTTTCTCCGCTCAGGTCGGCAAGAGAAGGAAGATGCAGGGTTAAGAACTCGCCACGGCGACGTCACCGCCATGTCGTCTCCCCGCCGATCCTCGCCGCTTGTTGCCGGCTCTCATGTCTTTTAACGACTTGTCCCTATAGTTTGTCCATGGAAATTACTCTCGGCTAGTTGTGTAAAAGGGGACCGTGGGATGACTTTTGGCCCAACAGAGAAGCAATTGGTTGGGGCAAGGCTGACGGGGAAAAGGTGACTGGGGAAACCTAAAGGACGAGGGGAGAGTTCTTGGACTAAAAAGTTGGCGTCTTCGTGATAGGAATCGATGAAAAACGGATTGGAGAGCGGCTTACAAAAGCGCTCCCGGATAGAGTAGGCGGAACTGGGTTGGGTCAGAGTGGCGATTGGAGATTGGCGATGGGTTATCCATTATACAACGCTGGAATAATGCTTGTTCGACGCCGAACTCTCTCTTGCTTAGGTTCAGGTGAATGTTGCCGTTGAGTGAAGGCCATTACCACATTGTGAACAGCAACAAATTCTACGTAGCCATGCACTCTGCCAATTCTTCCATGGAGATCATCACTGGAGAAGGTCCGCGTCTGAACAAAGTACCAACTAATTGCGGTCGCAAGTGCAGCCAGCGCCTGCAAGACGAATATCATTGCTCCTAACACGTTGCCAAAACTCGAGAAAAGCCAAGAAGAGAGTGAGATGCAAAAGCCCCCGGTCCGCCCCTGCCGTCCGAAAAAACGTCCCTCACAAGGACAGTATGATAAAACTCGCTCGTCTTTGCCACCTTTTATTTCCCCAGGTTGCGTCTGCATCTAACGTAACCCACTCCATCCTAATGTACATTCGATCAAGTAATACCGCACGGTGGCAAAGTGACATGGAACCAACACAAGTTCTCGTCTGTGTATGAAAAGGAAACGCCGCCCAATGAGTGTATGTAGAAAAAAAACGCGAAACAAAGATGCCCATGTTCAGAAGCCCATCTAAGACTGGCTGATCAAAGAGGGCGTAGAGTCCATCACGTTGTCGTCGCTGCGGTTGTGGCCGTGCATAGATGATGAAGGATCCGCGGAGGCTCCTGCTCGTGTGGCTTCATCGACGGTATTTTCTACCTCGATTTGCGCGGCTTCAAATGTTGCGCGGAGCCACTCTACCAGACGGTTCTTTTCGATGTACTGGCCAAGAAGCTTGTCCTCCCATTTCATTGCCTCAGTGAGCTTGGATTGCTCACTCTCAGCAAACCCCTGGAAGCGGCTGTCCAGTTGATCTGTGAAGACGCCGAGAGCTTCCTGGGGAGGCATGGGATGGAAGGGATCGCGAGGGTCCTCTGGAAGAAAAAAAAATTAGCACAATCTTTGAAACAAAACAAGTAGTGTATGGTCATCAAGGGCCAAGCCTTACGGTATCGAATGCAGTCCGTCAACATGGCAAAGAGCTCGGTTTCTGCGAGTCGCTCAACAACCTCACGGTCGTCCTTCAGTTGGGTGTCGTTGATTTTGGCCCAGTCGTCTCGGATGAACAGCCTTCTCCAAATAAGTCTCTTGGCCTGTTTGATTTCACCAGGGCGGCAGCTGTTGTCAGCCACCTTGAGAGCCAGCCAAAAAGGATCAGCAATCTCATCCCTAGCCTCCGGTTTCAAAGACACCAGGGTCAGCAGGTCAATCAGACACATGGGTGCAAGTGCCTGGTGGTCCAGCAATTTCTGCATCCCATCAGAAAACAGCTGAAGGAGGGCCCTTTGCCGTCGAGGGATATTGGTGCTGTGCGCGTCAAGGGCAAATGCAAGGGCAGCAGCTCTGTCCACGGCAGTACGCGTGCACGGAGCAATCTGGTTGTAAAGTTGGTCCTGGATGCGGACTACAATGAGCTCATTGTCCACCTGACGAAGACGTTCATCGCGGCGCGCATCGTCGGACTTAGCCTTGAATGAGGTTTGTTCCCGAGACTCAGCCTCGAGCTCGGCCAACAGCGCGAGTTTGCCCAGACTGAGTTCGATTTTCTTCCTCCACACTTGGTCTTCGTTTCGGAGAGCCAGATCAAGCAGGGTATTGGCAGCATGATACACGTCCTTTTCTTGTTGAATGTCGTTGATCCAGGAAATCCGAGCAAGCTCTGGGCGGCTACGGAGAAATTTGGTCTTGAAGCCAAGAGTGTCCAGGTCGAACTCCAAGACGGACTCAACACCATGTTTGCTGAGCAAGTACTCGTAGACGGGGAAGGCAAAGGGCTCTCCGCATCTGGCGAAGTTGTCCTCAAGCTCTGTTGTTTTGGCTCGTCTCAGATTTTTCAGACTCTGAACCTCCGCATCGGATAGTGAGGGGTCTCCCAAACTAGTTTCCAGAACCTCAATGTGCTCGAGCAGAATCACGGCCAGGGCACTGAGGCAACCGTGCTTGTCGGCAATCGCAGCAGCTTGCTCCCATTTACCCGCTCGGGCGAGAGCAATCGGCTTGTCATTTCGGTAGGCGTCGTAAGCCTTGGCAAAGTCTTCAGCGGTGGTTCTGTCGGCCGAATTGGCCATCCCCCATCTCGCGCACTCTAGAACAGATGTAAGCATAGCATCCGTCAAGACTGGCAGTCCGTCAAAAATCCGTCTCACAACGACCGGATCCGGCATGTTTGGCTCGCTTGGCCCGTCTCGCAGGTGTTCATGCTTCTTGAGCCATTGACCACATAAATCAGTGAGCCGTTTAATGCCATTTGCCAGGGGTGTACATCCTGTCCAAGGCTCTGGCAAGTTCCTGTAGTCCTCCTGCAAGATGCCCGTGCGTAGCCGTTCCTTGCCCAAACCGTAAAGCGAGAGATGACTTTTGCGGAATTCGTGTGCGCCGACCTGTGCTGTGACGTTGATCTCTACAGCTTCATTGATGAGGATGTTCACCTTGATGTCATCCAGGAGCTTGTCGGCGTAGAGAACCTTGATCACCTGGTATGCAAAGGTGACAAGAATCTCCAGCCTAAAAACGTCGTTGACAAACCAATGGCGCACGCGGTCGACCTCGCCAATGCTGGCGACGGGATTATTCTTTTGATCTTGATGAATGAATTCCACAATCAACCCAATAATACTCTTCTTATCTTCGGCAGCTCTAGAGGCGGTAAAGGCTTCATGACGCTTCCAAAGCAGGGCTGCTACGTGCATCTTTTCCGCGTTATAGAGAAGGCTCCATCGGGTCTTGCGAGCGAGGTCAGCGCCAATGGTGTTGAGGTACTGCATGAGTCTTTGCAGAGCGTTGGACCGTGCCACAAGGTTGTCCTCCATGGAAGCCGGAAGCGTTGTTATGTACGTGGTCGTAGAGCTGAGAATTTCGTGGCTGACTTGAAGAGCGGCTTCGCTGATCTGCTCGTTGGTGAACTTGACGTCCGGTCGCTTGTCAAAGATGAGAGGGCTGTCTTTCTTCGACCCGAAGAAGACAGCCTGCTCTATCTTGCTCTTGGCAGACACTTGCGGGGGCTGTTCACTGGCAAACTTTTCCACATCTGTCGTGACGATGCGCACAACTCCAGCGCCGCGCACCATGAGCACCACAGCCGGATTCTTGATCTTGTTGTTCCGCAGAGACCGGCTCTCCTCGTAGCCAGAGGATGGCGCTGCTTCTTCGAACCCTGACCCAACAATTTCATGGATACTGTCTACTTGGAAGTCAACCACATCCTCAAACGAAGGGGTCAAGATGTGATTGTCCAATTGCAACTGCGAGTCTGGAGATTCGGGAGGAGTAGCGACAGACGCAATCACGGCAGCACCGCTGAACACCGCAAATGCCACCAGAGCAGGTCGAGGCAGGTACACACGAGGTCTCACAGTCTGACACGGATCCGAAGCGGTAATAGCTGTAGAATATGAAGTAATCGGGCGAATCATTCCGATCTGGCAATCCTTGGGAGTCATGATGACCTCCACCAGTACATACCTCGAAACACTACGTTTGGTGAGGCAGACCAGTAGCAAAAGATGTTGTACCAATGGATTGTCGGTTGCCATTGCGTCGCTCAGCCTGCTGAGTTCCAGATATTTGGGTTCAAGTCCCTTGGGCACGTAGGTAAAGTCTAGGGCTTCAAACGAGTCGGCCGGGTAATCTTTGCTGAAGGGGTCATTTTGCTGAAGCGCGTGGACCAGCTCATCTCGCATGTCTGCCTCTCCAATTGGTTCGTTGTGACCTCCTCGGTGAATCTTCCAGGCTTGGATTTTGCCTTTACTTGTCAGTGCAACAATGTTGCGTTCCCCAACGCGCGAAGATCTGTCGGCACGGACAGCAGCAATGTCGCCCCGGAGCGATAGGTGTGAAAAAGCATGTCGTATGCTTCCAAAGAGACCACCCGAGGTTGGTGAGAGGTTCGCTCGCAAGAATTGCACCGAGATGGCGGGCCGCCCGTGGCTGTCTCGAACACTCATGTACGCCAATCTCCCGGTATTAAAGGTGAGGACGAAGCCGGCGGATTCAGCGTTGGTTATTGCGACCACCTTTTCGCCAGAGGACATGCCCGAGATGACATGTTCAACTCCGGATCGGTCCTTCTTAATGAAGGCAAAAGTCGCGGCACTCGATATCGATTCCCAAAAGACCACCTTGCCACTTCCAGACATGACGACGACGAGGCCCGGCTCTGTTGAAGACGCAGACGGCGAGACAAGACATCCTACTGGAAGGGGATCGCTCGGTTTCGATGCGGATGGCAAGGTGAATGTGAAGGTTTCGGGAGACTGTGATGTCGAGTTGTAAGCCCAAACAATGGCGTGGGTAGCTGTCAGACTCAAGGCGTATCCGGCATTGGAAAATATGTCGGCTTGTTGGCTGCCTACGTGCGCAAAAGAAGCTCTTGGTTAGCGATGAGATGACAAGAATAGGTGAGAAAATCGCGAACCTGAGCAATCGGAGCGGATTCGATCAGGCAAGGCGGGCAGCTTGGAGACAGTGAATGCGCTCGTGCTATTCTAAATTTTCGAAGCGTTAGCGTCACGGACAAAAGGATTGGTATTGAGATTCGGATTTGCGCCAAATGCATGGTCGCGCATGACGTACGAGGACGAAACTCCTGTCGCCCTTGCTGGCGACACGATCTCCGTGTTTAGACTTCTTTGCTCGCACATTCAGGTCTTTGCGAGGCGTACGGTGGGGATTCTCCGGGGGCGACTCCTGTTTCGAGTCCACGGTGACCTTTTCAGCCTTTTCAGCCTGAACCATTTCCGGCTGAGCCTCAGGTTCCGTATTGGTAAAGGTTTGTTCGGCGAGAGGCAGGCGTTGGCGCTTGGCCTTTGGTTGCTGAACAAGACTATCAGTGCTCTTGGGTCGCTGGCGACGACGAGATCTCGTTGCGGTGGCCGGACCGCCTTCTGCGACAGAGGGATTGAACATGTCGAGGGTTGGGATAGCGTTGCAGTCCGTGGCGGTCGCGATGGAGGCATAGGCTAGCCCGGCGTGGCAGGATGGGAGCGGTGATGCAGAGAAGTGGTGGCGATGCAAAACACGGGCAACGAGATGATGGACCAAAATCAGATGGACATGTCGAGATGGCCGGCAGAAGAGGCACCGCGATCAGATGGAATGTCTAGAGAAGGACGAGTATTCGAGTCGGAAGATGATGAGGATGGGCAAAAGCTTCGATGGAACTAACATGTAGGGCAACAGCGAAGGCAGAGGCAAGAAGATTTGGTGGAGAGAGCAAAGAAACAGTTGCCGCGTCGGACGCAGCTATTGGCTCGCGACGGCGCAGGGAAAAAAAACAAACGGAGCTGCGTCAGTATGGAGCCAAAGTTTTGGTGCAGCTTTGTGCTGTTGCGCCGCAGCCAGCGTGCACATGTGGACATCAAAGCTCAGACAGCCCCAGCACAGCACCGTCACTCCCAGCGTTGTTGAACCACTGTCTGTGCAACGTCTGGTGTCATTGGCCACCCAGCCTCAGCCTCAGCCTCAGCCTCAGCCTCAGCCTCATCCCATCCCCATCCCCATCCTCATCCTCGTCCTCATCCTGGTTATTCTTAGCACTCAAAGATCAAGCCAGCGCTTCATCTGCCGCAACCACAAACCATCTCATGCGCTGGCAGAGCGGCCTGGAGACGTTTGCATAGACTGTATGTCAACCTTTTTGCCAAAGGTTCGTAGTCAATTGCAACGTGTCATACTCGCCCATCACTGACAACGTGCCGTAGAGCATAGACTAGACTTGTACCTCGGCATTGCTGCTATTTCTGCATATATCGAAAGTGGCGACGGCTGCGTCAATCTTTTGGTTTCCAGCTCCATATCAACAGGTGGAAATAGTCATGAGAATCTGCACTGAGAGGACCTGAGACCTCCGGACCTTGCTTACCCCGAGGTTTCAGCTTGCAGCTTGAGCGCATGTAAAAGTCGCCACGAACATTTCGCGCGAGGGAAAAGAAATCCCACATCAAAACCGGCCGGCCGCAAGATGAGGCGGTTCTCGACAGCAGTAACCATAACTGATCCTCTGGTTAAATACCAAACACTTGTCAAAACTGGCGTGTACTCCCCCGATCCCGCCCAACACAGACTGGCACATCACTTGAGGGATGTCTATCTCCGCATCAAAGACTACTCACCTCAGGCAGACTACCGCCAGAGGCTGACCAAAGTTGCGCGTCTCACGGAGACCAGGATCCCCAGCGATGAAGAAGCAGGCAATATTCTCGCCTTGCGAAGCCACAGCATATGGCGCAACCCCTTGTTCAAACACCTTATCCCCGGGGCCGCCGCAGACCCTGATAGTCTCGCCCTCACCCGAATGTTGAGCGACCACGAAACCGCCATGGAGATAGATTCCCCCAAGGGCTTGTTCTTATCAGGGGAAGTGGGCACGGGGAAATCCATGCTCCTCGACCTATTAGCGGACGGACTTCCGACGGCACGCAAACGAAGATGGCACTTTAATACCTTCATGCTGTATATATTTGCGCAGCTTGACAACCACAGAGAACTCCACGTCAACTCGCCCGGCTCTGATTCGGAGTTCTCATTGGTTTGGATGGCAAAGAAGCTTGTCGACGAGTCTCCCATCCTCTTCCTGGATGAATTTCAGTTACCCGACCGCGCAGCCAGCAAGATCCTCAGCCACCTTTTCATAGCATTCTTCCAGCTTGGCGGCGTCCTCGTTGCTTCTTCAAATCGAATGCCGGAAGAATTGCAAAAAGCAACGGGCATCGACTACGCTCCTGCCTCCTCAAAGGGATGGATGGGCCACATTTTCGGCGGAAGCACGCGGTATAAAGGGGGGCTGCATGGCCAGAGTAGCGACTTTTCCAACTTTCTAGATGTTTTGAAAGCCAGGTGTGATTTCTGGCAGATGGAGGGAGGCAAGGATTGGAGAAGAAAAGAGGCCACTGATTGCCCGAAAACATCCACCGTCGCCGCCACTCCAACCGGCGGCACAAGACTGGCTGGCGCAACGGACGACGACAGCAGCACGAGCAGCGTACCATACAACTACTTTCTACTTGACAGTCACAAGGCCCACGAGTTCGACGAGCGGATACAAAAGACCATTGGTTGGGACGGCCCAGCAGAAATGCCATGGAAACCATCCACCCTGATGGTATACGGCCGCCAGGTCCTCACCCCAAGACATCACGACGGCACAGTACTCTGGACCTTCAACCCCCTCGTCGAGTCCTTCGGGCCAGCAGACTACATCACAATGGCCTCATCCTATCACACATTCGTCATCGACCAAGTCCCCATCCTGACGGTGCTCCAGAAAAACGAAGCCCGCCGATTCATAACGTTCCTCGACGCCCTCTATGAGGCCCGCTGCAAGCTCATCATCCGGGCAGAAAGCGCCCCCGATGACCTCTTCTTCCCGGAAAACAACCCTCCCCAAAGCCCCAAACCTGACAAAGATCAAGCCAACGACGGCAACGGCGACAATGACAGTGACGCAACCTACTCCGAGACCATTGCGGAGGTCTACCAGGACCAAATGGCGCCCTTCCGCCCCAACGTGTCATACTACGACGCCAAAGCATCCACGTCAAGATACGACCCGGACCAAGACTCCGACTTTGGCCTGCAAAAGCAGAGCATCAACTTCGGCAACGCCGGGGCGTTCACAGGCGAAGACGAGCGATTCGCCTACAGACGCGCCGCCTCACGACTGTGGGAGCTCTGCAGCGCAGCGTGGGCCGCCAGGACAGGCGCCTGGTGGCAGCCGCTCCCCCTCGAAGCAAGGCACTGGGAGGGCGGCACGGCCTCGCAGCCAGTCAAAACGGGCGTCTCATCAAAGAAGGCGAGCACGGGCGAAAAAATAGGCGGCAGCGTGGTAACCGACGTGGCCGGCCTGTCCAAGTGGAAAGTAGACGACCTCCGCAAACAGTCCGACGGCGAATAGTAAAAGTAAAAGCCCCCAAGGACATGCACACAGACGTACACGCTTCCCATTAAACATGCCAACAAAACACACATGTAACGCAAGGGCTTCGGATATCATCGAGACTGTAATGTTAAAAAAAAAACCCCCCCAAAACGCCGTGTCGTGCCATGCCCATGCGCTTGTGGTCGCATCTCGTCCCAGGGGGCAGAACTCCCGGCTTACAAACTCGTCACGCCGGGCGTCCAGGCCTCCCCGATCCTCCTCATGTCGCCCTCGAACCTCGTGCTCACGATGCTCTTGCCGGGCGCGCCCCCCAGAGGCGCATGCTCGTCCGGCTCGTAGAAGGGGTTCTGCAGCAGCCGCACGTAGGCGGTTTGCATGGCGCGAAAGACGGGCTTCAGGTCCGTCTCGCGCAGCCCGGCGGCGGCCTGCCTCCCGCCCGAGGCGTCGACCCTCCTGCCGCGCATGTCCACGACGCACACCATGCGCACGCCCGTGTTTGTCTCGTACCCGTACGCGGCGAGCCGGTCGTCGACGGCGTGGAGCAGGCCCACGTCGCCGGAGAGGCCGACGCCAGATGCGGCGTTTGCCTTGGCGCGCAGCCGGAAGACGTCGATTGTCGAGGACAGCAGGAGCGAGAACTGGAGCGGGCTGCGGATCGGCGTGAACGTGTTGGTTGCGGCGTCGTGCGAGGGGAAGACGGACACGTGCAGCGGGTTGTCCTGTTTCCTTGCGTCTCAGCGACTGCGCGGGGGCAGGTCGGGCCGCGGGGGGGAGGGGATTGCGGTCGTCATGGTCGTCGGGCTGGGCGGCGGGTTTGGAGTTTTGGAGCCTGGACGTTTGGAGCTTGAAGCAACTGGGCCCAACGTCGGGGCTCGGGAGGTTTTGGTGCCGGTGCCGGCGCCGGTGTGCGACCGTAGTCGCTGGCTGGTGCCGGGGCGTGTGGAGACGAGAGAAGCCACACCGCACCGCACCGCACCGCGTCGCGTCGCATCGCATGCACCGAGACAACGAAGCCGCATCGAATCGAGACGTCGACGGACCCGTCACACACGCAGGTTGCCTCGTCGCCCCCCCAAGACATCGTGGCGTAACCCCCCAGTGCGCTGGCACACGAGCAGCAAGAAGCGCCATTAGCAGCACGTCTACGTCTGTACACCCGCGGCGACACGGCTCACAGCCTTGCACCACTTGGCCGACTCGCGGCACAGCGGCACCGAGCACCTCGTTTTATTCATCGTCAAGACCCGCCGTCTCCTCCAACCCCCTCAACACCTCCTCAATCTCACTCGGGTCCGTAATGGCCCAAACCCCTCCCCCCTTGACCGAGTCCTTGCCCCTCATGCCGACCTCCTTGCCCACCAGGTTCCGGCCAACCTTGCCGGGCCCTATGCCAACCCACCTGCGAACCTTCTCCTGCTGGTCCAGGTACCGGATGCTGTCCCACCAGCGCACCGTCTCCAGGCACCCCCTCGCCAGCAGCTCCCTCAGCTGCTCCTTGCTCCGAAACGGCCTCGCCGTGACGTTGCTCACGCACGGCATGTCGCCGGGAAACGTGATGATGTCCTCGCCCTCCCGCCCAGGAACGCGGCTCGTGTCCGCCAGCAGCGACCGCATCACCGCAACGGCCGGCTTCATAATGGGGCTGTGGAACGGGCTGTCGCTGTGCAGGCGCACGGCGCGCGGGTCGTGGCCCAGAAACTGCCTCACGTGCGCCATGAGCGTCGTGATGCGCTCAATGTTGCCGCTCAGCACGATCTGGTTCCGGCTGTTGATGTTGGCGATGAGCACCTGCTCAATGGGCGGCACGTGCTCGCTGCTCTCGCCCTTGCTCCCGGCGCTCGAGTGCCCGACGAAGTCGTGGATGGCGGCAATCAGGCCCCGCAGGTACTCGGGCTCCGTGACGATGGCCACCATGCCGTACTCCCCGCCGTACTCCTGCACCGCCTTCCTCGTGGCCTCGGACATGGCCGCCGCGCGCCGCCCGACGAGGTACAGGCTGTCCTGGAAGGTCATGTAGCCGCCGGCGACGAGGGCGGCGAACTCGCCCAGCGAGTGGCCGAGCGTCATGTCGAAGTTGTCGGCGGCCCTGAAGTCGAACTCGCGCTCGAGGATCTTGAGGATGACAATGGACGTGGCCATGATGGCGGGCTGCGCGTTGGTGGTCTGCGTGAGGACCTTGGACGGCCCCTTTTGGATCACGTCGGAGAGCTTGAAGCCGGCGAAGTGGTCGACTTCCTGGATGAGTTTGCGCGCCGTCGACGGGAAGGCCTCGAGCCAGGGGGTTAGCATGCCGACTTTTTGGGTCCCCTGGCCTGCGATGCACCCCGTTAGCGTTGGCCTCGTGAGTCTTTGTGTACACTGTCTCGTGTGTGTTTGTCGCGTGCGAGACGGGGAGAGGGAGAGAAGGAGAGAGAGCGAGGGAAGAGAGCCGGCAGAAACTTTCCGTACCCGGGAAGAAGATGGCCGTCCGTGGCCGCCTGGGCCTTCGTGAGCCCATGGACATGCATCGTCTCTGGTGCCGAGATGCGTCGTCTTCCGCCGCCAGAGTCGAGTTGACCCGCGAAACCAGACGCTCGCGCTGCGTCTTGGTCGTCGCACGCCGCCATCGGGGGGGGCGAAACGCGCTGCTGCAAAGGCGCTGCATGGCCGCGCCGGACGGCTCAAGTGTGAATAGCCGAGCTTCACAGCGATGCATTCATTCTGACAATGGATGAGAACAAGCAGGGAGGGACGGCCCAAGACCTCTGGCGATGATGTTGTTCGAGTTGTATTGTCGTCCACCTCTGGCCAAGCACGTGGGGTAATTAATTGTGGTGCAGAGAGCGCGGGAACCTCGGACGGCCGCTGATGAAGGAGCCGCCAGGGGCTGCTATGGGCCTGTGGCGACACTAGAGGCGCTGCGCTGACTTGAGTATGCAAACTTGGCCCCGCATGTTCAGCGGCTCAGCCAGGGTCCCAGCATCTTCACCTCTTCTTCTGCATGTGCAGGCTGCCATTCACTCGGCTGGTCATTCTTTGTCCGCAACATCATCTCCTTGACTTCATTCCTCATGTTCACGTCGTAGCATCTCTAGCACCGAATCTCTACACCCCCCTTGCTGACGGTCAAATACTTGACCCCCTTGTACGGCTTTATCCCTTCAGCCATGCCTCTGCTCTTCCTTGTATCCAGCATGATGCTGTCCACCCTCAACCCGCTCGCCAACCACCCCTTGACCGTGAAGCTCACCGACGCCGAGCTCGGCATCAGATTCTTGTTTTGCGCCGCCTTCTTGGCGTCCTGCCCGTGGCCGTTACCCTTCTTGCCTTCCGCCTTGCCCGGCGCACTTTGATACGGCTCATCGCAAGAGTAGTCGTGGCTGAATGCAAACCCGCTGGGGTCAAAGTCCTCCACCTCGTCCTCTATGGGCCCGACCACGGTGCAGCGGAGCGCAAGCTGTGAGGCCGGCCCAGACAGCTCCTTGGTGGGGACCTGCCATTCGAGAACTCTTTCTCCGGGGTTGAAGCTGGCGTCTCCCCTGCTCGGACGAATGTCAGAGAGGTTCCTCACGTCTTCAGGTAGCGGAATCGTGACGCGGAGTCCTTCGAGCAGCGGCGCGCCGGGGGACCCCGCGTGGGGCGGCCCAACTCGTCCTGACCCGATTCCCCGTCCAAATTGGTTGGGACCAGACATGGTCTGGTGGCCGAAAATCTTGTTCACTTGCAGTCTGACTTCGAACTCCAGCCCCGCGGGGCCCAGTCCCGTCTTCACCTCCAGGTTGACAGGTAGTTTGAGGTTATTCGCGCCCAGGCTGCCGCTCTTCCCGCTGGTGAACGGCAGCAGGTCGACCTCATATCCTGCCAAGATGAACCGGCCATCAGGCGGTATGAAGCTCAGTTCCCCCGGCCTCTCCTTCCATGTATTTAGCCGAACGCACGGGTGAAAGACGGGTAGTTCCATGATGCCGCCGACATTGTGCTTCCCCGACGGGCTGCTCAGGCTCACGGTAATGTCCGGTACGCCGGAGACCTTTGCCGTGAATACAATGGAGCCGTTTGCAAATGCCGCCAGCGGCCGCCCCGACGGCGCAAGAGTGACGGCAAGAGTCTCGATAACATCGGCGTACATCTCGTTCGAGGTGTGCCGTACGTTGGCACTTCGCCAAGGCAAAGCCGGCGCATTGGACAAATTCAAGCTCACGGGTGCTTTACTGCACACCATCCGTCAGTCCTGGGAGTGCGCCCACCTCTGACCGGGCACGGATGCAACACCACAAGCTTACCTGGGCAAGTTGAAACCACCGAAAATCTTGTCCAACAGGCCCTCCATTTCGACGTTTTCTTTCAAAGCGTTGGGCTCGGTAGTGTTGATGGTGCCTGCATCACACATTTCCGTGAGGATTTGGGCCACCACATGGTAATTCCTCTCAATCTCGGACGCGAGGAGCGGGGCGGCGACGATGTCTTCAAGCGCATCGATTACGCGGTGGAGAAACTCGACAACAAGAAGAGGCTCTATTTCTGTAGAAGAGGTTGCCAGGAACAAGAGGTTCGCATGGGCCGAGCTGAAGACGAGAGTGGCCGGGCTGGCGTTGGGGAGATATATCAGGTTCGGCCTGGGAACAGGGTGCTCGAGATAGAGAGGCAGCAGGTGCTTGGCGGAGAGAGGTCGGCCGGCGTAGATGTGCGACAAGATGGGCTTCCTAGGTCTCATTAGCAATCCCAGACGTCGCCAATGGGGTCACCGAGCCCGGACTTATGATGGTCGTATATGTGCAGCGCCTCGATAAGGCCGTTCATGTTGTCGACGACGGCCGTCGGGTTGCCGTTGCCGGGAGGTCTGGGGCTTGCGAGATGCTCTCGGCGCGTTGCGTCTGGCAGGCAGGCACATGGCGGAACTGCGATTGCAAAGCTGATGACTAACGCGGCGCCGCAGCCGCATCGGCCAATCACTTTGCAGCAAGCATACTCGTTGCGGCCAAGCTTCCACGAGCATCGACTTGTTTACCATGGACGAGACCAGAACCCGTAGACAGCTTACAGCTCCGAAGCACACCATCTGAATTGCTCCCGCACGGTCCGCCGACAATCGCCGACATGAGCGGCGGAAAGCTCCCTGCCGTCCAGTCCCTCGACAAGCCAGAAGATCTTGGACATCTCCTCCGCCAAGACCGTGGCGATGACTGCCTAAGCTGCAAGGTCGTCGGTAAGCTCCCGCACCGTCGCCAGCCAGGAGACCTGCGCCGCGGATTTCAAACCAAGAATTGACAACGTGCAAGGGAGCGGTGCTTTTTTCGGACTAGGAGCGTACAGCTACCTCTCCGGCATGTCGCAGCTGCAGAGGCAGCGTCAGGCCATCCTCCGGAGCAGGTCCATGTTCGGCATGAGAAGCCGCAAGTTTGGCATCGTCGGCATCTCGCTAGGCCTGGTGTGGATGGGACTCTGGAGGGCGTTCCGGTGAGACGGACGGGGGGACCAGGACATTTGTAGCATCCGGCGTGTGTACATAGAGCGACCACGTCGTTTCCCAGCGAGGGCAAATCCTCACCTCACCTCACCTCTGTCGCGACCCACTTCAGAACTTGACCTCGCCCTCGGCCTCACAAACCTCGCACCCGAGCCGACAAAATTGTCCACTGCCGCCTGCCCCCCGCCCACCGTCACCGACCGTAGTCCATACGCCGTGCCGGATCCCAAGTCTCAAAACGAAAGAGAAACAAGCAGCACAGGCCGACAGAAAACGCCCGCCCGCGGCGCACAACTCCCACCCCGCGGCCGTCCACAGCTCCGTCCCCAAAATGCCCATCGCCATCCTCAAACCGCAAGCCGCCACGCCCGCCGCCGCCGCCGCCGACGCCGACTCCGACTCCGACCCCGACTCCCCCGGCGGCGTCGACATCCGCAACGACGTCTCCGTGGGCGGGGCCAAGCAACGGCGCGCCATGGACGCAGACGACATCTTGACCCCCGGCACCATCATCACGTCCAACCCCCAGTGGATGCGGCAAGTCCCCCTCCCTCCCTCCCTACATACTACATATCCCCTCCGCTCAGCCCACGAGAAGCAGCGCACCGGTGCTGACCCCCCCCCAGCGGCCACGGCACGTACTTCGCCCCCTCCACGCAGTCCATCACCTCCTCGCTCGCCGGCACCCTCACCAAGACCAACAAGCTGCTCTCCGTGCGGCCCCTCCGCGCCCGCTACACCCCCGAAATAGGCGACCTCGTCGTCGGCCGCATCACCGAGGTCCAAGCCAAGCGGTGGCGCGTCGACGTCGCCGCGAGCCAGCTGGCCATCCTCCAAATCAGCGCCATCAACCTCCCCGGCGGCGTCCTCCGCAAGCGCACCGAGACCGACGAGCTCCAGATCCGCTCCTTCTTCTCCGAGGGCGACCTCGTCGTCGCCGAGGTCCAGCAGCTGCACCAGGACGGCGCCGCGTCCCTGCACACCCGCTCCCTCCGCTACGGCAAGCTGCGCAACGGCCTCTTCGTCAGCGTCTCGGGCGTCGGCGGCGGCGGCGGCGTCGTCAGGTCCAAGCGCCAGGCGTGGACCATGGACGGCGCAAACGCCGCCGGCAGGATTGACCTTCTCCTCGGCGTCAATGGCTACATCTGGATCAGTAGGCACGTCGACGGCGACGTTGCCGCCGAGGCGGCCGGCATCAACCGCATGGAGGAGAGCGTCAGCGGCGGGGTGTATTCTAGCCAGAATGACGCCATCGACGTGCCTACTATGAGGGAGATTGCGAGGCTGAGGAGCGTGATTCTGGCCCTCGTCGAGAATGGCGTGCGCGTGGACGAGGACATGGTCCGGAGGGGGTATATGGAGGCTGTCGAGATGGCGAGGGAGTACGACGCCGATGATTTATATTTGGGAGGCGAGAAGGGCGTTCGCTTGGCTGCCATTTTGGCCGGTCGTTGATGCAAACTACCGTGAAAAAGGGGGGGGGTTTCGTTTATTACCGCCGGGCATAGCTAAACAATTCACATCGTCATGGTTGATTTAGTACAAGCGGCGTTTACGAGTTGCAAGTCGTTTGCATCCTCCCGCCTAGGGGCCCCTGTGTATTGTGGACTACTCGGACAAATTACAGCCTGAGAGGGACAGAATCAAGGGAAATAGATGGGGGTTTGACTTCACGACCACGCACGAATGCTGTTGTTTGGTTCCCTTCCAGTCAGGCTACTCTCAAAGTAACGTACCAAGCTCTCCAATCCTAGTTACAAAAATGAGGGACTTGGACCGTCAACCTGTCATATGTATGATGTAAGTCACAAAGGTATATTTATTCCCCGCCATGGTGCGCACATCATATTAACCTGTGGACTTCTCCATCTTCATATTACATTTCGACACAGACACCTCTTGCATTCAACAGTCACAAATATTAGTCATTGGTAGACGACGTATTGTTCGCAGAATGACGTGGCTTTGGAAACCCTCCATCGTCTTACTGGGACGACGATTTCGCGCCGTTTACAGGCCTGGCAATTTGCTCTTCAGCCGAAGGAACGTGACAATCAAGGCAAAGAGAGTCCCCCACCTTACTGCTGCCCCGGACGTGCTCTTCCCGCCGAGGCTGAACGCAAAGCTGAGCCAGTACTTGAGACCCCGAGCCACGTTGCCGTCACGGTCGAAATTAGGCCTGTGTCCATTCATTATGTGGTAACGTTTTAATTCGCTCCATGAGTATGGCATGTAGCGTACGCGGAGGAGCTTGTCGGTCCATTTGGGAACTTGGGTGATGACGCGCTGATGGCTGAAGGCTTTGAAGGAGTAATAGCCGTGGTAACTACCTTGGCCAGAGGAGCCAACCCCCCCGAGGGGCGTGGCGTTGATCATGGCGTGGAAAAAGGCATCGTTGACGGTGGCACCTCCTGATGTGACATTGTCAAGCACTGGCGTCACGCGTTAGTTGCTGAATTCTTGACTTCACGCTCTTTTTGGTTGGAACAGAGTGTTTTCTGTCATGGCAAGCATGCTCAAAGTCGGCGTCTTCACATACCCTTATTGTTTTCCTCATCGGAACCAAAGGTAAAAAGGGCCAACGGCGTCGGGTCAACCTTGTTGGCAATTTCTATGGCCTGGTCTAGATTATCAAAGGGCATGATGGACCAAATGGGACCGAAACTTTCCTCGGCCATCATGGTGTCCTCAATATCATCGACGAGGACGGCAGTCGGCTCGATCCACAACTTCTCCACGTCAGAACCACCTCCCATGACGACCTTGCCCTTGGAATCGTTCAACATTCTCATCAGACGATCAAAATGGCCCTTGTTGACAATCCGCGACATGTCACTGTCCTTGGCGCCATTGGGCATGAAGATGCGGTACTGCTTATTTACTTGGGCGATGAAGTCGCTCAAGACGGGGCGCTGGACGAGGACATAGTTGTGCGACAGGCACACCTGGCCGGCGTTGAGGCACTTTTGCCATAGAAGGCGTCTGGCGGCGAGCTTTACGTCGGCATTCTTGGTAACGAAGGCAGGGTTTTGGCCGCCAAGTTCGAGAAGAACAGGCGTCAGCGACTGGGCAGCCTTTGTTGCGATGATGGCACCGGTCTTCTTGCCGCCGGTGAAGACAATCTTGTCGAACTTGTGCTCCAGAACGTGCTTGGTCTCCTCCAAAGCACCGTTGATACACACATAGCAGTCCGGGTCGAGATACTCGTCGAAGATTTTCTTGAGGATCATGGCAGAGTGAGGAGACAGCTCAGAGGGCTTGAGTATGACACAGTTGCCGGCGGCAATGGCGCCAATGACGGGAGTGAGATTCAGCTGAATGGGAAAGTTGTAGGCACCAATGACGAGAACCTGGCCCAGAGGCTCGTTTCTGATGCGTGGGCGCATTGGCCAGTATGTCACGGGCAGGTCGACGACGCGCTCATCCTTGGCCCAGGTCCGGAGCTTGTTGGCGACGTTGATGGCCTCATTTTTAACCCAGTCCATCTCAGAGACGTGGGCCTCGAACTTGCACTTGCCCATGTCCTTCATAACGGCCGTCTCGATGAGCTTCTCGTAGTCGGAGACGGCCCAGTAGAGCTTGCGGATCTGTTGCAAACGAAAATTCATGTCCTTGGTCTTGTTGGTGCGGAAGGTCTTGCGCAGACGCTCGACGTGAGCAGTAATGTCGTCAAGGGGCGTGGGCTCAAAGGCCGGGATCGGTCCAGTCTTGACGTGAGCCATGATTATCTCCCACTTGATGCCTCTGATGGCCGACGATGATGCAGAAAGGTGAAGTAGGGGACAGAACTGGACTCGGACTTATACAAGTAAGGCCTGGGGGTCCAAAGGTTGGCCAAGAAGCTATGTACTCCGTAAGGTGCAGGGTTCTCCGTACTCGCAGGACAGGGGTCTGGTTCCAATGCTAGGTTGGATTCGGCTCCGGTGGGGCCTGGCAGCTGGGAGGGAAGGAACTAAGCGATGCGTCTGGTAATTTGATTCGAGGGCCTCGGCTTCGGAAATACCAGTCGACCAAGTCCAAGGGGCAGGGACGACCGTCTGGCGTCAACGGGGATTGTATTGTACAGTCGACACAACGTGCCCATCAAGGCCAGCGACATACAGACGTAGATGGGATGGGCGGGGAAACGGAAAATGGGAAATGAGAAATGGGAAATGGGAAATAGATAATAAGGAATGGGACATTGGAAATGGGAAACGGGAAACGGGAAACGGGAAACGGGAAACGGGAAACGGGAAACGGGAAACGGGGAACGGCAGACCGACGAAGGGGAGCGAGCGGGTTTTACTTGGGAAATCAGGGAAACGGGAGCGGAAGGCTTAAAAAAATCAAGGTCAAGCAGGAGCATCGGATAGACAGACATGATACATCAATCGATGCGGCTTGCAGCAGAGACCTTGCTTGGCCTTGGGGCTTTCCAATGGTACGGCAAGGACGGACCGCGGAGTAGGACGTTACCCAGGTACTTTTGTGCAACTTGTCAGTACTACCGTCTTCCACTCCTTACTCCGTACTTTAAGTACCTAAGTACTTATAGGTAAGTACTAAGTAGGTAAGAAGTACGGAGTCGTCCACTTGAGCACCCAGAAGCGGACCAACACCTGGAGGTACCAGACAGAGACGCTGCCCTCCATCAGCGCCAGTGGCATCAATTGCAGTCAAACAGCCGGGACGGAGTACTCCGTACTCAAATGCTCAAGTACGCACTTGGGTACTTTTGTCAATTGCCCAGGTACGGAGTCCTTCCGAGGCCGATACGGAGAACGGAGTGCAGATGGTCATTTTGCAGAGCGGCCAGGTATTACAAGTACTGAATTACTGCTGGACCACCCTGACCGGTCTGGCAAGTACGGCGTTGTGTGCGCCGCGCGACAAATGGCTCTGCCTCCCTGAGAGCCCTGAGACATGGATTGAGTTCACGGATCCCCAACGGGCGGTGCAGCCTGCATTCAGCCTTAAGCCTTGGTCGTGTCAAACGCAGGCAAATGATGAATCCCTTTGACTGTTTGGGGGTGCCACCATTGTCGCCGCCCCACTTTTCTGCAGTAGTGCTGGGCTGCGGACTGCTGTACTTGGTACTACGTACTCGGCACCCGGCCTGCAGCAAGGTTGCGCTTCGGTCGCAGTGAAAATGTGGTCAGTGTGATGCAGCTCTTTTGTAAATCTACTTAAGTACGGAGTTCCTAGGTAGCAATTGCTGGTGGCCTTGTTCCGTAGGAAAAGAAACTAATGGATCTCTCACTGGCTGAGCTCCTTGTCTGCCAAACACACACACCAAAAAGAAAAAAAAAAAAGAGAAACCGGCAACCTTCAGTCAAGGGGATACCAGGCTCCTCAGGGTACCCAAGTTCTCGGTACGTAACCGCGACGCGAGCTGCTGCCGTCTCTACCACTGGCCCCTGCCCACGGTCCACGGTTCACGGTCCAGACGCGCATGGCATTTGCCGAGGCAGACTCGCATTGCTGGCCCCAATTTCCTGCTTCTCTACGGAGTACTCCGTAGTCACTCCGTCCCGACCCCTTCATGTACCAACAGTCAGGCTCAAGCATGTGGTCTGGTGCTTTTTTTGCCCGATTTCCCGCCCACCAAGTTTACCCGCGGCAGCTTTGCATAAAGACGTCGTCAAGCGATCCATGGTCCATGCCATATTTCCGGCGTGGCCAATGGGAACGTGGGAGGGGCAGGGTGTAAAGAAAAGAAAGACATCATGACGAGGCGGATGGCCAGTGCGAGGCAGTAAGTGGTACGTACGATTATTACGGAACAAAAACATCTCGGCGAAATCGGATGCGTCCAAGTCCGGCCACTCTGCCAAGCAAGCTGGCATGTACGCCATGCCATGTCTGTACGCCCGTCGTCGCCCCAGCAGCAAGCAGCGGATTGAGCGAGCCCGCCATACTTCGTAGACTGCGGCTGATTCGAATCAAAACACTTGGAAAGTAGGGCGGTATGCGTCGAGCATGTCATGTCATGCCGCCAACTCGTTCCTCAAGTAACTAACGTCGAGCTGCATTGCCAGGCGTTGTCCGATGCCGCTCACTGTCTCTCTGCCCCCAGCATCCCACGTCCCTCAATTCGATATACTTCCGAGGTACTTTTCATTCAGGTCGCGGCCATCCATGCATGGCATTTGCAAAGCCAAGCTGCAATCCAACAGGGGCACATTGATTTCTACACATTTACTGTACATCCCCCGCACACGCATGCCCAGGTTTATTCTCATGGTCAAATATACAGATGCGGCCAGGCCAGAAGCCACCCCCCGCAACGGCCGGCAGCATAATTTTACAGCTCGTCTACCTCCTCGCTCTCACCTGCCCGGCTCCTTTGCCCGCCTTGGCCGCGGGCACCATCTCTGCATCTCTTTGCTTCTCCTGGTCCTCAATCAGCTTCTGCATCAGATAGCTGTCAATGGCCTGCTTGCCGTCCACCAGCAATCCATTTTCGGCCCGTTCAATGTCCGCAATCGCCGCCGCCTTTCGCTGCTCCTCCAACTGTAGTCGCCTCTCCTTGGTCATCCTCCATTCCTTGGGGAATCTTGGCTTCTCCACGAGACGGTGGTGCCTTAGGTCCAGGGGCACATCTTCAAAGGTATCCTTGGGGTCTTTGGCGGCCGCGATCAAATCATCCACCAGGCCTGTTAGGTAAAGCTTGTTCTGGGCCTGGTGCTCGTAGCTTTCGCAGCTGATCTTGACGAGTTCCGTCTTGTGGTTGTATCGGGCCCCAGCGAGCTTCTTCAGCTTGGCCGTCTGGACAGGCGTGAGCTTGAGGTCATCGGGCGCGAACTGAACGACGACTTTTCGCTCAGCGGGGTGCGACTCGCCCATGTAGGTCGTGTATCGCCAGCGCAGGACTTCGTTCTCGTTCGGGGGCACGAAAGGCTTGGCGAATTCTGCCACAGGTGATGAAGTTAGTATTGGGTGCCTTTTCCCGAGTACTCGTCCCGGCCTTTTTTTTTGGGGGGGGGCCCAAGCCGCCAGTCGCGTGTAGTGTCTCATCTCTCGCACCTGGTCCAGCTTGCCATGCGCCATGGAAGTAATGTCGTCCTCGTCAAACTCATCATGCTCCTCCGTATTGGTTTCCGGGTCATCCTCGTCAAACCAGAACGATGACTTGTTGGGCTTCTCGCCAATGTCATCCCTAAGCAATTCCTCTTCCATGGCTCTGTCCTCGGACGCCCAGCCAGGCGTCTCCTTCAGTTTCGACGTCAGGAACTCGTCAATCGTGTCGTAACCGTTCGTCTTGGCCAGCTCGTCGAGCTGTCGCAGTCCTTGCGGCGTGGCAGTCTGCGCGAAATCCTGGTCCATGCCCTTCAGCTCCAGCTGCTGCGGCAAGTCCCCTTCGCCCTCCTCCCCTCCCTCCCTTTTCGTCTTCTCCTCTGCCCATCGTACAGCTGACGTGCTGAGTGCTCGCTGGACGGTAAGGACTTGCCGAGGAATCCGGCGTACCGGAGGCAGTCGTCGGACTCGCGGGGCTCTACGGCTTGCCAGCGCGGATAGCCTCGCGACAGTCGAAGCCGACGCCATGTCGAAGTGACTGAGGTTGCACCTGCCACAGACGCGCTGTGCCGTCCTCTCGACATTCATGTGCGACTGGGAAATTTTTCGGGAGAGGTCAATTGAGTGGCAGTACTCCGTAGACGAACACACCTTTTTGCCGGTATTTTGCCACACTTACGCCCCACCCCAAGTTGGGGTGTGTGGCGCACGCGTGACAGCTCCGCTGGTGACCCACACACAGCTCTCCTCGTACGTAGTTACAACCTCACTTACATGTGTCCATCTGCCTTTTCAAACAACCGCAACCACAACAACAAGGTAGAAACATCACATCAGATTCGCAAGAATGCCCCCAGATCCAAGCGCCCTCAAAAGGTACTGCCTAGTCACGGTCGGCGCAACCGTCGGCTTCCAGGAACTGACAAAACAAGTCCTCCAAGCCGCCTTCTGGCAGTTTCTCAGCGAACAAGGCTTCACAGCCCTGCACGTCCAGTGCGGACCAGACGTCCCCTGGGCGAGCGTTCGACTCGCCAACCAGAAGGAGAAGCTGCCCGAGGGGTTCGAGGTCGACGTATTCGACGTCAGGAATAACCTGATGAGGGACGAAATGGTGCTCTGCCAGGCACGACCCGGACAGCGAGCCCAAGGCTTGGTCATTTCACACGCAGGTCTGTTACGGATTCGCAGCCCGTGCATGCGCACGTGCTCTAGGACTTTGCCCTGATGATAGCTAGGGACTGGGACTGTTCTCGACGCGTGGAAGATGGGACTGCCTCTCATCGTGGTCCCTAATTCCCGGTTGCTGGATGACCACCAGGCCGAAATGGCTCAACATCTCGCCAAGCAAGGCTACGCCACCATGAGCTCCGCAGAGTCAGTACAGGACGAGTACATCACTTGCTGCACGGCATGTAGAGCTGACTTTTGCCCCAGCCGCCTTGATCTTCAGGAAGCGATTCACAAGGCGGTCCTTCTTTGGGAAGAGAACAGGACTACGCGATGGCCAGCCCATCATGTCGGGGGCAAGGAGAAGGAAGCTCTTAGGCTGTGGGACATCCGGCCCAGGGAGGTACGAAAAGAAGAAATATCGCAGATGTCTCATGACTAGGCGCATAGGCTCTATCGATACATCTTTCTTGATACCAAGCCCCAGGCCAGGGAGGCCTCGTCATGAGCTCAAACTCTACAGTCGTAGCCTGGTTCGGCAGGCTCAGGCTTGATTATTAGCTTGAAAACTTTTGAGACATGGTGGTCTTCGATTTGATCTTATTGGCATCTGGTCAAGTCCTCGATGCTATCAAGTTGTGCTCGGCGAGGGCTGGTAATGACAGAAGAGTGCTGCTGGCTGCTGCGCGACTGTGATTGATACTCAGGGCAAGCTCTTGACATCCCAAATCTTGACGTTTGCATCCCCTCCCGCGCTGGCGATCTGTCCACCCTCTATCCACGAGATGCCATTGACTCCGTCCTTGTGTGCGTTGGAAGCCTTGATTCGCTTTCCTTGGTTTTTCTTTTCCAAGCACCAGACAAAGACATTGGTGTCTAAGCTCCCGCTAGCTGCGTATGCGCCGGTATCGTCCCAGGCAATGCAAGTCACGCGCGCTGTGTGAGCAGACCACCGATCTGAAGCCACCTCCCAACTTCCGGTATTGTATGCATAAATCTTGCCAACGTTATTTCCGGCCGCCAGGTGAGAGCCGTCCCTGGAGAAAGCCAAAGCAGATATCGTTCCAGTAGGGTTCGCCAACGTTTGGCATTCTTCCAAAGAGCCCCTGGAACCGGCTTTGTATACCTTGACTGAGTTTTTGTCTGCCCCTACGGCGACCAAGTTTCCTGAGGCGGCGATGCATGTCGGAGCATAGCCGACGGTTGTCTCTTTCAAGAGCTTCCCGTTTGAATACGCCACAATTGACGATACCATGGCGACATATAGGACACCGTCGGACGCACTGGCGCCCTTTGGCTGTGCAGGAAGGCTGATGGACTCGCCCACGGAAGTGCTGGCCGATTCATCCGCAATCTTCACCATGTCATCCCAGCCGGCGGTGTAGACTTTGCCTGCAAATCCGGTTATCTGTACAACCTGGTTTGTATGAGATCCTCCGTCGACAACACTGGCAGTGCCTGTTTTGACGTTCCAGTGGCAAACCCGGCCATCAAAGCTACCCGTCCATAACGCAGAGCCTGTGCCGTCAGAGGAGGCCGTCAGTGCGGTGATGCTCTTTTGGTGCCCCTGGAGGATCCTAACGGGTTCTTCCTTGCCCTCGTTGAGGTAAATGAGCTCCCCGTACAAGTTTACGCTGATAATCAAACCATCAGTTCGGCCGTGGGGAATGACGACACCCATCTGCTGGTCGCGAATGCTGACACCATCCCCAAACTTCCAGGTCTGAATGACGGTGCCTGAGTCAACCTCCCAAAGCTTTATCGTTTGGTCAGCGCTTGCAGTGGCAAACTTCTTACCGTCCTGAGACCAGGACAGGGCGAAGATGCTGCCGGTGTGCTCCCCCTCACCAATCTGCCTTGTAGGCTCCCCAGTCTTTCCATCGTACAACTGTATTCGCTTATCCGCGCCAACGGTCGCAAGAGTAGCTCCATCGGGTGAGTATGAAGTTCCGAGAACGAAACCCTTGTGTAGGGCGCTCTTCTCGTTGAATTTATACGGAGCGCCGTGATAAAACACCATATTGCCATCATCACCGACAGTCGCCGCACGGAAGGGGCGCTGAGGCCTCATAGCTACTGCGTTGACGGATTTTGAATGGCCAATGATTTCCCCCACCGAGTTACCACTGTCTGCCGTGATGCAGCGGCCGAATTGCTCCTTGCCGTCTCCGACAGCAATAACGCGCTGAGACTCGCCGTCCCAGGCAACATCGTTCAGTCGGCCCGAGATGATGTGATATTCGCCAATGGTCTTGTCCGTGTTCTCGGGCTCCCAGACTTGGAGCGTGCCGCTGGCATCACCACTGGCGACCTTGAATCCGTTGGGCGAAAACCGAGCGACGGTTGTCGTAGCCGTGTGACCGGTATACTCCTTGCATTCTGCGGGTTTATCGATGGAGCGGACAATGATTGATTTTCCCGACTGAGAAGGCGCTGCGTTAGCATCATGGGGGGCTTCATAGGTTGGGACGACTCTTGTGCTGAGCCGACGCAAGCTTGCATTGCAGAGAGTTGGCTGGAACTTACGGCGTAAGCTATCCGTTGGCCCTTGGGGTCGGCGGACAGCTGGGTTGGCTGTCCTCTGGTGGTAGAGGGAGCGGCTGCGAGAATGCGGTTCAAGGTAACAGCGGGAGCTGCCATGGTTTTGCCACAGTCGTGCTTGGCTGACTGTCGTGATGTGCTCGAGCGGTGATGAGGCTTGGTGGGGGAGGAAGCCTGGTCTGGTTACGTTGACAGGACTCAGGAGGAGGAGGGGCCAGGGACCTGAAGCTTGGTCGTCAAGGGGCAGCCAATGACGTCGGCGTGGCTGTGGCAGTGGCTGTGGCAGTGGCCGCCTGGCGACTTCCGAAATGCTTGAGCTTCACAACACGCTTCGATTCCCGTCGCCCGCGGCCTCGCGGACTTGAATTATACGGTCTCGTACTTGTCTACTCCGTACCTTGCAAGAAGACGACGCCTCGATAGGCTCAGTCTTTTCGCCGCTCCGCCGTCGCAATTTCACCCGCAGGACGACGTCGCCACGGCGGTAGCTACTAGGCAGCCGTGAGGAGCCCTCTAGTCTTCTGAGCTGGCAAGCGGGTTCCGACGGATACGAGGTTACGTCTTTGATGCGAAATGAAAGAAATCTTGATAGGATGCTAGCGCCCGGGCCCATTGGTAGTACGTACCTGTTCAAATAGCTTGACTCGTCGGAATATTGATCAGACAGACAGATGCCAGCCGGAGCATGTCCTTGATGGGACAGGAATGCTACGGCAACGCCAACAACAAACCACCATGACGGACGATGGCTCGTCGGGGGGACACCATTTGCGCCAGCCACAGTGTGCCTCGATGCTCGACTGGAAATTTCCCGAGTACGGACTGCCTCGCATCTTGGCGGCCAAAGCAGCCGCATTTCCCGCGTCCCTGAACATGACCGCATGGCACGCCGTCCAAGCACCCAAGCACCCAACCTGTCTCATGCCGCCGTGGGGTGTCACAAAAAGCAACTTGTTTCCCTTCCTAGCCAACCTCGCAGCTTGTTGTCCCAGGAGCTGGTCAGTGGTGAGTGGGAGTCGCTCGGCACCGGAGCACTAGTCTCATTCCTACCAACTTGCGGATTGCAGAAGGACTACGCCGTACTACAACAACACGCCCCAAGGCCAAGTATTTGCACGACCCGACCGCGTGTATGCGAAGGAACCCAGCCCTGGTGACACCAGCCGGCAGTCTGGCGCCGTATCACTTGCGTGGAAGCTGTCTGCCGTCTGCCAGTAAACAACGACCAACGGCTTTTTATTGGGAACCCGGCGCCCTCGCCTGTTGGACAGTACGGAAGGCAAGGGGGGTTGTATGCGATCCGATACGACAGCCATACACTTCGTACGTAGTCCGTACAGTCAAGTCAGTATGTATGTGTGTGTCCTAGACGAGACAGCGCCGTCCCCAAAAGGAGATTTTTTTGCCAGTTGTTTCAACAGACACCTGCGGCTGAAGGAAATGTTGACTGCGACAGTACAAAGAAGGGCTGTCGGATTCCAAGTTACTGATCGTACGCCACCGTCTTAAAATGAAGCAAGCCAGGACGCCGGCCCTCTGTGTACGGCCATACGTATATTAAAACCACAGACCTCCCCCCTGATCTCGCCTCCCGACTCTTTGTTTGACCTGCAAATCATCACGCCGTTGCAAGAGCCCCGTCATTCGTCGAGCAAGTCCATCTGAAATCCTCATACCTCGGCCAGCCAGCTCCAACCAGCCTCCCAAGAATCAAGATGAAGTTGCTCGTTTACCTCGCAGCCGTCGCCATCAGCGGCGTCTCCGCCGCAAGCACAACCTCGAGCACCGCTGCCGCTGCCGCTCCCGCCGTCTCCCAGAAGAACTGCCTCGCCGACTACATCCTCAAGCAGTGCCTCGAGACCGAGAACGCAAGGGTACGTAGCTGCGGTCATGAGCAAAAACCTCGCCTCTCCATCACTGACCCGTTGCACAGCTCGCCACCTGCGGCCTAACCGACTACCAATGCAAGTGCTACGCGCACCAAGCCATCGTGACGTACGGGCCCCGTCCTAGTCCCGTACCCGTCTCATGCACGCAAATCTGACAAATTCCACAGCTGCTACAATAACTGCCCCAACGACCCCGACGCCCCAGGCGCCACGCTGTACATGAACGGCGCCTGCATGGACGCCTCGGCCTATGCCACCACAAGTTCGGCAAAGGCCACTTCCACAGCCCAGGCAGACTCGGCGGCCGCTTCCACCGAGGCCACCACATCCAAGCCGACAGCCGTGCCCACCAGGTCCATCACCGCCGCCTCCGCCGCCGCCAGCAAGACCAACGGTGCGGAGAGCCTCGCCGGCAGCGCCGCCGGCATGCTTGCCGCCGTTGCCGGCGCCGTAGCCCTTGCCTTGTAAAAGGGATCCGGGAAGCGCGAGACCGTGCGGTCTGCGAGGGACGACGGACGACGGACCGAGAGCCTCGACAACACCGACAACGAGCCCGTCTGGGGACCGGGACCGGGGACCGGGGACGTGTTAGGCAGCACCCAGCTACCTAGGTAATCCTTAATACTATTCATTGGCTTTGGCCGAATCCTCGCAAGTTGGTTGGCCGTGGCTCGGGAGCGCGCCCCTTTGAGAGCAAGGGCCGGCCCTAGGTTGACGGGATCGATGCGCGTCCTATTTCATTTCCGTGGTGTACGTTTCAATCAGACGCGTCATTCCATCGTGCTGGCCATGCAGTCTTGTGAGAGGTGCAACTAAGAGGCTCCCTCGTGATCCATTCACCGTCTACCCAGATAGTTAGTTACCCAAGCAACTCACGCATGTCATGGCGTACGTATCGCGTCTCAAGTCCGCTTAGTAGTCACAGTCTTGGAAAAGACATCCTCCATCCTCTTGGGTCGCATCACAGCAATCACAAATCATCCACGAGAGAGAGGAGGGGCGCTCGTCTTCATGCCAAGTCAACCGTGTTTCGCAGTCCTCTACGGCACTGCCTAAACCAAACTCTTCTATCATACACCGAGGCTGGTCCTCCTATTGTGCTTCGTGGTCCAAATCATACAACCACTGTTGGCAATCGCGCCAAAGTCGCAAGCCTTTCCTCTCAGAAAACAAGTCCCGCTCTCCTGTTGCGCCAAGTACGAGGAAAAAGAGAGCAAAACGACATCTCTACAGAAAAACCGCGACGGGAAGCTGAGCAAGTCCATTCTTGCCTGGTTACAAACCACTTGGACGCCTGAGAATAAATTTCCAGATTTTTCTACCAGTATGCCACGCGCATCTTCGTTCCGTGCCGACACGAGTCTTGTGTAACTGTGCTACCGCTAGAGCGCACGTCCTCCATGATACTTTGTTCTCAGAGCACGTGTTGGAGGGAGGGAGAGAGGGGAAGAGAAAAAAAGACTAAAATCGAGTAGAGGTTTCAAATAGAATCAGTAGCAGAATAACGAGCAAGCCCATCATATGCTGTTGACTGTTGAAGCGTATGTGGATTGAAATTGTGATGTTGGAGAAAGTACAAAAGTATGGGAGACAATTGGCACCCTTGCAGTGACACTGCAACGGAAACAAAAGACGTCTCATGCTCTGCGCGATCTTCGCTCCTTGGCTCGGTTCCTCACCGGCCCAAGAAAGGTGACATGTTGCTTGTTGACATCGTCTTTACGGAGCCTCACTGTTCCGGAAACGCCGTTGGAGCCACGGCGCAGGGACCTCGAGTCATGGTCGTCGTCAAGCGTAATTTCAGCGACGTCAGACACAGATTCGTTGTCAAGCTCATCACTACCACCGGAAATGGAGGATCCGTCATCAGAGTCGTCATACTCTCCGTCGTCACTAACAAGAGACGGCGCATTGTTGCTGACCAAGGTACTGGGGCTGAGGTTGGCTTCCATATCCATCTCTTCATCGGACAAGGCAGCATCGGAGCCCGGTTTGGACATCACATCCAGACTAGAACCAGGAGAGGATACGACAGACATGGGCGGAGCACGGCTCTTGCTGCTCGTTGGGTGGCTGGGCAAGTCGGTAGGAGCAGCAGGCGTCTTACCGCTCTGGGCTGGTACACGCTTGACGAAAGGAGTTCGAGTAGGAGCACCATCATTTGATCCGTCGAAGGCAGTAATGGGAGTGCCCGCATCGTCGGATTCGTCGTCGGGTGTCATGTCTTCGATGGAAATCTTGGTCTTGGCGTCTGCAACGAGGTCACGAAGGTTGCCATTGAAGTTGCGGCTCTTCATCAGACGAGACAGATACGGGGTCTCAGTAGCAGGATTGAATCTGGTGGCGGCGGCCCTTGACTTCTTGGAAACCGGCGCGTTCACACCAGGGGTCCTTGAGATGATCGCGTCAACACCAGGATGCTTACCTTGGTGATACAGCTCGAGTGAGTCGGCGATTCGCGTGCGCAGTTTGACGTACACCTCTTGATCGGACATGTCTTGCCGGGCAAAGGGATGCACGTGCGTTGGAAACGACGACGGGTTGTGGTTGTTGTTGTTGTTGTTGTTGACGGTATTGCTAGCTTGGGTCTTGTCATCTGTGCCAGCGCTCCCAGCACCACCATTCTCTCCAACATCGATGGGGTGTCCGCTCTGGACGGCAGCCTCCTCATGGCTCTTAAAGTCCCGCTTGTGCGCAATCCGGCAGTGGTTTATGAAGCCTTGAGTGCTGGAAAAGTTTTCGCGGTTGCAGTCGAGGCAAACCAGCTTAACGGTTTGGCCATCGGATCGCTTTAGAATACAAGGACCAGCCTTGTCCTTTGGTTGAGGATATCCACTCGACAAAGCTTGAAGCTTCTGGCCTGCGTTTCCGCGAACAGGTCTGCCCTTGGAGGCTGGCAGAGTTTCCGTGAAACTGTTCCTGGTCGTTCTGCCTTCGGCAATGGGAATACGTGCGCGCGAAGATTCCGACGTGAACTGCCACTCTGGCTGTTCGCCATCGAAAGCGGGGTCGGGGATGAGCCACTTCGCATAATGTCGTGCATATGGACCATCCACGACCCCAAAGGGCGGTGCCCAATGAGGAACTGGTTCTCCGAATCGAGTGATGGCTGCAGGGCCCTTGCCGCTGCTTATGTCGAGCATCTGGTCGGGAGTAGGACAATATTGAGGATACGGGATCAGGTGGCATCTGCGCAATTGTTCCAGCGCTATTTGGCACTTGGCAAGCTCCTGATTGATCAACCTCAACTCTTGATGCTTGAGAAGCACCTCGAGGCCCATTTGGTGCCTGACGACGTCGCGCACATGATCCAAACGATCATCGCCAAGGGAAGATACTGGGTCGTCGCGCGATGATACAGAAGCTGAGTCGAAGTTGTCTGAGTGCAATTTGGTTCGCTTAGCCAGAGACGCATCCGACGATGCTTCTCCGGAGTCGTCATAGGCATCCCAGCTCCTCTTGGGAGCCGGGATGCCAGGGACGATTTGCGACGACCGGTCTGACGTAGCGTCCAGCGGTAACTCCAGGTTTTTTCCAAGCTGATCGCTTCCCCTAGGATCGGAGCTCCAGAAATGAAACATAGAGCAGCCTCCGTCAGCAAGAGCGTGGGTTGCTGATGAGTCGCGACACAGTAGTATCGCGGCGACGTCTGCAGGATGATATTTGCGACCAACAGCGACTGGAAGCGTCTGGACGGCCAGCAGAGTGGATCCCGGAGCACTGCTGACGTAAACAGTAAAGTGGGACTAGGGGTGCCTGATGAGGTGGCAGTCGGGCCAGGTCGGACACCGGGGGGTTGGATTTGAGTCAGAACACGGAGTGTGGCGACAAAGCTCCAGAGGCAGGAGTCAGTCAGAAGGAGGAGGCAGACGTGCGAGTCTGACAAGCAGAGCGAACGTAGAAGTGAGAGTGTCGGGAAGAGAGTGAGAAGAGAGGGAAGAAGATGAGCTGTCGCGCAAGATGATCGAGAGCTAGCCAAAGCCTCGAGTTGTATCTCTTGAGGAGACAACGAGTCTGAAGAGGAAGAGACGAAAAAGAAAGGGAAAATAGGTGATGAGAGTGAAAAAAAATTAATGGGCTACAGCAGAGGAAGGAGGGAAAGAGGGAGCAAACGGGGGGAGACGAGAGTCTTGGGTGGTGTTTGGATAGTGGAAGCGGGAGAACAGCTGCTCGAGGGGGGTTCGAGTGAGCGCAATGTCAAGTCTGGTTGGACCAGCCAGTTAGGCCAGCCAGTGGGAGCAGTGGACGGGCGCTGGCCGTGGACGGGACATCAGACACGGGTGAACCAGACTGGAGGGAGCATGTACTCGGTACCCCCTCGCCCCGTCAACTGGGGCTCCAAGGCGGCGGGGGAACGCCTGGACAGCGTACTTGCTGCGTACTTCTTACTTGTTACTTCAAGGAGTAGTGCCTGAGTCGGTACTTGGTGGTCTCCAGGGCGCTGTCTGGTTATGTTTTGGCGCAGGCAGCCCGGCGGCAGGCGCCAAGTTTTTGAACTGGCTGGCCCGAGTGGAACAACAGCCAGCACCCGTAACGAGCAGCGCCGCGCACTGGTGGACGCCTCAATACAAACGCACCGCGCTGCACGGTCCCATCCACCAGTGTTCCGAGGACAGCTTGGGAGCTGTCCAAGTACCAGTGGCACATGTAATATGGAGTCGGCCAGGACCCAGTTTGGCTGGGAGAGGGCGACACGGATGGCGACCCGCTTGCCGCTCAACGGATTAAAGCGAGGGCTGCTTGGCCGAGGGTGAAGATTGAGTTTGAATCCAGTCAACAGGTGGATTTGGGGGGTGGGCCGGGCCCAGCTGGGGCAACACAGCCAGCAGCCCACTGGGCAGCTTGACAACACCGGTCGACCACCAAACCACTGCTGGTCGCAAAATTCCACAGTAAGTACGGAGTAGGCAGTCGAACCCACCACACTCGCCGCAGAGAGGTGTGGGGAGTCATTCAATGGGCTGCGCCCGAGCCAATGCGCGCGAGGCAAAATCCGCCTTTTAGCGGCCTTCCAAGGTCCCAGTCTGGTTCGCATTTTCATCCGACCGGACTGTCCCCAGTGCTCGCCTAGAACACGTCGTCATGCGTGCCGACGTATGTACTCGGGTGCCGCTTGATAGGGCAACAGAAGTATGTACACTTGGGTAGCAGAGAGATGCCAGATCCCGGCCCGCTAGTGAGCTGCAGCCTGCTAATTAGGTACTTACTCAGTAAGTACTCAAGTAGGTACGGAGTACACAGAGTATGTAAGTTATCTTGCTCAGTCTGTGTCTCTTTGTTTCTCACGGCCAAGACATGCGGCATGGCTGGCGCATCCAGTTCAATGGTTGCGAGCTGGACAAGCAAGACAGATGTCAGTAACTGTTCCTTGACCTCTGGTTCTTGGGCCGAAGCCAAACAGGCACAAACAAGGCACAAGGCACAAGGCTGTCGCCCAGGAAGCCACCCATGCTTGGCTTGTTTACTGCCTGGGAGGTATGTACCTACCTGGTATTTGGATACCTACTCCGTACGTAGGTGTACTTAATTCACAAGTCGTATGTCCATACGGTCGCCGGTGCACGGATACGGAGGGCCAGTTGAGCATTCAACACCAACAAATCAGAAATCAGCCACCGGATGTGGCAGGAACGAGGTTGGCAGGCCAAGACCGGCCGCGTTGAACATCGTACGTACCCTGTTCGTTATTTAATGGGGGCCTCAGATGTCTCAGCATGTTCCCAGAACCTGTCAAGGGATCGTCCGGGACGTCCAAGGTTTCAGGCCTCTTGATGTATCAGTTGCCTGCAAAACAACAACATTCATGCCATTGTACTACTCCGTAAGGGCCGCAACTGCTTGGTCCCTTGGTAGTAGTTGTTGTCGCAGTACTACTCTGTACGGAGTGCCGACGACCGGGTACCGAGTACGGTTGCCCGGCTGTGATTGTGAAAGACGTCACCGTCCCACTTGACTTGGAGCGAGGGCCCAGGCAACTACGTGCCACACATCACGACAATACCCGTCCGGGTTCTGCCCAGTGAAGCGCCTACAAAAATGCCAGCCGACTGCAGGGCCGGAACGTTGTTTTGCACCGTCGACAGAGCAGTCCTCATGCCAGGTTGTTGTGACGGCCTTTGGCGCCGTCAATTGTTGGGTCCTGCAGCTCATGCTTGGTGGGTGGTGGGGCGCCACATCAGCCTCCTTTGCCCATGCGCGGTTTTGTTTTGTGCAACGAAGTACATACGTAGTAACATGTGAAGGATGGCGCTCAGCGATACTCCGTACTGGAGCTGCCATCTCCGTCCGCCGTCGCAGCATCTACCAAAGGGACCCGCAGATCTATGTTGAAGCCATGTCCGTGTCGACTTTGGGTGCAAATCAATTTTTCCCTCTCAACATTTTAACCTGCCGACTTGTTTTCCCCCTTCACCTTGTATAAGTCTGGTGCATACCTATGTCTGGTGCCTTGTGTTTGCTCCCTGTACTACGGAGTATTTACGCAATAAGTAAGTACCTACCAAGTAGGTAAAAGTAGCCCGAATAGCCACATGCTAGATCCGAAATGTTTCGCGGGTCGCCCGGATCATGTGTGATTTGGAGATGCAGAGAAATAGCTTCGTCTTTGCTTGCACAAGATATCAATGAATGCCCTTCATCAATCCTGCACACATCTGGCAAGCTGCCGCCCCACATTTGTAAAATCCCGATATGCCAAGGCCAGCCCTGTTGGAAGAAACAAAAATAATAAATAAAATCGGAGGGGGTCCAAACCTTCCACCTCAAATCCGCACAGTTGCCAACCACAATATCCTCAGGCCAATTCAAGCAAAACATGTCTCCCGAGGCCTCACAAGAGACTTGTTCCGCCTCTCAAAAACGCAAAGAACCGTCTGCCGCAGACCGGCCAGCGGAACGTTGTCGGTCACAGCCTTTCCCTCCCGGCATGGCGTCAAAGCCAGCCCTCATCGGGCCTCACGAGGCCATCATCGCCCAGCTCCAACCAAAGTACAACGTCCTTGCAGCGTCTGTAATATCCTCGACCCAGATCCGAAAGCGTGTCATGCAAGCTGTCTCGCATCTTGGTTCCACGTCAGATCTACCGAACGTGGTGTTGCTGCATGCCCGGACGGCAGAGGTGTGCAAGATGATTACCATCGTGGAGCAGTGCAAGAGGGTGCTGAGGGAGCAGGGCAAGACGTGTCTTCAGTACAATGAGATGTTTCCGTTGCCGGAGACGGAGGGAAAAGACGTGGTCGAGGAGACGGTTCTCGAAAGGGACGATGGCGAGGGCGAGAATGCTCAAGAGGGCGATTCCGAGGTAATGGCCAGTCGATTCGAAAAGGCTGTAATACCGGAGCCGTCGAAGCGTGCGACCATGTCTCTGAGGGTGATTTTGAGCATGGAGGAAGTGGGAGTCTTGAAGGACAGAAAGGGTGTCACCGTTCAGACAAGTGAGTCGAAATGATGGGCGCCTCTGCGATGCAACGGCGTTACGGGTGGCTCGGAGTGCTGTTTTGCGGCTCGGAGATATGCAAGATACCCCAATTGGCTTCAGTAAGTTGGCGCTGAATTCGACATGGCATTTTTACTATAACATCGATTATTTATACTATGTAACTGGAACACGACGCTGGATATCCAAGATACGACCTCTTCATCCTTCGCCAGAAGCGCATGCTTCTCTCCCCTTGCGTTGTCTTTGCAGAACTGCTTCATTCTTCTTTGCGCATGCGACACCTCCACCCCCGCTGCCACCGTGGCCCCGTTCTCAATGAACAATCAGGCCACCAAGCCTAGTTGTGCTTCTGCTTGTTCGAGTGGTCCGTAATGCGCAACACAAAGTTGACCACGACGGCTAATAACAAGATTATGGCCAAGAAGGTGGGACCAAATCGGTCATCGAAACCAGCCTGCCCCCTCATTCGTATTGACTTTGCTCGCCAATGGTACGTCACCAACGCATACAGCATGGTCAACATGGCCACGCCGGTGAAGAGGAAGGCCGAGATGAAGGCCACCCGATCGCCAAAGTTGAGCATTCCAATGGCTAGGGCGCCCAGGATGACGGTGAAGTTGAGCCATGACAGGAAGGTGCGCTCGTTGGCGAAGAAGACTTTGGGTTCGACTCGGGTGGGCAGGGCGATGCGCTTGCCTGGCGCTGGTTAGCATTGGCTGCTAGAGTCATGACCGCTGTCAGATTTGGCGTACCTTGAGTGGTCTGGAGAAGAGGTTGCGAAGACATTTTGTTTGTCGAGGGCAAGTCGACGGATGGCAGCGCTGTAGTAGGTCGCTGCGGTTGTTGATTCGCTAGAAGCTACGGCTCCGTTGTGATGTCGAGATACTTGCCAATTGGCTGACGCAAAGACCCAGAGATTCCGGACACCTTGCAGTGTTTTCTCAATTCTCCAGAGGCGAGAATCCGGTCCAGGGAGAGAATCGATCGGGCAAGATGCGAACTGCGACGTTTGGAGGAAATGCTCTCGCAACTGGTCAGTAGGGTGCAGTTGGGGCCTTCGGGTGCAACCCCACATGTGATGACTGTTTGGGAGAGCTCCAGTTCACGTGCGCAGGCTGGTTGGCCCGGGGTCACGTGCAGTGCCCCGCTAACCACGGAGACTGGCGAGAGTGCCAAAACGCGATATGGAATTGGCTGCGAGAGAACAGGGACGTTGCTTATTCGTTCGGGGTTTTTGTTATTTACTTATTTATTTTATTATTTGAATAAATACTTACATTTTTTCTGTTATTAAACATTCCTCGGGCATTTGAATAGATTACCGATGTTACGGCCTTTTCGCTGGTCGAGGTTCCTTGGTTGTTCGCGCGCGACTCTGGCTACCCCTCGTATTCATCAACCTAAGTACTCAAGTATTCGCTACGGAGTACCCGGTGTTTACGTCTACGCTTCAACATCGCTCCACCTCAATCGCTCGTTAATCAACCATCGCCACAAGCCACGAGATGTCTGCTCCTGTATGTGGCAAACCTTGAGTGTCTCGAGCTCAAGGACTGGACTTTCCCCTCTAGATATTCTGCTGACCATCGGCTGTAGCCTGTTCCCTTCAACCGCCTCAAGCAGATTGCTACCGATGTACGGATTGCCCCTCGTTCCGCGGAACAACCAGTTTCCACCCGCCCAACTTTACACCCTTGCGAGGAGTATTGCTGGCTCTGACAAATGCACATCAGGTCTGCAGCAAAGCGATCGGTAGCGCCGAGTTCTACGACCACGCAAAGACGGAGCAATGGAACTCTGCCATCATCGTACGTCCATGCCAGACAAACATAGTCACCGTCCCAGCACCCGTGAAGCGACCGCTTAACACGCATCTAGAATTCTATGCTCAAGGCCGTCATCTCCGAGTCAACACCCCAAGGAGCTTCCGCCCCATCATTCAAATTCGCATGCAACAGCACCATCGTGCAGCACCTCGTGCCCACTTCCTCACTGAACAAGGCCCGCGGCGGAACCGAGATCAAAGGGCAGCCTCACATCTCGACGAGCTCCGAGGCCACGGCCACCGATGGCAAACCTCACGTCGGTCGACGTGGTATGCACAGCGCCACCGGCGCCTACTGGGACGAGAAGAAGGATGGCATGTGGACCTTCAAGTATGACGGGGGTGAGGGCAAGGGCATGGACGTGGTCATTATGCTCATCTGGATTGGCATCTAAATGCGTACGAGGTCGCACGAAAGGTGGTAAAACTCCTTGGATCGGAGTCGAACCCCGTAGGAACAGAAGGGAGTCGGAGCATGGCTGGCACCCTGCACTGTAACGGCGTTTCAGGAGCAAAGATATCTATTATTCGAACACGTTCGCTCCATATGCCCCGTCGGTGGTGAGTGTCGCCAAGTGTCGGACTCAATGACGAACTCTCTGTAGTTGAGCATTTTGTGAGATAACAATCTAGGTAGGTGCTGCTTGGGAGTTGCTATTTTGCGGGTACGTTTTCGCGATGTGTGTCTCGCTAGATTTCTTATTGGCTGTAAACGATGGACATAGCCCAATGCTTGATTGTGAAGATTTGGCAGAATAATCATCGCTCTGTGATGTTGGCAGCCGGGTGTTGTTCAATCTGCTGCGTTCAGCACACTTTCCTTGACTTGTTTCGTTTGTCTCGCTTCTATTGCCTGCCATGGTTGTTAGTCGACAATGGAACGTGTTTTTTTATTCCTTTTCTTTGCCTTCTCCAGTGTCGAGTGGTGCGGTGCTCAAATTGAAACTCCGGACAACAGCGTCGGAGCAGTGGGGTCTTGATCGATGAGTCGCCTCATATTCCATTTTCGATGAGAAATGGTGAGGCGACTGAAGAACTGTCTGACCCTGGGCTGTACTCGAACGCAGATATACGCTTTGCAGTGTTGAACCATTACCGTCGCCACCACCGAAGCTACTGGCATTCTTGACGCTGTCACGTGTAGATTCAGGCCTTGTACATGCCAGCGCCAGCGCCTTCCTACTCTCCCTACGAACCAACACACGTTAAGAAGCACATTGCAAATATGGAGCGAGATACCCAATCCACCACGTCTCGACCTTACCATGTGGGTGGTATTGGTTCTTTGCCACAAAAAGAACCATTGAACCGCATTGGAGTCGGGCTACGGCGCTGATTCACAATCAGAGCGAACGGGTTTGGGAAAACGCCCCATTGCGCATGCGCCATCTGCAACGGATAGACCTGATCCCGCAGCTGGGTTGGATCAGTCCGCAACAGTAGTAGCAAGACAGCCGCGGTTCATCAGGCCTTGGTATGTTTCTAGAACAAAGGCAGTGCTGGGTGGTGGCTTTTGACAGACAGGCCATGAATGAACTGATGAACTGGTGCGTGGCGCTCCATGGGCTTGGACGACAATCAGAAGACTCCGTTGGATGATTCGGTTTGGGTCTTGCCCTTTGCCAAGTCACCGCCGCTCCTTCCTCCCTTGCGACGTTGGCGGCCCTGGGCCATCCACCAACGACAAACTCGCCTCCTCATTCTTCTTCCTTGCATCAAGAAAATGATTTCTTGGGAACACCCGACTTCATTCTTCACAGCCGTTTTCGCCACCAGGGTCTCTCCGACACCGACAAGGTTCCTGCAACGGTCACTGCCGCCGCTCACTGAAAATGCTCCGCAATGATGATGCTTCTCTGCAGATCTGAGGGGCTTCCTGGCGCCCGCCGGGAAGATGGCTCCTCGCGGCTTGTGTGGAGCATCATGGAGAAAACGACAAATCGATGGAGTCCCGATGGCCTAAGTCGAGGCCGCCTAGTGGCTGGCATGGTATTCGGTGTGGGAGTTTGACGCTGTATCGGGGACCTCGCCACCTCGCCAAGCTCTCTGTTGGCGACAAGATTCACGTCCCTTCGTTTCTATGGATTTCACCAGGGGGATGATAGAGCCGGATCATGCAACCATCCTGGCTAATAAAGTGCCGCCCTACGGCGTACCGCGGAGACAAGGTCCGTATTCCGAAGCGTCGGTCGAATCGGATTTTCACGCCACAGGGTTGGACCCGAGCCTGGGAGGCCGTTGCCCACGCACCACGCCGCGAGATCTAGCACACCACACCATCCCATTTTTGCATGAAGAAAACATGGCAAAGCAACAAAGCGCACCATCTTTGTTGCCCGTTGTCTTTGCAAGGGAACGCCGCGTGCCGCCACCTTGTTCCAATGCAGAGACGAACGGTTTGCGGCGGCTTGCCTCTGTCGTAATTTAGGAGTCCGTCTGGTCATGTGCCTGCCGATCAAGAAGCCGCGCATGCAATCTCGTCACAGCTCTCGACATCGTCCAGGGCGTGCGGCTTTTGTTAGGGAGCCCACGCAAGGCACAGTGGGGAAGACCCAGAAAGTCAATCAAAGGACAGATGGGTGCAGGTCGTGCCCTTGTGAGACTGTTGGAAGACCCATATGTTCTATTGTTCCAGCAACCCTGGAGAGCGAGACGCGGCCAATGATAGACGTGCGGCCATGCGAGCGGCTATGACAGACTCTCTTCTCTTCTTCACCACCATCTCATCTAATTCACACCGGCTGAGTTGACTTTCGAAGAAACACTGCCTGCTACCTAGAATTTCGGCGGAGGAAGCAATCGTCAGGTCATCCGCGTCTTGCCCCAGTTCCAGAGACTGGAGTTGGGGTATTTAACAGAGTCGAACGATCAACTAGTAAAAGCACAGCGCGATACTGCGTACTCGGCAGGCTTGAACTGTTTGTCTCCGAAGTCCGCATGGGGAGGGGAATAATAAGAACTAGATACCCCGGCTGTGCTTACCCGTTATGCCGCAAGGAGCAGGAGCAAAAGTCACATGGCCATGGGCTTTGCTGAGTCGTTTGGATGGCTCGGTCAGGGGAAATTTTTCCAAGAGTTCCCACGATGTGGACGATGTGGACACCACGGCTCCATAACGCCAGACTTTCACACCACCCCCATCGCCGAGACCGACCGACCGCCTTTGTTTGGATTACACCCCCGGCCCGAGCAGGCCAGTTGAATAAAATTCTCGTAATCCTCCCTCGTATCTGAAGTTGTGTCAACATGTAAACGACCTCCTTATGAAGTACATGGCTTTACCACGACCTTGACTGATCAACCTCCAAACAGTCATCTCGGTGCCAGTTATACATACTTTCAACGTCTCCGCTGCCAAAAGTTTCTTGTTTTTGGGGCGCCAACGCCCCCGTTTGCTTCGCTCGTTAGATTGGCCTGGTCACGCCACCAACGACCGCACGCTCGTAGCCGAAGCAAAACGAAATACGAATCGCATACTCTGCCGGTCCTGTATTCCGAATACAAAGTCAAATTTCACATACAGAGTCCATTCGATACAACCACATAACCGCTCGCCATGGTCCGACTACTAGTTGACCTCGCCCTTTCATCGAATGGCAGCGGCGTCTCTGCCCATGAGCAAACGGATGGATTCGCAGGTGTCATCGTTGCGAACCAAGAGAGCGGAACCTCGGCGCGAGAGGAACACGCTCAGCGAATGAAGGAACTCAACACGAAGCGCAGCATGAAGAGAGCCCCGCGAAGGGGATGGTCCCTGACTGATTACCAAGGCGACCAGCACCAGTATATGCCTCACTACCACCCTCATTACGTCTCTCAAATGAACCGGCACGCACCCATTCCCGAAAATGCTGTTCTGCAGTCCTCCATTGCTCGACCTGATTCGCCCGCGTCTTCGACATTGTCCTCTGCCTCTTCGACAGTTGGCCCCATGGTCCAAATGCCCCTGAGACCAAAGATGCCTCCTCCGCGCCGGTCACAATCCGTGACAGATAAGGAACCAGAGCCCAACAACGAGCGTCGGCTTTCAGTAAATATGAATCTGCTCGAACTTCCGTCTGAATTGCACTATGCTCTGTTCGACTTCCTGGACCCTATTGACGGCGCCTGCCTTGGACTTGCCCATTCACGGCTGTACTCGATTCACCTTCGCAAGAATGGCAAAGTTCCCCTCTCCAGCCGGTACTCGGGACCAAACGACATGGAATGGGCATGGCGAGGCGCTGGCCCTCTTGTTCGCAGAGAAAGCGGCGACCCTTCCGCTTCGCTCAAGGCGCTCGACAATCTCCGAGTCAAAGGCCAAGTGTACTGCCGAAAGTGCGGAATCTCCCGGTGTGAACTACACCGCCATCTAAAGGACTGGATGGGCAGCGAGTACGAATACTGCGAAATTCGAAAAACGTACGGCCGGCCGGCGGATGAGTCCGCCAGGGCGTACTGCTACATGAGCTCGCCCAAGAATCCGCACCGGTGCGGTCGCCACGGCGGAAAGAAGCCATAAGCTCGGCTGCTGTGTTGTTCAGGCTGAGCAGCTGCCACGGGGAAAGACGTTGATCGGCATAGGCGAAAACCCCAGACGGTTCGATTCTTGTGTTGTGAGCGGGTCATTGAATGGCGTCGTTGTTTCTGTATGTGCCCCGGCGTTCTTGCATCATGGACGGCGGTAGCATTGTTGTTTGCACAGGATATCCGGTAGAGCGAGGTTGCCAAGGCCAGGGGCAGCCTACAACGGGGGAAGAGACGCAGAGAATACTCATTTATACGTGCTCGAAATCATGCACACGTGTTCCCGGCTCCAGTGTATGCTCATACCGTCCGTGAACAAGCGAAGTGAGGAGCGGGTCGACGTCACGCGGCCAGCCTATGGACCAAAAAGCCAAGAAAGAGACTGTCAGGCAACATGGGCAGGCCCGTCGAGACATGCATGCTGCCTTCTACGACAATGTTCCACCTGCCTTGGGCGCGACCTCGGCCCGATCCGCCATGTGCAGTGCCTGTTTTGAAACGGGTGCGGGAGAAAGTCGCACTTTGGGTGGGTTAGGGCTCACGTATGCTGCCACGGAGCCTCACAACGCAGATGTCAGTGAAGATTTGAAACGATGCCGCTCAGCTGCCTCGTGCAATAGGGTAAATGAACCGTGTTCCCAACACCATTCCACCCGTGTCGCTCCCGCTCAGATGGACGCGCGCCAACGCCAACCAGAACTTGGTTCCAGGTATGCTATCCAAACAACTACTTTATTCTTTTTCCGTGCCCCAAACATGCGGGGGAAGGGAGAAACAAACACAAGGAAAAGGAAGAGGAAAAGGAACCAAAAGCAATCCCAGCGCCGGGGCAGAGCCTTGAGACACCACCCCTTCTTGTCGTCGCCTCAGCGAGGTGTAACTGGTTCTTTCCACCGCGGCGGACAGTTCCCCATGGCGTCGGCCCAATCCTCAATACCCCTGACGAACCAGCCGCTCGTCACGACCTTTTCATACTTCCAATCGCCCGACACCGGCCGAGGCACTCCCAGAGTAAAGGTCGGAGACGTAACGCACACGCCGTGCTCGTACTTCCACTGAAAACACGTCCGGTTCAGCCGGAACGAGGCGTCCCGCCCAGCCTTGTCGTCGTACCTTTTCCGCACCAACTCGGCTCGTGCGGTCTCGGTCGAGGGGGACGAAAAGTCAGCGTCGGAAATTTCCAGGCCCTCTGCTTCACAGACTTTGGCGCAGGCCGCTGGCGACTTGTGGGCCTGCTTTTCAACAATGTTCTTCTCCGACTCTGGTTTCCGCCTGCTTCTGACGCAGTCGGAGACTCGGTCCTCGTCCTCGGGGCCGACGTAGCAGGTGCCGCTGGAGAGGTTGTCCCAGTCTCTGCGGACGTGGACCATGTGTGGCTGGACAAATTGGCGATAGAGGTGTCGGTATTGAATGGGACCCTGCGGCCGAAATTAGCTTCGGCTGGACGCCTCGCCGCGTCAGATGCAACGTACAGAGTCGTTTCTCGACCTTTCGTATTCCCACATGTCGCCGACTCCCTGGGACGTCATTGCCGCCATGGTAAACACGGGCTGGCACCAATGGTTGCGGCCAAACGGGACCGTGGTCGGGTTCTCTCCGTTGAACATGGGATGTGCCTGCTTGACTCCGACGTCGACGAGCTGCAGGGCCTTTGCAAGCGCCAAGCCGCCATATGGGATCTGGTGGGCCAACCTGTCGTACGTCTGGGTGATGTTGGGAAACTTGCTCACCCAGCGGTCGATCAGGCGGCCGGAGAGGGCGAAGCCGCTGCTGCCGTGGGCAAAGGCGTACCCGTTGAGCATGACGGCGCTGCCCACGAACGGATCCCGTTCCCGGCGTGCCTTTTTGCGCAGCCAGTGGATCAAGTTGGGCCAGACGACGTAGGTGTCGTCCTCGACGAAGACGTACCAGTCACGTCCGGGTCGAAGTTCCCACGCCCGGGCAACAATGTTGACGGGCATGTACTTTTCCAGGGCTGCCGCCATGAGGGGGTCGTCCCGACACTGCTCCCGGGAGCTAGGGCAGTCCATCTGGTCCTGGTAGAAGCGAAATTCTTGATTCTCAAGCTTGACCCGGTCTTCAACACGGCCCAGCGCGTCATGAGCACGGCGGCCGGCAATGTCTTGTTCCTGTTGCACGTCCATGAAATGTCAACATGCGTGAGCCCGCAGCCCGGCAAAGTATACGTGTACGTGTGCTCACCATGTCCGAAAAAACAAAAACATCGGGCAGGCATTGCAAGTGCGTCAAAAAGTGCGGCGGAACCCTCGAATGGGCTCTCGCGGCCCTCGTCTTCAGAGACACGACGACTCCAGCGGCGCCGGCGACTCCGTGGCACGGCGAACCGGCACCGGATCGAGAACGCACCGGCCAGTATCGGGTGTAGAAACTGACCTCCCCGCCGCCGCCGCCGCCGCCGTATAGCTGCACCAAGGGGCAAAGGAGCAGCGTGGCGAGGCACAGAGACAAGGCCGTCGTGTGACTGCGCAACCTGGCCAGGTTGAAAGCCCAGAGCTGGAGGCGGCGTAGGCTCAGACTCGCAATCATGCCGAGAAGACGGGTGGGAAGCTGTCTCCCCTTTGATTTTGCCGAATGGTCATGGGTGGAAAAGAAACGGGCTTGATGGAAGTTCCAGGTCGAGCATGTGTTGTTGAGGGAGGAAACAAGCCGAGGACGGACTGACGCACACGTGGGATGGGGGAGAGAGAGGAAAGCCTTTGGTGCGGAGGGGCTGGGGTCGACTGGCTCTCAAGTGCGTGCTTTGGTGCTTTTTAAAGCTTTCTAAGGCAACTACTTCTTGGATACCTCAAGCACCTTCTAAAGTACTTACTTCAGTACGTACTTGGCCAAGTTGGGTTTGCGTGCTTGTCGTCACAGTCATGACCTACAGTCACAGTGCTCCCGAGTTGAACGAGGAGCGGAACTGGCCTGGGAGTGCGCGTTGCATGGAAAATCACGATGAGTACGTGCTTGCTTTCCCTCGGCAGAGACATCAACTGCTACACCAAAGTCGGGCCCGGGAACTGGTACTCAAGGTCCTCGCTGTACCTGGGTAGTATGTCGAGACCTTCAGGGTGACTGCAACAGCGCCACCGCATCATCATGTGTCAATAGCAGCTACTACAACTCATCTATCCTAAGCCATCTTGGTCGTCCATACTGAGCCAGCAACAAAGAAACCTGCTTCAACTTGATATCTCACTTCGTAAACTCTCCGTCCTTCTTGGCATCACCATCAAATCGCCTCCTTCATCCGCTCGGGGCTACGCTTCTCTTCGCACCCTGCCACTTCCTTCCACCAACCTTGGCCGCAAAACCGTTGCCGTCAATGAGTTGCTGTGGCCGCTCCTGCGGCCTCGCTTGATGCACGTCCTTGCCTAGTATCCACCGACCATCAAACATCGTCGTCTCGTTACTCACAATCACCTCCCGCGAGTACAGGCGCCGAACACCTGCGGATCCTATCCCGTCCCTGTTTGCAGCGGTCTTGGCACCAAAGTCGTAAGTCTGACGTGTGCTCCCGAAGCCACCGGATCTGCTGTTGCCCTTCTTCTGGAAAAAGAAGGCTCTGCCCTTTTTGGTCGTCTGAACTACGGACCCGGATGCTGGGCCACTGAGTCGCGCGAGAAAAGGCTCTAACCCGTTGGAGAAGACCGTGTCGCCCGTGACGGCAAGCTTCATTGTTTGGGTGAGGTTCGTGTCCAATGTGAAGGTATACGTGTCATCGGGTGGCGTCTGGACAGTGCGCACTTGCATTGGGTAAGAATAGGCGGCGTAGTAGCGTAACGCCGAGTCTCTCGTTGCTCTGTCCTCGCCCTCGTACGATGCATCAACCTTTTGAATGTTGCCGGCATCTAGCATGCATCCTGTGCTGCGCATGGCGAAGCGCTGAGACCAGGCCGACTCAAATACGTTGCCGCCGGTGCGCTTGATTTCCGACTTGATTTCCAGGGTGCGGGAAATCGTTTGATCGTACCGGAGGACCTTTTCCCGGACGGCCTCCTCACGTGGATTGTAGTTGGGCTCGCTCACAGTTACATTGGGTGGGTGTCCCGAGGTGATGGAATCCTCTCCGTCGAGCCAGAGAAAGATCTTGCCAGAAAGCAGCCAGTATCTGTTTACCACGGCGTCCTCCGCACCAACCACCTCCAGGCCAAACGTGTGCCCATCTCCGTTGCACAAAACACCAAGCCAAGGCGTGATATCGATTTCTTGCTCCTTCAAGTCGAAGGCCTGCGGCCCAACCACAGGTCTGTGCAGAGGAGGCGAGATGCCTCCCGTGAAGACGACTGGATATGGCCACGACAAGCCTGCAAGTTGACCGTCGATTCGAAGGCGAACCTCGCGGAAAGAACCTTTTCCGAGCAATGTCGTCCCTTCCCAATTGTTGATCCCATCCTCTGGAACATTTGTCCACCAAAACTCCTCGTCAGACTGACCAGTGGCGGCAATCGACAAGACAGCACGCCCAACGTTGCGGGGCAGTGTGATTGTCTTTTCCGCCTTTTCGTCGGGATACGTAAAAGCACTGCCTTTTCCAGTGGCTCCGTTCCCGGCCGACAATGGCACGATCTCATCCGCTGGCGGCGCAGCAGACCTGGTCAAGCCCTGGTCTCGAATGAACGTGGCAGTTAGCGTGGTGTTGAAGGAGCCCGTGTAATTTCTGTTGACAATGTTCCCGAGATCAAAAATAATTTTCTGACGTCGTTTCCACATCGACAGGTATGTCGTCATGTCCTTCCAATATGTCCAAGTGATACCCGGACGAGCTTCGGGCTCTGCAGTCGAAGTTCTCCAGACTTCCGTGTCGCCCAGCCACATGATGGCCAGACGGTCAAATTGACGACCCTCTGAGACGACGGTGAAGTTCATAATGACCCTGTTGAAGGGGCATTTTGCCTCATCGGGAGGCGCATACTCGGCTGTACACATGGAAGGAACAAAGTCAGCCTCCATTCACTGGGTGTCAAGATTCAAGACAAACCCCCATTGATCCATACACCTCGGCCTAGGTAGCCTAGAGAGTCCATACTCACCAACGAATGGTTGCCCGTAGCTATTCCCGAAAACATGTTCCATCAACCGAACCTGGCACGACTCGGGTGGCACGTTTCCGGGGTAGCTGTCCAGGAGCTCGTTGCCGTCAACGATACCATCAGGAGACAAGACGGGATTCGTGACTTGGAAGCACTGCAGGGCCTGATGGGCATGTCCAGCGGTCGCTCTCGAGCCGAGCCACCGCTTCTGATTTGGCGCGTCCGTGGCATCGCGGCCATGTCCAGGTCGCGCGGGGGTCATGATGGAGGCTTGCGCCACCAGGGGCGCGATCCACAACAGGTTCCTCATGGTGTGGTCTCTCGGCCCTGGTCCTGAACCCTGACACAGGACTTGGGATGTCTTGTCGGGCGGACCTGGCACAACGGAGCGAGTGCGAGAGATGGTTTCGTCGCAGCAAGATGGCAGGTCAAATTGGCCGAGGGTCAAGAGGGGCCCTGATCCATCGTTGCTCGAGCAGCAGGCATGCAAAATGGAAGGCGAGACCGCCGGGGCTGCCACGGACCTGCTCTGCCCGGAGAAATTTCGTCTTGGGGTATCTGCAACCACAACCGTCGGGATTTACGTGCGGAGTAGTCGACCTGTGTCTCTTTTGCAAGGCCCTCTCAAAACGAACCCTAGATCCACCCGATTGATCGAAAACTAGCCTAATCAGCCAGCTGAATCTAAAGGAGCTGTCCGACTTGGCATTGCTATCGGAATTAAATTATCGGCTCATTTCGTTGCGGCAGGCTCGCCGTGGGAGCGCTGGCGTATTGCTGGTGACAATTCTTGTGCAATGTGAACATTAATCCAGGCGTTTGAGATTCTCATGGTAAGCAAGGAAAAACGGAAACTAAAAAAAGCTCGCGTGAGCTAGTCCTGGGCTTTTGTGGCCAACTAAAGGGTGAGGCCGCCAAACTTGCCAGCAGGAGAGTTGATCTTTCTCTTTTTCTTCAAACAAAAAAAATACAGCAAGCAACCAGGCATTGTCACCGCCGTCTGGCATGCAGGCTACGTTTTGTGTTCCCAGCGCCACTTGTGAATGACCGCCCTCGCTACCGTCACACGACGCTGAATGCAGAGCTCGCTCCTTCAAACGCCGTCAACTTTCCTCGCATCGACTTCGAATCACCGTAGTATCGTAGCCTGTACTCTCCTGTCGGGGCATCGCTTTCTACATCCCACTCAATGTCGACCTCGCTTAGGCCCAGTATCTTGCTCGTTCTTCGCCAATAAAAGCTGAGCCCCCAGTCCGAGTCGTCTCGAACTCGTTGCCACGGCGAATTTGCCGACGGTCGATACTCGACAGCGGCGTACGTTTGCTCAAGGCGCAGATTGTTGCGAGGATTGGCTCCCACAAAGGATGCCGAGACTTTTTCACCCCTTCTGTGGCTAGCACTGGCAACGTCGGATACTACGTCTCCAAAGTTCTTGGACAAGGGCGTCCTGTCGAAGAGAACACCGATGATGAAGCTGATGGACCGTCCGCTATTGTCTGGCGGGTACTTGTTCTTTGCCCGGTGCTCTCGACTCGGACTGTTGGATTTGAGATATTTCATGGACGCAATAGTGCGGTCTATGTACGCAGCAAGTGTATGTGGCCCGTACAGCGTAGAGGCACCTTCGTAGCGTTGAATACTATACGTGGTCAGCAAAGGTACCAGCAATCAGCCCAAAGCAAAAAGTTCTTACTTGTACTCCTCTTGTGTCGAAATGTAATGTGTATAGCTGTTGCTTGGTGCTCCGAGGACCACGACAGGGTCTTGACCGTCTAGCTCATTGGACAAAGCCCGAATACTCTGTTCCGCCACGGCCTCCTTCCACCGCCGTCCGGCCATCGTCGTTGCTTCGCCGGGGCTCACGATGATGAAAAGTTGGCCCACCCTAAACGTCTGGATATCAACCACGTTGGGAGTCCACGCGTATGGCTGGCTAACCTCGCCGACGTCTAGAATAATGGACTTGGGGTGTTGGCAGGCTACCTGGCCCCGAGTTGGTGGCTTGAGGAGCCAGGTCATGAGCCGCCAAATGAACCTCGCATTCGAGGCAGAGGACGCGTGCTGCACAAGATCGTAATGACCGGGTTCGTCCCAGGTCCCGGCCCCGAAGCCATACCCAAGCGCTGCCGGGCACGTTTGCGCCTCCGATCCGTTGGGCAATGTGAATTTGTAGAAGGACATGTCGTGGAATCTGTGAGTCGCCTTTACGCCTGTTCCCCGAATGTTTGGTGCCTGGCCGCTCAACGAGTTGTAGATGCTCCTCGCGGCTTCGTGCTGCAGCCGAGCAATCTCGAGGCAAGAGGCCGCACCGTAGTCGTTCCTTCCGAATTTCGGTCCCCTGGCTCGACACCGGTTGCTCTTTCCATCACTACAAGCGCTCGTTTTGAAATCGCACTGCTGACCAGATCCATCCTCGCACCAAGCACCCAGGATGTTTGGGCTCGCGTCACCCATGTTCGCCTGCGAGAAGCCTGCGACGAAATTGTCTGCCTCCCACCCGCTGCCCTTGACCTGCTTCTCAAACAAGTCAGCCGCGAGGCCCTTGTTGTCCCCGGTAATAAGGGTGTTGTTGGCTTGCATGGAGGTCCCATGTGTCGGAAACCAGGTGAGCACCCCGATATTCTTCTTGTCCGAGGCTCGTTGGAACTTTAGCAAGGTCATGTCCTTTTCAACGGAACCGTCGTCTTCTGAGCTGACATTGTACCGGGCCCGTTCTTCTGCGGGATTGGCAAGGTAGGCAAACAAACTGCGATTAATGTTTGCTTTCATAATCTTTGTTTTACCCACGCTCAAGTATCCTGGAGCGAGGTTCTCGTGCGCCCGTCGAATGGACAATATGCATCCTTCAACAATCGCCCGGTAGCTCTGTTGGTCGAACCCCATGCTCGGAATTTGAGGCAGGAGATAGTTCAGCCACGCTCCCGGTCCGGAGTGGGAGTGCGTTGCGGTTACGGCAACATTATCCTGGCCGTACATGGAATACCGGGAGCCGAGCGCCTCCAGGCCACGAAGGATTCCATATCGAACGGCAGTATCACCGGACTGAATGTCGAGAACCAGGTAGACGAAGCGGTCCTCGGGGTTGTTCATATCTCCGACAATGAAGGCCCGCGAATATAGTCGCTGCCGCAGGCCGCGTCCAATCTGGGAGAAATCTGCATAGCCCATCATGTTGATTTCTACCACAGGTCCAGTGATATCGGCCTTGCCCACGCCAAGGAGATACTGGTCTTTGGGCCAGTCGCCATTTGGTAGGCTTTCCGACGCCCATTTGTTTCCGGGCCTCGCGACATTGTCAGATCCGCCATAGAGCGAGGCATACGCAGCAGACGTTGACAGCACCGCGGTTGCGGCGAGGCCAGATGCCCGGAATAGAGCAACACAACAAGCACCAACCACGACGAGCAGAACCACCAAATTTCGGCCACAGACTAACCGTCGTTGTCGAGTGGAGGGTGTCTCACGGGGCCACAGTGGCGCTGAAGGGAGCCAACGACGGCCTAATTTTTCTGTGCCTTGATTGGGTGAGGCCATCATGAACCCGGAAGCAGAGAGCTGACGGGGACACGGCGACAGTCGGGCGCGAGAGAGAAAGTGTGTGGAAGCATAGAAAATGAAGAGAGGAGAAAGGCTCCGATGCGAGCCCACGTGTCGACTATCTGAGCCGCATGTCAATTCAAAGGTGGCGTGGAGGGTGATGAAGGAGAAGAAAAGTTGGATGACGGAGGGAAACGGGCGTCGGGAGGCAGTGTCTGTTGGCTATTGACCATTAGCCACGTCGTGTGTCATGAGGCTTGTCATAGACGTAGTCGTCCATGTCGCACCCTTCGCACCTTTGGCCCCCTTGGCTTCCGTTCCCGGCCGTAGCGCGGCGTGGTCAGGCACGCGGCCAGGCGTGTCGACTTGTTGACGTCTTCAAAATGGCCCGAAACGGCCCCAATGGGTCGGGCGACAGCCACTGACAGGTCCCGTGTCCAATGTCACCTCGACCAGCAGCAGCAGCTTTTGAGCCCCGTCCCGCCGTCCCGCCGTCCCGGACTTGAGATGATGCTTGCTGGCTGTTCAGTGTTTCCCGCTGGACGTCTGGAGCCGTCAGTGATGCCTGTTTCAAAATTGGAGCTCGGAGCATACGAGGCGGGCGATGATGCACCTTGGCAGTAGCGGGCTTGCTGCCGGCAAAGGTCTTGACGGCGGTGACTTGGTGCCGTTCCTGGTAAAGAAAGCCGTCGTCTGGTTTCCAACACACCAAGTACGGAGTAGTTTCCCTCGCCTTGCAATTGCGAGTGAAGCTTTGACTGCTCAAGTAACTACCTAAGGTAAGTTAGTTACCTACCCAGGTAGGTAACTTTAACCGACCGCCAGATCCACGTCACATGCCAAGTACGTAGCATACTGGGTGCAGCGCACACAGACGCAGCAGACGCACCCGACAAGACACCACCGTCGAGTCAGCAGCGCATCTGTCTCGCAAAAAAAAAAAAAAAAAAAAAAAAAACGGCCAGCTTTTATGTGTGCAAAGACTGAATACGCCGTACCCTCGACATTGAATCCCCGAACGCCCCGCCCTGCGGCCTGCACGTGGCCGGCCGTCTTCCAAATTGAGATGCTGACTCCTGACTCCTGAGTCCTGACTCCTGAGCAGACGACACACCATTGCCAGAGTTCTCCTAATGTCCGATGCTTCGTGCGCAGACTAGTCCCTGCGCAGCTGCAAACACGGACATGACTTGCGATTGACGTGTCCAACGGCTCACGCTGAGCAGACTTGGTCTGCGTGCATGACGCCCCAGAGTCGCAGACAGATCCAGGTCCGCCGGCAGTCAAGGAAGCGGGCTAGTAGCGCCTCACGAATGCGATTGAACAATATCGCAAGATTGGTTCTTGTTGTGCGAGGACATCATTTGAACCGACGCTCGGCATGTATTTTCACCGTCCGCGGAGACCCGCACCCGAACGCCACAACGCCGCAACGCCACAACTCTGGCGCGTGGCCACCGGTACTCCGTACACGGACGCAACATGGCTGCACGGCCATGGGAGAAGGCCACCAGATTGTTGACAATACCTTGCGAGCGCACAGGTGCTCTTGCTGGCGCCCACGCTCAAAGAGGCAACTCGGCGTCGTCTTTCCGGAGCGCCTCCTCGTCGTCGCCGACGTCGAACCTGACACCGTGCAGCCTCGAGAATCACCAAGTCGAGCTCGTGGAACCGTACCGCCAACGAGCGGAGACGTCTCGAGGAAATAAATGTACCCGTCACAGCTCCAGGGACAGCAAACGGATAGTTAGATGGGGGAATCCAGAATCCACCTGTCCCTCGGTGCAGTGAGCGAGTGGTGCAATTGCACCTGGTGCTTCTCGGTCCAGTCTAGGCGCCACGCAGACGTGTAGTCTGAGTGTGTGCAGAGATCTCGGCGCCTGGTTACGGAACTTGCATGCAGCCGCGTACAAAGTTACAACGGCGAGGCGAATCAATCACGTTTCACCAGGATGAGTGCTCCTGCCCTTTCGTCGGCACGTTTGAGGGGAAAGAACCGCTGATGAGGATGAGGGCACCGAGTGCCAGTGCCAGTGCCAGCCCAGCCGACCGCCTGCCAAGTTGGCTTGTCCCGTCGAAAACGTTGACACGCTTCGGCCGGCCCTCCGAGCTCATCGACGATCAACAATGCTGGCGGATCCGCCGACCGATGGCGTGACCCCGCTAGGCCCAAGCTGGTCCAAGCCCGGCCCGAGGGCTGCGACTCCTGCGAGCTGACGCCGCTGATGATTGGGTTGGGCGCGGCCCATGCTGATGCAATCGACGACCTCGCAGCGCGCTTATCGTGGCTAGGCTAGGCCAGCTGGTTGGTGTCGACATCGGCACCGCGGACAGATGGCAGACGGCAGACGGCGGATGCACGGCACGGCATGGCACGGCATGGCCTCGGTGACCACAGAGGCGAGGCAGGCCGTCGCAGAAATGCAGGTACCGTGGACGAGTCAATGACGCTGCCACATCCATTTTTCCCTTCTCCATGATCCGCGCTAGTTTCGGAACGCAGGAAGAATCGGCCTGCGGTGCCCATGCATTATCAACTACGTAGCTGCCTGGAAAGAGACGCCGAGCCGACGCTGTTGCGGATTCTCCTTCGTCGGCTCTCCGAGCACTCTGACCAATCATAGCACACGATACGCCGCAGGACCCTCCACGCTCAACACCTTTTTCATCGACTCGGTGCCCATGAACCGTCGTGGCCAGGTTAAAGACCCAATGTGGACGACACTGTCGACCGCATTTCTCTCCCGTCAAGCATCGTTTGCTTGAGGCATCACCCGCTCCCGCCTCGAATTGGGCGTCTTCCCCGGTCTTCACTCGCTGTTCCGCTGTTCCAGAGCAAGAGCAGGAGCAAGAGGTGGCTTCAATCAACCTCGGATTGGTAAGCGCCATCTCCTTCACCAACGCCGTCGGCACGGCGCGACAAGATCTCGAATGAGGCCAGCCACGCTTGCTCCATATATTCAGCCCCGTCGAGCCCGTCTTCGAACCTCGGACGGTACCGACAGACCTTGCGCTCCCGGCAATCCACGATTATCCTGCTGGCTTGGCCTAGCATCGCAACCTCCATCGTACGGGTTTCCTTTTCTCTGCAACAACGTGTGAGCCCGGAACAGCAAAGGCGCTTGAGCAGCGAGGGTTGAACCATACATACCCTTCGTCCTTGTCCTCCTCTTACCCTGGAGTCGGTCGTTTCAAAAACAGCAACCATGACGGACAGCTGCCGCGCTGGACGTCGGCCCATCCAGACCAGCGCGGTCATCGTTCTGGGATCGAGGCAAAAGCCAGCGCTTCCGCCGCCGTCCCCACCGACACCCTGTGCCTCGCCGTCCGACCAGGCCCTCATGGTCGATCCAACAGACGAGCCATTCAGCCTGGAAAAGCAGCCGCGCGGGAGACTGCCCGGACACGAGCCCGCCCAAAACAGCTACCAAACACGCCCCCAGGAGTCGCCGTCCAAGGAGAGCCGCCTCCGCCGCGGCTTGCACGTCCTGAGCACGGAAGCAGTGGCACTGGCCGCCCTCGCGCAGTTGTATGAAACCGACCCGGCCGCCCGCGAGGGCTTCGACAGAGCCGTCCAGGTGATTTCGCGCCAGGGCCTGACGAGCGGAAAGCTCGTCGTCATTGGCGTCGGCAAGTCGGGGCACATTGGCAAGAAGCTCGTCGCCACGTTGCAAAGCCTCGATATACGCGCCGTCTTCCTGCACCCAACCGAGGCTCTGCACGGAGACTTGGGCATAATCGATGCCCACGACACCTTGCTCTTCATCACCTTCTCTGGAAAGACGCAGGAGCTCATGCGGATGCTGCCACACCTGGACGACGGCCTGCCAACCATCCTTCTCACATCCCATACTCACCGTGACGGCTGCGAGTTCATCAAGTGGCGTCCAAAAACCATCCTGTTGCCCGCTCCCATCCCCGAGAGCGAGCAGGCATCCTTTGGCGTCTCTGCACCGTCCACATCGACCACGGTCGCACTGGCGCTGGGGGACGCATTAGCCATCACCGCCGCCAACGAGATTCACCACAACGTGTCTGTCGCATTCGCAAAGAATCACCCGGGAGGCGCAATCGGCGCGGCAGCAACGGCGGCGGCCGCCGCCGCCGCGAAACTGCCGCAGAGACTAAAACACATTTGCGTCTCAATGGCGGACATGCCCTCGCTCGAGGGCCCCAACCTGTCCTCCGAGGCTACGGGTCTTGATCTTCTCCGGGCTGGGTTTGACTCCAAATCCGGCTGGGTACGAATAGGGGATAAAATCGCGGCGCCCAGTAGAATAAAGAAGATCAGCAACAGTGCTTTGAACCAGACCCTCGGGGAGCTGTCCAGCACCTTCGTGTCTCGCCACGACATGATTGTCATGTCGTCCGACACGACCATTCACCAAGCGGGCAACATGATCCGGACGACCCGACCAGATGACTCTGGCGACTTGTCCTGCGCAACAGAGTCCATTGTCTGTGTTGCCGACGGGGAAAACGTCATCGGGGTGGTCGAGGCACGCCATCTCCTCGAGGTCACACAGCATCAGCAGTAGCCGCTGCAGTTTGTCAGGCGCACATGAGCTGGAAGAGAACACCGGGGCTTTTTTTTGGGATGAGGGTTTTTTCTTTTTCTCTTCAGTCGAATGATTTCATGTACGACAATCTTGCGCGTTTTGATTTGGCACGATAGCTGGCTCCTTTTCAAGAAGGGCCATTTCGCATGCATGCATTGCGGGGAAAGAGGGAAAGATAGACGTCCAGGTGTAATGTTGAACATGTTTTGGATAACACAACCGGGGGCAAACGGAATACAAGGACAGGGCCACTTGGCTCGTTTGAAGCAATCAAAATATTGAAGCCAACAACGTTACCCCTGCGATTGGACATGGTGAGCTCAGCTGCGATTCATGCCCGTACGACCGCCACATTGGCAACGAGGTCTTGTGACAAGACTGCGTCAGGCTGAATCTCTTCAGTTACTTTACAGGCACACAGCAGCTAGGCTTGTCCAGACCGACAGGACGACAAAAATGTTGGCATAGCCGTGTATCCCAAGTCTCGGCACTCGGCACTCCGTAGTTGATTGCCCAACTCTCACATCTCGCAAGGTGGCTTTTGGCTGCCACGCCGACCCCAACGGCGCAGGCATCATAGACTACTCCGCAAATCCGCAAATACGTCTTGCCAGACTTCGCCGCAAGAAGACGGTTCCAATGTCGTCTCACCACACGAAAACCAAAGCGAACAGTGTCGGGCCTATTGCCCGCAGCCTGCGAAGCATCTTCCATGTGATCACTTGCCGTTTCCATCCGGCCCTCAACTACGGGCAAGGGGAAGTCTTCCAGACGCCAAGCCGTTGCGGAGCCGAAATGCTTGCAACATCCGCTTTGCGAGCTAATCCAACGCCTCCCGCCAGCTGCTTAGTGCCGCTGGCCGAATTGGTCCGAAACTAGGGCGAGGGCGACATGAAGCAAGCAGTCCGTTTGGGAGGCCTTTCTCGGCACGCAGGTAGTTGATGTGATCCGAATCGGGACCGCCGGCCGTCCGAGCAGGTGGATTTGTGTCTGCGGGAGCGGCTTCACGTTCCGCGCGTGGTAAGAAAACAAAGACCTTGATATGGGGATCAAGGAACATGTTCGGAGTCGAGATTCCAAATCTATCTTGATCAACACCATCACCCAGCAGGATCCCGCTTCGGAGTGGCGTTTGCGCGGACTAATAATCCATCCCTTTCTCCCAGCTCTCCATCCCTCGGTGACTAAACGGGCATCGCCAGCGCAGTCGTGGCTAACCTGTTCACCCATGCGCTTGAACTTGAGCCTGTCGGCCAGTCAAAAGCTGTGCACCTTGCATGCTGTGTCACCTGAGTGCGTCTGTCGGAAGAAGTTCATTTGAGGAAACTCCTCACGCGACACCTGCACGTCTAGGCCGCCGGCACGGCTAGTCACCAGCACGACTTTCTGTTTTCGCTCTCTCCTTTCGCCCGCGTATTTGCCGGCGGACGGATACAAGGTTTCGTGTCGAGTTGGGCCGCGCGGAATACTTGCGCCGTTGCGATGCTGGTGCATTCGAGTAAGTCAAGTGCTCCGTATCTAGGTCAACGCCTCATGAAGACGTGCGTCAATGCGGAGGATCGAGACCTCAGGGAGATCTTCGATTTGTCCTCGATGGCAATGCAGAGAGCGGCTTAGGGAGGTGCTGCGCTAAGAGATATGATATCAGCATTCCCAGCGCATAGTAATAGATTGGTCGTAGAGACCAGGATAACATGCACCTTTGTACATGGCATGTCATCCAATGATGCCGTGTAGTGCAGGAGCAACATTTCGGCAAGTTGATTTGGCTCTCTGTAGCTTTGTAATCGGGCCTTTCACGAGTCACGGTGAAGGGGCGTAGAGAACTTCTATTCTGTTTCACATTTCGGAGAGCCTCTCTTACCGGCTGTACCGGCCTTGAAGGGTTTTACATCGAGAATCGGGTGGCTGTTTGACGGCGTGCTACTCTTGGTTTGAAAGGTGGATTATGACGCGTGTTCAACGACCATTTTGGGTAGCCTCTTGTAGAGTCTGGCTTTGAACATCGAAGCACATTGATGTTTCACGGTCACGCGACAGACGGCCGTGACTATAGCAGCTGAGCTGGCTGGTTCGGCTATTGCTTCCATGCCATTCTTCACAACAATGTTGCGACATCGCTCTTGGGGCGTCGGTTATCGTGCGAGACGACGTGTCTGTTGCAACTTTGCAAGGGAGAGAGCAGGGATTCTCGGTGGAGGGTATCCCACATACGCATGGGATGTGCCGCGGCCCTTTTTTTGACAAGATGGCGCCGCTGGTATTGGATTGCTGCGTATTCAGGGTCTTTTGGATTGGTCTGGTGAATCTTTGATGAAGGTGATGTCCATTGGGGGTATCATGATGTTCATCTTTCTCCCCTTTTCACCCCTTGAGGAAGATGGAGACCAAGGAAAAAAACAAGATAATATCAAAATTACTCCTGCTTATCTGTCTTTGACGAATCTTCACATTGCGTAATGATGTCGCATGCGGAGCCAAGCCAAGCCGTTGACTCCGTCCGGGAACCATTGGTTCAACTCTCAAACAGGCTGAGAGAAATCTGGGAACTTCCTGGTTGCATAACGGCCTGGATGGCATTGCTTGTGCGAAAGGTTCGGCTTACCTTTTCCACTCAATTGAGAGGATCGCATGCATACAGGTCACAAAACGACAGAAACTGTGCCAATTTGACTGTGGGACCACAGGTAAGTGCGGATTCTTATCGTGACCAGGTGAAGGCGCTTGAGGCTAACTGGACGAGATGAGGCCATTGCGGTTGGCTCGAGCGTGCTCGTTGTTGTTGTGAGGGAGGACAATATTGAGGCTCCCCGAATCTGGCCTCTATCTGCTGCAGTCATGATTCTGTCGCCTCCTCAGCAGGGGTCAGCATTCACGGAGAGATCGAGGTGTTGGGAGGGGTGCCCTTCTCGAAAAAGCAAGCTGCATCGTGAGGCGCCCGATGGCTGCAGCCAAGCAATGATGAACAGTCTCCACAATCGAAGAATCATCGACGAAGGCGTAGATTTTTCACCTGGAACGTTTTGTCTGGATCATTTAGATTATTCATATCACCTTGTCCCCTGAAACCAGGGAACCACGTTCCCTCACAACGGGACTAGTTCAAGGTCGGCGTAGTGTAGCAAAAAAAATGCGCTGGAGCTGGCATAGTAATTGGTACGCAGGAGAGGTCGGATTCCGGATTCGTGGTTAGTACGGGCCGGCACCGGTTGTCGACAGGTTGATGGACGATGGATGGACGACTTGCTTGGTCGTAGAGACGTGCCCACCTGTTCGGCGGGTTTTGTGGCTCTCTGCAGCAGCTTCTCTGAGTTGGACTGGCTGACGGGCCGGGGGTTCGGGACCCTGGTTCACGATTTCGATTAGCCTCCACATGCCTTGGCGCGGATATCAGAGATTGGAGGATACCAGACCAGAGGACAACAGGCGCGCGCGCCCTGCCGTGCTGGAGACAACGGATACGACGGAGGCCCGTAGTTTGAGGGGGTTCTTGGAGAGCTGAGGCTGCAGTGGTTGCTGGATTAGAGGAAAGGAGCAGCGCAGCATGGAGGAGGCAGGGACGGACGACGATGATAATGCACAATGCTGGGGGTACCGGGGGAAGGCGCGTTTGGGCGGGGTCTGCAACCTCCTATCTGGGTTCTAGGTACCTTCTACGGAGTACGTGGGCAACAACCTAGGTGCTCCGTACTAAGTACCTAGATACTTAACTAGGGTACTTATAAGTACTTACATAAGACACTTGTGCACCTAACTTGAGCTCGGTACTCCGTCAAGTACCTGGGCGCGCCAAAGTCGCTACTTAAGTAGATTGCATGTGGAAATGTTCCGGCATTGAAGGATGCCTACTTGAGTTAAGTACTATTTGTCCCGAAGTTTACCGGGAATTGAGAGCTTGTATGGACTTTGTTTCAAACATCCGAAATGAGCAGAGGACACCAAGTAGAACGGAATGCACGATAGCAGATAGCAGATAGCAGATAGCAGACGGCAGACGGCAGACGGCAGACAGCCATGGCCCGTGTACGGAGTACCAGCAGGCTTGAACCTCCCCTCCCACATGCATGAGCCGGCATATGTAAGAATACTGGGCTGCTGGGGTCTGGGGTCTGGCACGATCAATGAATGAATGGTTTGCCCCACTCGACCCAAGCCAAATGGCAACGACAACCTTTTTTCTCTTGGGCGGGAGCAGCCAAACAGCTTCGTCGGTCAACTGTGCAGCTAACCGGCGTTGCAACCAACCGTGCGCCGTACTTGGTTGAGAAAGTGCCGGACAGAGTCTAGATGCGGCGCCCAAAAGAGGCGGGCGGACACTGGTTCCTGGGTCTGGCTGTTGCTGTGTCTGGTGGCAATCATCAATCCTACTTGGGCTCCAAGCCCTGTGCATGTACGCCGTGCTCGGTGCTCCTAGGGGCCCTTGCTCCCTGCTCCCTCCTGGCTCCAGCAGACCTCGGCCGCCTTCGGCTTCCAGACGACGCCATGCAGGGTGCCGTTGCCACCTGGACTGGATCGAGTTGCGTGCCCACTGCCCTGCCCAGTGCCTCTGCCGAGCGGTGCCGCCTCCATCATCATTGATCCTTAAAGTTATCATGACGCCCTCCGCCAACTTAGCCGCCACACTTCTTCCCCCCCTTCCAAGCCTCGTGTCCAACTTTGAATCTTTTGGCTCGTTGAAATATCCCCCGTGGCCTCGTCCCTTTGCCGGCTTCCATTGCCAGTCATCCCTCATCTTTCTGTTCAACTGACGATCCAGCACTTGCATTCCGGACCCCTGCTGTTGCCGCGCCGTTCTTTGTTTTGCTGTCTTACCCACGGCCTGTCGGGAACCCAGAACTACGAACCACCACCAGCCCGAATTTGAACAATTTAGTTTTGCCTGTCCCGCTGGCAGTAAATCGACCATTTATACATACAGCACACGAGGTTTCTGTTCCGTATTCCTCAGCCCTTGGTCCCTGGGAGAGGTTGTCTCGCTCGTGCTGCAGCCCCCCGCAGACCAGTTCGGGAACATTGGCCGTCATCGCAGCGACGTGCGGCGACGTGCGGCGACGTGCATTTGCGTCAGCCTCGAGTCTCGACATCGATCGGCCTTGCACAGACGTCAGCGTTCTCCCGCCCTCCTTTCAACGGCCTTGCAAAGCAGCCACAGCCCGCTTGGTGCTACTTGAAACTTCAATCCTCCTCCAACCACGCGGCATGCAATAACAACCACCTCGTCCACCAATACAACTCCTGCCCCGACACCCAGCGAGCAAAAGCATGAAATACGGGCAACAGTTGGAGCACGAGTCTGTTCCGGAATGGAGCCTCCGTAAGTCGCATGAGCACATGCCGGGTGCCCTCTTCCCTGTTGCTGGCCATCGCATTTCGGACTGCAACGGCAGGTGCAGCACTCGCGGTTGCCGGCACCAACCAACACCTCGCCTCCCACGCGTCTTCTTACCTGCATCCTCCAGCCTCCATCCTCCATCCATCTGTGACACGGTCGGGTCGCTGCAGTCTTCCATTACACCTTCTATCCCATCCGTCGCCCCCCAAACCTTATGTCCCCATGTCCCATGTCCCATGTCCCATTTTCTGCATATTCCTGTCGCACGTTCCGTCGATCGTTTCCTGTTTCTCATCTCCGTTTGTGCTAACACTGCCGCGTCCAGACAATCTCGACTACAACTCTCTGAAACATGAGATCAAGGTACACACAGCGCGGGACCAGGCCACGGCCATTGCTATTCCGGGGCATCAAGATACCACCTTGAAGAAGTTTGAAGATGGTCTCTACGACGAACTATGCCGTCAGCATGATCGGGTTGATCTCTTCGTCACTAGTAAGGCGGACGAAGTTTCGAGGAGATTAGGTTAGTCCTTGTCGTCGCCCGCCATTGGAATCTGCACGGTCGACCTGCTGACTGACATTCCATCTCGTCATAGAGCATCTTGCCACTAAGATTGAGTGCGTGCTTGCCAAGAGCGCTGGTACGAACGACTCGACCAAGTCGTTGAAACGACAACGAAGGTTGGCCAGGTACGAACGGGAACTATTACGCTGTGGCGAGGAAATCTATGCCGTGTCACGGTTTGCCAATGCCCAAGTAGTCGCCTTCCGAAAGATACTTAAGAAGTACAAGGTATGGCTGCGCAGCATTCAATGAGCTTCTTGGGTTTCTCCATTTATTATTTTCCTCCTTTGTGCGAGCCAACTTGGACATTGTCTCTCTCTGGCTGCTCAACTAACATGTTTTGCAAATGTAGAAGTGGACGGGCTCGACGACGCTGTCTGCTCGCTTCAACGAAAATATTCTTGGCGACCCCAAGAGCTTCACAAAACGCACATTCGAGCACCTCCGCAGCCGACATGATGAGATACTCTCTACTCTATTGGCGGAGACGCCCCACTTCAGCGAGCCTAGTTCACCTGAATCCCATGAGCATGTGGCGCCAAAATCAGCTTCACCTGGACAGAGTCGTCATCGGCATGTAGAGTTCGAACCGCTTCCTCCTGCAAGTACTGACTCGCCAGTCAAGTACTGGAACGAGTATGATGATGGCAGCGAAGCAGGAGAGCCTGAAGAATATGCCATTTACATCGATCCTGAAGAGGATACTGGATTCCCCGGCGTTGCCTATGTGAATGCCATGCTGTCGTTGCCGTACAAGAAAGCAAAGCGATGGTTCAAATCCAGGCGGGGCGGCCACGAAAACCAACCCCTTCTCGCTTCAGAGGTGGGTAGCCAAGGAAGTATGGGATACGCATCCACAGTCGTCAATACGGATTCAGAGGAGGAAGGATATGCTAGCTCGGATGGATATCCTCAACTTGGCTATGCTACGCATTACGCCCTTCCGAGCATCAGTGAGCAGAAGGTTCAAAGGTGTAGAGAACATTCACTCGTGTGGGGCACTCTTGGTTGCTTTGTAGTATCGTTTGCACTACTTGGCATCGCCAGTTTGCTGATACTCACGGGGAAACGAAAACTCCGTGTTGAAGTTGATGCCGGTGTGACGGTGGGCGTCATGATCAGCCTGTTTTGCGCCGGGTCAGGACTTGGCATGACGCTATATCGCCGAGACCCGCTGTCGATCCCCTACAAACTGATGGTGTCGAGTGCGTTTGTTGCGTCGTGTATTCTGAACGGCATGCTTCTTGTTTTGGTCATGGGCAACGCGTCCTGAAGGACAAAAGTTAGGCGTGTAAGTTACGAAGTTGGGTCTGTGCTTGTAGAGGGCCTTGATCTGTTGCTTGTCCTTTCTGCGACATACTGGCGTTTTGGAATTGGGCGATGAAACTGGTACAGACGCCTGTCTGCCGTGTGGAATTGGGATTGGGATGCCGGAGACTGCGTCCTCTGGGCGTACATGCGGATGAGCCTTGTCGGCTAGGGAAGTCATGATGATTAATGTCGATACGCTGGATATACTGGAGATTTCGCGAGAAAAGAAAATGAGATTGAAGTTGAATTGTCCCGAGGACCAGTTTGGTTGATGACGTCACGTTTGCATCCAACGAAGCACGTTTTAACAAGCGTGGTGTCATGGGGTCCCGGTTCATTGTTGCTGGGCAAGTTTCAGCGGAATACATGATGTCTTTCCTTTTATGTTCCATTTATTGCTGCGGAAATCTCGTTTTAATCTCGTTCTATTTCGTCGTGTCGCTGCCAAGGGCTACTCCCGCCGAGGTGCCGCTTCCGGGCGCGGCCCGAGCCCTGATTGGTCCATCTGGCCCCTCCAGATGACCCGGGCGGCGGCCTGGAGATGCACTCGATTGTTTCGGCGGCGGGCGGCGAGCCTGCCGGTGGTTTCACGTGGCCCCCAGGTCCCCCCGCATGCGAGTGGGATATTTTCAAAGCTCGTGTATCGGATCGCGCATTAGGTGCATGATTATCTTGGCTATGCATGTATTTGCCAGCAACAAACACAAGGAGACCTCTCTCTCTGAAGGAAGGGGAAAAAATGCATCTCGCCATGCTTCACCATGATTCATCTCGTCCAATTGGACGCATGTCTCCTGATTTTGAGGGAGTAAAGATTCGCGTCATCATCGGGATTATCTGCCCTTCCATTCGCCATGCTCCTCCAATTGATTGCTTATGTCGTCTGCAACTCGATGCTGACCGGATACCTTTCTCGCGGGGCTCCGGATGTAAGAGCATCAGGTGGTTCTACTAATTTCACCATATCCGGTGCCACTGTACAAGGCAGAAAGAATGACAACGATCAAATGAATAGAATGACGAAACAAGAAGAAAAAAAAAAAAAAAAAAAAAAGCAACGTAGACCCTCGCTAAAGGAATGTGTCGACAACGACGAGTCCGCTAATCTTGAAGGACCCAGGGCGAGACCGGTACAAGAGTATTGGTACAAGGTTAGATAATAAGCTGGCCAGCTGCCCATCGATAACCAAATCAAATTCATGCGGATCGTATGCCCAAAACCTCCCTTGGGCTCAGGGTACACCGACGTGCCGTGCTTGGCCTCACCAGAAACACCGTTATGAGGAGTCGTTCTCGCGTGGGAACGGGGAGCCATAGCTTGGGTCATGAGGGTTTGAATACTGGGTATGGTTACTGGGAAGAGAGGGAGCTGGATGCGTATAATTTGACGTCCAGGTAGGCCTTCCACGATACTGATGGTGACGCCAGTCACCTTCAGTGGAGCTTTGAGGGCCGTGATGTCCGGGACCATACATTGCCGGGGGTGGCACCTGTCTGTTCATTTCGTATCTGGCATGTCCCACGGCTTCACCATTGCCTGAGCTAGATGGTCGACTCGACATAGGGACACATCGCCTTCCCGGGTTGAAGGCGCTAGTGGATCTCTGGTGCATGGGTCGCGATGGTCTTCGCGTCTGAGGCCTCGCTCCTCGTGGAGCGCTTTCATGGCGTTCATACGAGATGGAAGCGTTGTGCATCTGCCTTGTGATCGAAGGCAGCATGGGAGGCGGGCTTGCGCTACTCTGGCTACCCGAAAAGTGCAGCGGCACTTGTCCATAGCCAGGCGGTTTTTGAGGTCGGTAATATGGTTCGGAAGCATATTCGGATTCTGGAGGAACGCTGCTGTAGGATGCGGCACGAGCATGGCTTTGCACTGGGTGCGTGTGCCCTAATCGTCCACTGCCAACGTTGTGAGCGTAACGGCTGTGTTCGTAATTCGTCGGTTGAATTTTGGGCACGACATTCTCCGCGCGCGCGGGAAAGTAAGAAGCCGTGGTGTAAGAGTTTGAAGGTCCGTCAAGGAACGACGCCGCTCGACTGGTTCGCGGCCGCTTCCCTGAAGTACTAACTGCACCTTCCGCATCGTATTCGCCGTCTTGACCATGACCCGCGTAGTCCATGTCATGATACGCCGGGCTTGGTTGAGTCATGGCGTGGAAGTCTGTTGTTGCCTTTCGTTTCGAGGTCCTTGTCACGCACGTTGAACTGTTCTGCCTTCGTTGACGAGTTGACTTGGTTGTCTCCTTGTCCTTATCGTCGCCCACAATGTCGGGCAAGAATTCAATCTCGGGGACTTGAGTCAAAGCACCACTCATAATCTCTTCGTGGAGGCGTCCCGCAATCTTAAACATGCGCTCAGTATCGAAACCTTCACCTAATTCCTCGATTATCCAGGCAGGAATGTGACCAGCTCCCACCTCGTATGGCTCTTTCCCCTTTTCAGACCTTCTCCCATCGCCTTGAAGCCGTTTTTCTTCTCGCTTTCGGAGTGACAGAGTCCACGAGTTGATATAGGGACCTTTTCCCGTAGCGCGATTTCGATCACTCCAGGCCTTTAGGCGTTCGATCTGTGTCTGAACAAGTTCCATTTGAGTAATAGGATATGTTTTGGCATTACGGTAACGGACTCTCTGGTAGTGTTTTCGGCAATAGTACACCCACACCATTTCCGGGATCTTCAGTGTACATGTTTTGTTGCGACCAAATAAGTGGGAAATGGCTTTGCGAAGTTGCGATCCAGTATCACAATCGTCAACGAACATGCAGGCAGCTTTCCCACCGATGTTCTTGTCCACAGTGGCGGAGGTGTTGGATGGCGCGCCAAGTTCATCACGTTGACGCTTGAGCGCTTCCGATGAAACAGTTGGAGACGAAAGAGTCCGCATCGGTTTCGGGGCAGCAAGAACTGACAACACATCTTGGCGATCCGGCTCAGTGCTTCCATTTTTATCCAACAAGTTGTACTTGGCGCCAAAACCATCATTCTGAGGACCGCTTTGTCCCGCGGCAAGTAAGCTGGCGTCTTCAGCGATGGCCATGATCTCCCGTGGGGGGGGAAGTACAGAGCGCGGATGCTGGGCATGCGTCGGCTGAAAATATTCGGCGCGCATTGGAGAGTCTGGTGCAGAAAGGGCTCTTTTATGCGAGCTTGCAACGCCAGGAAACCGAGGCTCTCTGAATTTTTCGTCCCTTGAAGTTGAATTAGTCAAAATACGCTGACGGCATTGGGAGGGGGGTGGTGATATTCGGCGATGTTCGTCCAGCAACGACAAAGTGAGGACACATGTGATGATGGAGAAATGGGGGCACCAGGTCAAAACTATTCTTATTGCAACTTGCAAACAGAAGAGGCTGGTTGGCTGGGCCGTTGTTGAGAAGATGACAGGCCAAGTTGGACGGCCGAGAATAAATAGCCATAAAAGGCTGCTGATCGTAAACAAAAGGCATGAGTGACGAGGCATAGGATACGTCAAGTGAGAGTGAATCCAACCGAAATATTTCCATCGCATTGATCGCGTATTTGTAAACACGTCATGGCTGGGCAGAGAGCGAGTAAATGCGTGAAGTGATGGGTGATTCACAACCCATCAGCAGCTCGCAACGGACATTCAGACCACTCTATGCCGCAAAAACTTCGGCATGGCTGGAAATAAAATCAGCTGCTCCCTCAGAAACACTGCGAGTAGCATATGCATTGACTGCCCCGGGGGGAAAGGGGGAAAGGCAAGACTAAGGAGCAGCACAGCTCAAATCTAACTCTCCACTCGGATAAAGATCGCCTGCGTTGCCTCGATGTACATTACTGGCAACCACCAAGGCACAGGCTGCGATCTAGTGCAAAAGCAGAAAAATACAAGAATCGAACGCAAAAGGAAGAAATATATCGGGTCAAGTGCTGTTGACTTACCTAGGAGGACTTGCAGTCGGAGGGGGTTTGAAGGCACCCTTCATATTGAGTACAGCGTCTGACGGACTCCCGCTTCTCCTTGGAACATCCATTTCTCCAATACGATTGTTCGTTGGCAGTCGGCTGATAGACGCCTGGGGTGTTCTGTTCGCGGAGGTCGGAGTCTGATACGACTCACCTTGAGACGCCACTGCCGTCTCCAGCAACGGCAACTCCGTTAATGAAGGGCCGGCACTGTGAATCCCACTGACCGTTGTCACTGACGAAATTCTGGAATGAGGACGAGACCTCCACGACGCGTACGTTGACAAGCTGCTGTGGCTATCAGAGGACTTGTGACCCATGGGCTCGCGTGCCTCTGCACCTGCCTGTGGGCGGTCTTCCCAATTATTTGGCCTGAATAAAATTCTGGGCGTCAAAGAAAATGGTTATTGACAAGAGAGCAACAAAGAAACAAACGTCATGTTCTTACCGGCTTTTCTGCGGCCTAGTGGACGGCATATACGCCTGAGAGCATTCAAAATCGATCGAGGCCGAGTCCGTTGATCCGTGCCTCGAGTGTCGCCCGAGACCTAGGGAGTCGACAGAACTGTCTGAATCGAGCACCTCGCTCCCTGAACGAAACGAAAATATTGAACTCGAGCGAAGTTTGGGTTCACTTTGCAATGGTAATGCGTAGCCCCCCGCGCTCCATGGTGTTCTGTTCTTGGTAGATTTAGACTCCCAGTCCGGCTGTGGTGTCGTCCTCTCAGGCGAGGGAGTCGGTAACGAAGCTGATTTCGGGCCTCCTTGCTTGCATGCTGCCAATGTTGGCGTCGTCTCTCCCTCCATGCTATCGCAGCCTGCAGAAGTTGATTGATTCAGCAGTGATGTGACGTCCATTTTCTGATCTAAGAAGGGGTCGACTGGTAAATGGATGAATGATATCGCTCGACAGAACGAGTCGTCTCTTGGTGCATTAATAAAAGAAAAGCACTGGCTCCCGGTCCCGGTCTCAGTCTCGGTTCATTCATTAATGATGTTGATAATAAAAGAAGCAGCAAGAAGAACGTGTGACCTCCCTACTTGGTCGGTCTCGTCTTTGTCTTTGCAAGGAAACACAAGCCAAGTGTTATTATTGTGCGGAGGCTCCCATCAAACACCGGGCAGTAGGAAGAAGGGCTGTGCAAAGCAAAGTGTACAGGAAACATGAGTCGATGATAAAGCCGATGGTCGCCTTCTACTCGGGAGCGTGATTAAGATATCTGAAATGCAAAGGCGTCTGATGTTGAAGTGGCTGGTCGATGCGAATTGATCAAGACCACACTAGTAAACGAAACCAGGCAGGGACAGATTGACGGACCAGGTGTAAACATCGACAAGAAGGCTGAAGGAAAAAGCCGTCAGACTTATTGATGCGATCGACGACGAGTGGATCATTCGCACTGACAGCCTCGCATCGCATCTGAGTAGATCGAAACAGCCGAAACACATGCGAACACAATGGTATCGGGGCCGGCCCAAGGAGACGGGGCTTGAAAACTGTGCACCGTTCTGTGCCAGGATCGGATGCCAGATCTTTGACGGCCCGAGCAACTTGGATTTGAGCCAAAGCTTCCAGAGACTTGAAATCAGTCTGTCTGAAACGAGGTGGCTGTGTATAAATCAGAATCAAACTGGGGCCCTCCTGTCCCCGAGCACACTCCCAGTCAACTCAAAGCCTATTTTCGTACACTTGGGAACCGATGCGCGCAAGTTCGAGTCAAGGGGTGTTTAGATGCATCATGAGACAAACGGTGCATCAGCAGTCCAGGGCCGGGGACGTCCCAGCGACCTCATGAGAATTAGAGGGCAATGAGAAAGTCCGTCTCACCCTGTCTTGTCGCCACGAATACGACCACACTGCGGGTAAACGACAGCGAGCTCAGTGTCTGTGCTGCGAAGAGAGGCCTGTAGGCTGTATTACAAAGGGTAGCAATCCGTGCCAGAGACGTCAAAGAGTGTGTGTATTCTGGGAGCGGCCCAAAAACAGACTCAATGACTGACTTGTCTGCCTGACTCGGGCTACTTGTTACGCCCACTTGCCCACTAGTGAGTCCATTGTATGCGCGAGTCACTCATAACTGGAGACGATCGATACCGATAATTCAAAGGCATTGCAATGTGGACCCGTTCCTGGTCTGGTATCGTATATTGAACAGCAGTTTGACGATGACAAGGCCAAAGCGGGATGGACGGGGATGTGTAGATTGTTTTAGCAAGGTAGTCTTTTCCCAAGAGAAAGGTCATGCGCCAAGAAGGCGCCCCGAGGCTCTTGGTGGTGTGCCTTACCCTGCCTGACCTTGCTGGTGTATAGTCAAGGCCGCCGCCGATCAGTAGTTGGCAACACCGCAAAGGCGCTCGCGCGACTTGCACAGAGAATCCCATCTGTCCGTAGTTGCATGGAGGTACTAGCAAAGTTGCCATGTCCCTAACAGGACGCTGAGCGGCTACCTGGAGGCCAGAATAGACCCCTTTCAGCTAGGAAAACAACCCCATCAGACACCCGGAAAGTCTTTGCGGTGCTCCGTACGGAGTACATGGATCAAAGAACAGGGAGACCCTTGTTGGCCACTTGTCGGTCGCACGCACTGGCGTGCCAGCGCTCTTCTTGCGTGTAGGCTCATAGAGGTGTTGGGGTTGACAGCCCTCAAAATAGTGTGTACGGAGTACATGGGATCAAAAAGACAGCCACGGCGCACATGTGTACACATTCAGTAGGGACCGTTGAGTTTGAGAAGCCGCCGTCAATAAGAGTTTGACGGATATACTGCAAAGTGAACCCAGGACACCAACTTACTCAATGCTTGGAATGAAACGAGACCAGGAACGGACATGGTCATATCTGACGAGAAGTAGTATGCCAAGGGGTTACACCGAGCTTGACGTGCGACCGGTTTTGGGCCAGCCGTAAACGCAAGGCGGCACAGAACGCACCATTTGAGCTCCCAACCAGTAGACAACAAGCGTGGTTTCTGGCGCGCTTGTTCGCAATTAGTATTACTTGTACCTCCCCCACGACTCATTGCAGTATTCATGACGAGTCGGCACATGCCGAGAATGTGTCGGAATCGGACCCCGGATTTCCGTGGGTGCTTGTAGAAAAAACGCGACACATAATCTGACGGCGGGTGTGCGGAAACAACGCCGTGTGCTTGATGAAGGAACATGACAAGATATTTGCCGTCTCCGCTGATCGATGACGCCAGACGCCTCTCTGGACGCCTTGCAGGCAATGCAAGTCATGCCATTGGGGGCGTTGCTTGCTGCTGTCTCGCGGCAGGGTCTTGGTTGTACGAAGCGCGACGTGCAGGATACCTGCAGGACTATTCTCTGGCGAGTTGATCCGGCCAATAGAAGGAATGAGACTGAGAGACTGAGTAAGTGCCATGCATACTTACCTAGTACCTAAGTACGTACCTACTTGGTAGTTACCCAAGGTAAGCAATCATGGGTGCACATGTACATAAGCCTGTGCGGGAGAACAAGCCACGAGCAAAATCGGCTGCAACACAAGAGGAGCAGCATCAGCATGAACCTGAACTTGAGCGTTTGCTTGAGCCTGAAGTTGAACCTGGGAGTATGAGGGGTTGTTCTATCCAATGTCGGTCATACGAAGTGCTTGCAAGTCAGGTTGTGCGTCGCCTTGATTTGTTGATTTGTTGTTGCCGACCCAAGGCCATGCCTCGTGGTGCAGCGAGATTCCGAGGTTGTGCAATACGGATAGGCTTGGGCGACACGAGCACAGGGACGGAGGAAAAGAGTGTGAGAGGGGGAGAGGGGGAGAGTGTGCGACTTCAAAGCTACACTTGAATTTGAGTGGTGCATAGTATATGCATGGCGTTGCTGGCCGGACAAGTCGAGAAGATGTCGTCCTCAGTAGGTGCGTGGTTTCCATCGTGATGTGATGAAGTAACGAATGCACGAGACGGAAACATCTCTCCAGGGACCTGGCCTGGTTACACCGCAGACTGGCATAACTGGCCAATAGGGTGCCGGCAAAAGAGAATCGTACGCCGATTAATATATTCTCCGAGTTCATGAACGGCAAGTGCAGGCATGTTCAAAGTACAGAGAGGAAGGAGACACGCAACCGGTTGGCGGCCTGGCCACGTTGGCGCAAAGGCCAGATCCATCATCGCAATCTTCTCTACTCGTACAAGAAAAATACCCACAGCACAACCTACTCCGTACCTTTTGCCATATTAAACTTCGCCCCAACTTTGCGAGACAATAAACGTTACCGACTCCAGTGCATTATCGGATCGTTAGCTACCATGTTCGACATACTACATGTTCGCTTTCGGCCCCGTTTCCAGTCCTGTCCCCTCTTTTGGAGAAACAGTACCATCAAAGCAAGAACAAAACACATGGAGGATTGGTTACCTGCCTGCTCCATAAACAACAATACACCCCTCACTTATTTGCTATCGACTGCCGGCGAAAAAGAATCTGAAAACCTTGACACGGCAATGTTCGCCACGCCATACCCATGAGAGCAAGACTAGCGATAGGTCGGTCGAGCGCCTGGCTATCTGGGTTGCTAGTAGCGTTCAGTTTGCCTACTGCCGAAATTCAGCTCACGCAGCGTCAGGTCTCGCATTGAACCGCGAGCATGGTTAGGATGCTTGGCCCATGTTTCATGGCGGCCCCGCAAGGACATCCTAGCCATTGTCAAACGATTTACACTAGTGACAGGGACCAGGTCTGAGACGATCCCAGGCAGCATGTCTTTGATCTAAGTGGGGAGGATTCCGGTGTCGAGCTACCAACTGGCAAGTTGGTAGCGCCTGGCGTCTACTGGTCTTCCTGAGAGACCAGACTGAAATTTCAGCGCTGTCACGCTGTCATGGCATATCACGGACCTCCAACGCCGGTGTGTCGTGTCGGGCCTTGTTGAGTTTATTAACTGGTTCCTTGTCTCACGGGGCTTGGAGTCTGGAGCATCCGGTCGACTACTTCCACTGCAGAGAGCTCTGAAATAACAATGGTAAAAGGTCATTGTTGACGGGGGGAACCCACGGCCAGTCGTCCGTCTCGCGCCGTAGGTCAGCTCAGCCCGCCCCGAGGTGAGAAGTAGAAGTTGCCGGGCTCCCATTTACGATAGTATTTCCGGCAGTGTTTACATTGGAGCTGCCACGTCAAGTCTTCAGGCAGGCTGTAACGATCATCTTACATGTGGAGTGTCTGCTGTTCCTATGCCCGGTGCACGGAACAGGAGACACTCTTTGAATTGGCGGAAATGACAGCGCATACTTCCGTCCTCGCCTCCGTACATAGCATTGAGGCTTGCTGTACAGATTGCTTACCAAAAGCGTGCCAACTCGAAACAGCATGGTTACATCTCCAATTGGCCCGCCAAGTACGAAAACAGCATCATTGTCTTGCATCCCCTTTCTCTGGCTGACTAGCAACTCACCCGACTGGGTGGTTTCGGCTCCCTTTCATCCTTAATTACAGGATTTGCGGACGAGCATGATCTTGCAGCTCTTCGTGCACACACCCGCCTCTGAGGGATGACATGATCGCAGGCCGTGAATGAGCTAATTCGGCGCCTACTTAATAGGGCCGCAATCAGCGCGCAAAGCTGCGGCATATGGCTCGGTACGTGCAACACAGATAGGTACCCTGCAATCTTGATCGATCTGGTATTAGAAACAGAACACTTTGACCCTGCCGGCAGTTCGGGGCAAACGACGCCACTCCCGAAACAGATGGGTTTGGTTATCTATCCCTGCGAAAATCCAGGCGGCTCAAGGGCGGGTTCTCCGTGTGAAGGCAAAAGACAGCATACCATAGCATGGTTTCATCTCAACTCGTTGTGGAACACCGAACCTGACGACATTGAGCACGCACCGCTTTTGCCCAGCCCCCAGCAGAATATTCTGCACTGACCGGAACTGAAGACTACACGAGCACAAATGCATCATTACCAAGGGACATACATGGCCAGTTGGGTGAGCGAATGAGTAGTATGCCGCAGGAACGACACTGCGCCAACTGTAGTCATTACGTTGTCCAGTGATTCTAGGTCCAACAAATACAGGTGTCTGCGCTGAGAGTGTCAGTAATGGCTTCCTCCGAGGCTCCCGGGCCGCGGTGCTGGCTGTTCCCGACAAGAAACATATAGAGTGTGTCCAACCAAGCACACCTAGGTAGTTATATACGGTATTTCAGCCTCAAGACTTTGTCCTTTGCAAAATCTATCGCTTCGAGCTTTCGCGACGACGTACTACTTCACCTTCGAAAAAAGGTGGCTCGTGCTGCCCTGGGGTCCAAGTCACTATCCTTGACAAGCCCACCAAAAAGCGTCGGGCAAACTCCTCTAATCTCCCGGGGGAAAAAAAATCTCATTTCCGAACAGTTTTTCGTTTTAGGACCCAGCGTTGCATCGATCTGCAACGCAACACAGCCATGGCGCAGCATGCCAGAAGGCCCGAATCGACGCCATGAGGACCTTCATGCCAACGTTCCTCAACAACTTGGCCGCACCAACGACGGTTGCCAAATCCGCCCCGGGGGAGCATCAAGCCTCGTCGTGAGCGGCGCTGTGTATGTCAGTCTGACAGACACCCGAGACAATCCACAGAGGATGATTTGTCCTTCTGAGAGCTGTTCAACAAGGAGATTGCCGACCTTGGTGCAATTTTTTGTGCACTAGCCATTAGTTATTCTGATGACGCTCATATCCGCGACCCAGCTGCTCGGATCGATTTAACCTTGAGCAATGTGAACAACAGACGTAGGGTGACAAGAGTCGGTGAGATGTTTCAGGCGGAATCAGCAGACAAAACAGGGATGTATATCCATCCCTTGGACGAGCCGAACAACATCCCCCCACGCCTCAATGAGCGTTCCGAGAGAAGACACTTCAAACCCCATGTTAACCCTTGACTAAACCGGGGAGCACTTGCCCACGAACGATGGGGGCGAGATCCATTGGCTAGAAAAGGCTGCTATATGTATGGATGGGCTGGCACATGAGGTCGTGCCCGGCCTTATTGCCGTGACTAAAAGCGTTCATCCGAACGGCCCAATCCCCGCCTGGCTTAACGAACAGATTGCCAGACACATTATAATATAAGAAGCTCTCGCACACCGTGCACTCGTATCCTGACCAGCTAATGTGACTGCAGGGGATATTTCAACCAAGAGTACTGAACCTCAATGACGCTGGACCATGTCACCATCAGGTCGCTCTGAGAGAAGTTGTCCAGGGCTATTCCTCGTTCGTCAACATGGTACGGAGTAGCCCTCGTGGAGAAATCCAATACAGAACACACCCACGTTTGAGAACATGAGCAGCTTCCTCATGCTGCATGACTTGGGGAAAACGTAGACACTGTCGATGGTCGGATGGCATGGACATTGAACCCCTGATCCTAACCCGTTTGAAAGTTCGGCCTGTCTCCTTCACCAGACTGACAGACAGACAGACGTCTGCACACACGCTCGTAGAAAAATGGTCCCACTTTTCGCGACCGCCTGTTTCCAAAGGTAGGCTGACGCCCCAAAACTCAATGTGCTCGCTACTGTTTCGGATCTGGGCAGAGCGACGTCCTGACTAATGTTGAGAGTTGAGAGTACGCGGTACCGAGGTCCGCAATCACGTGTCTGCACGAGTGCAACATTCCAGTGCCCGTGTAGTGTGGACTAGTATGTGCTTGGATGTTTGACGTTCCATTTTTAGACTTGGCTTGCGGCGTGGGGGTATTACAATTGCTACGTACAATTGTCTCGGGCTCACGAGGAATCGATTCCTCGTTGGGAAAAACGCCCAGTCGTGCCATGCCCGCGTTGAGTGAGGCCACTCGACGGCTTTGCTGTCGCGCAGAGGCAGGTCGTGGGATACGCCTAGATGCGTTAGATCCAATATACGCTGTGCCTGTGATACAGACGCCATGCGCCTATGCGTCGGAGAATTATCGTAGGGGAGAGCCTGACGCATGCTTGCTGATTGTTGTTTATGGGGAGTCACAGTTGTTGGGGTGTAACGGCGGCTTTGTGAGATGTCTTGTGTGTCTTGCTGTCCGACGGTCGGGGGGATGCGATGCGTACGCCCGCCGCATGCTTTTTCTCTTGAAACATTGCAGTGGCAGTGTGAGCGATTCGTTCGACCACCGAGGGATGTAGGGTAGGCGAATCTCAGGGGGCGCGAGGTTACTTTGACGCTTGCTGGCAAACAACGTACTTGCCTTGGTCATTGATCGTGGCTGAATATGCAGTTCGAACTCAGTACAGACGGTGACCTGGTCCTGGGCGTTGCTACAGGGTGTAAGAAGGTGAAAGGGGGAGGAGGTCGAATTGACTTCGTCGAGGGGGATTCATTCGCGAGGTGCTGTCATCCGGTGAGCTTTTGCTGTATTCTGTCACGTCCTTGTCGGTTGCTTGCTTGTTTGTTTGTTTGTTGCTTGTTTTGTTTTTTTTTTAAAAAAAAAGAAAGAAAAAAGACACAAGGAAAAGAAAAAAAGATTCAACAATGCCTTGCTTTTCGTCCATCTCCCTTTTAAATCAAGTCGTCTAGAGACTTGTCCGCATCCCGTTGTATCAACTCTTTCATTCCCTTCATACATGATTAGATACTCACTCATCCTTCAACCATGACGCCTTGTGATTTTTGTTTACTTACCTCTGGCATTATCGGGTTTCCCTGATCGTCTGCCACGTACCGGAAAGGCATTTGCGTGCTCTCGTGAGCATTGAACTTGAGCTCTGGAGAGTCGACATATGGAACCTTGTCCAGGGTAACTTGTTCTCGTCAGCACAATATACGTCATCGACGTTTCGACTGACGGGGACGCACTGCCATCCTGGACAACCAAGCGAGTCACGCGCACAGCAGTATCCGTGGTCATTTGCTTGGGTCCCAATCTTCTCCCTTCAAAGCCTTTCCTTCTCAGCTCCGAGGTTCGGTCTGCAGCCATTAGTACCGATCAATTCTCACTGCTGTTCTAGCTGTAGCACAAACCTCTCGGTGGGTCGTCACCTGTTGGGTCGATTCAGTCTCCGGATTCACCTCGCTTGTATTGGAGTATACATACCCAGGATTCCACCAAATAAAAATGCATCAAACGTCTTTCCATCCTCGGGGGATAAATCTTTTGCCGCGGCGGGGTCCAGCAGACATACTTTGGCCTTGTCGTCTGCGTATAGCTCCTCGACACCGCGGTGCTCAGGCTTGAATGCGGGGACGCTGTTTAACGCGGCGGGAACTTTGAACTCGGTAGGCAGACTGGATAGAATGAAGCTGCCGTTCGTGTGTTGGGTTTCTTTGGCAATGGCGATGTACTCTAGCTCTGACCAGGGACCGAGCTCGGGGTCAAGATGCTCGACGATGAAGGCTTTGCTGCCCATTTTGGCAGGCAGTACAAGGGCTTTCCCGTTCCCAAAAAAAGAGGGGCACAGGGCTTTGAGGCGTGCTTATTCAGTTCTTGCCAGGCGTGGCGATGGGAATAGGCCGAGGCTGGGGTTGTCGAAAGAGCTCGGGCAGCGTGCGTGCGGGTTGGGGAAATTCAACGTGTGAGGCCGCGAAAGAATTAATTCGGAGGGACGAGCTCATGTAGCGGAGAGAGGAAAAATGACTGGTGCAGCCAAATCAGTCAATCATGCAGGCAAACAAGACATGAACTGAATTGGCTAGTCCTGCCGAAAGACTCCAGACTCCTGCATGTTGGATGCCCCATCACCTTGATCGTCTCGCGTCAGAGCTCAACACGGCGTTCTTCAACCAATGGTTAATGAGGCACTAGTCCTATTGACACATGAGCCACATGCACGGATTTGGGAGTTGTCCAGTAATAATTAACAGCTAATAAAAATGTAGGCGCATTTGTTAAAAACACTAGAAATTGCGTTTTCAAGCGACATAGGCCCTACTAGCGAGCGCTTCCCTGCTTGTCTTATTGAAAAATTAATAGATTCAGAGGACTACTAGTTAATTGATTTTCCTAAAACCAGGCGCAACTATATCACTGTAGAAGATGTGTGGTGGGGTGTGGGTAGCGGGCCACTAGGCTAAATCGAGCGGTAGTAGGGCGAATAGATAGGGTTGCTAGCGTGGTTAGCACAAACTCTTCCTCTGAGGCTCAAGCATCCACGCAACCAACTACCTACCTGGGTAGTTGTTCACGGCATCACGAACCCGAAACCTCCTCCCTCCGGGAGATAGTGGTGGTGACAACCCCATATCTCTTCCATCAAATATTTCACCCTCTCTAACCTCGGCATCTTTTTGGAACTCCGATTCCATGACTTAGCACCGTTGCGACCGACTACTCTGTCCTCCCGTGGCTGGCATCCCAGCTCCTGGCCAACTCGAATACCCCCATCACCTCCTCATCATGGCTCCGCGGCTCTCTTGGTCCGTCGCCAGATCATGGCATGCACTCGCTTTCTTGGCGCTTTGGTCTGCTTCAACGCTGGCCGCTGGGAAGACTTCTGCCGACTACTACGTCCGTGAGCTGCCGGGGCTTCCCAAGGATGGTCCCCCGATCAAGATGCACGCAGGGTGAGATAACCCATCACAACCACTACTCTCGCTTTCACCCCTGAGCAAAGTTGCCGACGGTGTTTCTGGCGAGCTAAATTCAAGTAAGAGAAAGACTAACCCGAGTTGCAGTCACATCGAGATCACTGCAGAAACTAATGGCAACTTGTTCTTCTGGCATTTCCAAAACAACCACATTGCGAACCGGCAACGAACCGTCATATGGCTCAACGGTGGGCCAGGATGTAGTTCCGAGGATGGCGCTTTGATGGAGGTTGGGCCTTACAGAGTGACAAAGGACAATACCTTGGTTCTGAATAATGGGACATGGAACGAATTTGCGAATCTGCTGTTCGTGGATAATCCGGTCGGCACAGGTTTCAGCTACGTCGACACGAATAGCTACGTTCATGAATTGAATACCATGGCAACTCAATTCATCACGTTCTTGGAAAAGTTTTTCGCGCTCTTTCCGGAATATGAACACGATGACGTACGTACTACACCTCACGGGGATTTTTTACTGTTGCCGCCCTGCTGACGTCAATGACAGCTTTACCTTGCTGGAGAGTCGTACGCCGGACAACATATCCCCTATATCTCCAAAGCCATCCTCGATCGTAACAAGTTGAAATCTCACAACGAAGCATGGAGCCTCAAGGGTCTACTCATTGGCAATGGCTGGATTTCTCCCCAAGACCAATCCAGCGCGTACCTAAAATTCAGTCTTCAGAAAGGTTTGATTGAAAAGGGGTCCGACAACGCCCAGCAGCTCCAGCATATGCAAAGAATCTGCGACAGAGAGATGTCGATCAACCCTGGACGCGTCGACTATTCCGCGTGTGAGGCCATTCTGAATAAAATCCTCCAGCTCACCCAGGTGGGCTCTGGTGACCAGGCATGCATCAACATGTATGATGTCCGACTCCGTGATTCGGCTCCCTCATGCGGCCTGAATTGGCCTCCGGACCTGAAGCATGTCGAGCTTTATTTGCGACAGCCTCAGGTTATTAGCGCCTTAAATCTTGATAAGCAACGGAACACTGGCTGGCAGGAGTGTAGTGGCATGGTCAACTCCAACTTCAGGAATCAGAACTCGACAGCTTCTATCTTGCTACTCCCCGATATTCTCAAAGAGGTCCCCGTCCTTCTCTTCTCCGGAGCCGAGGATCTGATTTGCAACCACGTTGGTACAGAGGAGTTGATCAGCAATTTAGCATGGAATGAGGGCAAGGGATTTGAGGTTACGCCAGGTAACTGGGCTCCCAGAAGGCAATGGACCTTCGAGGGTGAGGTCGCGGGCTTTTGGCAGGAAGCCCGTAATCTCACATATGTTCTCTTCCATAACGCGTCACATATGGTTCCATTTGACTACCCACGACGCTCACGAGATATGTTGGACCGCTTCATGAGGGTCGACATCAGCAGTATTGGTGGCCAACCGTCGGACAGTCGGATTGACGGCGAGAAGGGACCAGATACCTCTGTCGGCGGAGCCAAGAACAACACGCAGCAACACGAAGAAGAGACAAAGCAGAAGCTTGATGAAGCCAAGTGGCATGCCTACCAGCGGTCTGGCGAAGTCGTACTCGTGATTGTCATCATTGCTGCCTCGGCGTGGGGCTACTTCGTCTGGCGCCAACGGCGCAAGGGTGCAACGTACTCTGTCTTACAAAGCGACGAGGCCGCTGGCCAGTCGAGGGCCGGGCTGGCCGCTTTCCATGACCGTCAGCGCGATCGTGACCTGGAAGCCGCTGCGTTTGACGAGACGACTGTTGACAACATTCCGTTGCAGGAATCGCCTGGTGGCGGGGAGCGCAAGTATAGCATTGGAGAGGACAGCGATGAGGAAGAGGAGGAGACTACCAGGACGGGACACCTGGATAAGAGCAGCTAGTGGTCTCAATTATAGCGACATGTCTGGTGTACAAGGCTTAGCTTCGCATCAGTAGTGAGGGGGAAATGGCGTTCTGGTGGGCTTTTTTTTTTTTTTTTTTTTTTGATAAAATGCGGCTGGATTAAGGCGTGCTACGAGGCGAATATACGTCAAATGTATTCTCTTATGTGCCTGGTTATATGGGTGCCCTCCGACTCCAATAACTTTTGTGCATGAATTTGACATACGTGCGGCACGAAGATGCTGAACACGCACAGCTTCTGTCCCTCTCCTGGGCTTGACCTCTACTTGGCCATGTAATTTACTAAGAAGCCGACAGAACTGCATATTTACCTGGGTGTGTAGGACAGTATCTGTGCACCATCGACACGTTAAGCTAGGTACCTAGGTGGTAGACACTTTAGGTACTTGGAAGTAAGTACGTACGTAAGTACCTACTTGAGTAGGTACGATTGTTGACAGTTGCAACCTGCTAGATTTGGCTCGCTCGGGCACTGCTGGCAGTTGTCAAGACGCTGCTGCCAGGTGTTGGACAACTGATGGATCACTGCTTCCTCCTTTATTTTTCTCTCTCGGCTGCCTCCCTGTGCATTTATTTTTACTTTCTTAGTAACCGGAAAACTTGCGAGAGTTCCCATCTGGCATCGTTATCAGCTACGCGGACATCGCTGCTCTTCTCTCTCACGCATCTAGTAAGACTATGCCCATGGTTCATTTTGACCGCACGGGATTTCCTCTTTGACGAGCCTTCGTTCATTGGCGCTGGCTTGTGTTTTTCCCACTTCGTCTGGACCAGAGGACTTGCCAGCCTTCTCGCTAGAAATCTTGACTGCGCCAAAGGTCCAGCCAGTCCGCATCATTTCTGATCAAAATGGGAGATTGGGAGGTTTCTGGTGATACCTGGGGATCCGGCGGAGGCAATGGCTCGGGATGGAGTCAGCCTCAAGTTATTTGTGGTGCTTGCAGCCAGGAAGGGTTGGTAATGTGCCCCTGTACTTTTTGTAAGGCTACTTCCTGACAACTCCTCGCAGCCACGAAGAAGCAAGCTGCCCCAACCAGCACACGGAAGCCGCCAATGACGACTCCAACAATAAATGTTTCAACTGCGGTGAGACTGGGTCAGTGCCTGGACAACTACTTCGTCAAAATCACAGTGCGTAAAGCTAACACGACCAAAGTCACCGAGCTTCTGACTGCCCGACACCTCGAGACACGGCCTGTCGTTATTGCAAGCAGGAGGGACACATGATTCGGGACTGCCCAGACAAGCCGCCCATGAGATGTGACAACTGCGGTCAGGAAGGTATAAGTTCAATCACAGAGTATTTTGTACGAAGCGCCACTGACTCACCGGATGCAGGTCATTTGCGGAAGAACTGCGAGAACGCGCGAGTCGTCAACCGAGATCATGTCGCCCATGTTTCTCCCGAGGAAGCTCTGTCCAAGCTCAAGACGGCTTGCTCTGAGCGAGATGTTGACGACGCGAAAGAAGCGGTCCAGGAATACGTCAAGGCTGTCGGAGGCGACATCACCTACCGTCAGCTGCAGTCTCTTTTCATTGACAAAGGTATCAATCTCTGGCTTATTGCTTCTGAGCGCCAACTCGTCAACGTCTTCACCAATATGGACCTTCAGGGCCATACTGGAAAGAAGTACACAGTCTCCTACAGATTCTCGGAGAAGCCTGAACGCCCTCATGAGGCTGAGTCCTTTCCAAAGAGCCGCGAGGAGCTCTTGGGGAGACTTGATGATGCTGGCGAAGTGGTTGACACCGGTCTTCGAAAGTGCCAGAACTGTGGTGAACTAGGGCATTCCAGCAAGTTTTGTACGCAGGAGCAGGTCGAGAAGAAAGCCGCGCCCGTCATTTCTTGCAACAACTGCGGCGGGGAGGGTCATCGTGTTCGGGATTGTAAGCTATTGCGACCCATTTTCCCTTCATGGCACTCACTATAGTTTATAGGTTCCGAGCCACGAGTGGACAAGTTTGCCTGCCGAAATTGCGGGTAGGTGATGCTACTACACTCTTTGATTTCTCTTCCGTGTATTGTGTATACCAGTACTAACTGCTCCAGAAAACCTGGCCACCGGGCGTCCGAATGCGAAGAGCCACCCAATTTGGACAATGTGGAGTGTCGAAGATGCGGCGAAAGTGAGTGGTGTTCACAAATGATGCTTGGCACTTGGAGTATCGCTAATTCAGTTCAGAGGGCCACATGGGCAAGGATTGCCCGCAGGGAGGTGGTCGGGCGTGTCGCAATTGTGGCCAGGAGGGACATATGGCCAAAGAATGCGACCAGCCTCGTAACATGGACAGTGTTAGTTGCCGTAATTGCGAAAAGACTGGGCATTTCAGCAGGGACTGCCCCGAGCCAAAAGATTGTAGGTGCCTCCGGTTTCCTGCCTTGTCCCGTACTGATGTTTTACAGGGAGCAAAGTGCAGTGCTCAAACTGCCAAAAGTATGGGCATATGAAAGTTCGCTGCAGGGAACCTCTTGTTGCTGATGGTGACGGCGGTTTCCCTGATGCAGCTGAAAATTCCAACGGGTTGGCCGCCGATTCCGCTTGGCCCAGTGGCGACACGGGCGGCCGATGCGTTGAACTGACAGCCCAGAATTGTGGATGGTAATGTCGGGAACGATGTGAACCGCCCATCTCGAGAAATTTGCGAGTGGCATATGTTCCCTATATAACTCTCGTCTTTTCTTTTCGCAGTAAGACCGAGACTCGCGGAATGGTCCTCGAGTCATGATATGTCGCCGTCGACAGTTTGCTCTTAGCCAAGCAGGATCTTTGCTTGAATTTGGGTTGGAAGACGACCTCAAGGGGGCTTAATGTGCAGCCTTAGTAGTTTAGCTGAATTGAACGGTCCTCGTTTAAACACGACATTGTGCTTCATGTTGAATGCCATGGTGCTGGTAGTTTATAACACGCCATTGGCCAAGTCTTGTAACCCCCGCCCCGCACGAAGCCGAGGTTAAGGTCGTGCGACGATTCCACACGAGCATCATCTTCGGACTGCTACTTGATCTTCTCACCCGTCAGATCATCTACGGACAACAGCAACATCTTCTCTTTGACAAGGAAAAATCGAGGACTGACACCAAGAATGGCTCCCGAGAACGTCATTCTCTATCATTACTCGTATTCCCCGTACGCTCGGAGGGTGGCATGGTATCTGACGCTTCGAGGAATTCCTTATGCGCAGTGTGTGAGTCCTGCGACCAAGGAGTCCATCATCCGACTCGGGGACTGACCGTACCAAGATGCAACCGCCGACAATGCCTCGCCCAGACGTGGCACGCCTCGGAATAGAGTACAGGCGCATCCCCATCCTCTCCATCGGCAGAGACGTGTACCTGGACACCCGTCTGCAGCTCATCAAGCTCGAGGAGATGGAGGTTTCCCTCCCCCGGCTCGGAGCAGAGCGGCCCGACCAGCGCGCCGTCGAGAGGCTCCTCTCGAGGCTCATGACCGACGGCGGCGTGTTCGGCTGGGCCGCCTCCCTGCTCCCCAGGGACATGCCGCTCCTCAAGGACCCAGCCTTCCAGAAGGACAGGGCCGAGTTCTTTGGCTCGCAGCCCCGGCCGGACCCGAGGCACGTCGCGCTCCGCGAGGTGGCGTCCGTCTTTGGCCTGCTGGAGACGACGCTCCTCGCGGACGGGAGGGACTGGGTCCTCGGCACGCCGGCCCCGGGCCTCGCCGACATCGAGGCCGTCTGGCCGCTGCACTGGCTGGCGGGCGTGCCTGGTGCCCTGCCGGGGGACGTGTTCGGGCCGCGGGCGTACCCGAGGGTGTACGCGTGGATCCGGCGCTTCGAGGAGGCCGTCCGGCGGGCGAGGGGGAGGGCGGGCAGGCCGCGGACCGTCGGCGGCGAGGAGGCGCAGCGCATCATTCTGGGGTCCGGCTACCACGAGGCCGAGGGGCGTGTGGACGGGGGGGATCCCGAGGTCGTCGCGCTGGGGCTGGCCAAGGGGGACGTGGTCACGGTTGGGCCGACCGACTTTGGGGCCGCGCGGAGGGATGTCGGCCGACTGGTCGGCCTGGACGCGGACGAGGTTGTCTACGAGACGGAGACGGAGACGGGGGCGGAGGCCGGCGCGCGCGGGCGGCCGGTGAGGGTTCACGCGCCGAGGCACGGGTTTCGCATTCACGGGGTGAGGGAGGACGGCGTGAGGCTGTGATGGGTCGTTGTCCGATGTCGATGGCTGGGTACCCTTTTGGTCTGTCCTGGTCCTGTTTGCAGAGTGGTTGGCTTTTTGTGTTGATTGATTGATGGACTGATGGGTGGGCTAGCTTGGTAACTTTCTTCTTCTTCTTCTTCTTCTTCTTCTTCTTCTTCTTCTTCTTCTTCTCCTTCTCCTTCTCCTTCTTCCTCTTCTTCTTCCCCTTCCTCCTCCTCTACTTCTTCTCTTCCTCTTCTTGCGGCTGCTCCTGCGGAGGCCCAGGGCTTACGAGGAGGCTGGCCATTGCGCAGTCGCGCAGTCGCAAGCCTGACTGACTGACTGATTGGCCAATGTCTGGCATGGCATTGTCGAATGCTCTGTTCCCATTCGAATACAGTTTGCTGGATTGATTAATTGATCTAGCCGAGGTGGCACCCGCTGTTACGCAACTAGGCCTCTTTCGACTTTTGTCTGATGACGAGCCAGGCCACTAGCTTGCGTGGCTGGCTCTAGTTTCCTCTGGTTCGCATGGCAAGCTCAAAGGCCCAGGTCTTGGTATGGATATGCATAACATGTATACTTTTCGGGGAAAATAAAGGGTGTTTGTTGCTGCAGCCACGGCCCAGCATCGTGGTTACCTACCCTACAGGTCAGCAAAGGTGACGTTTAGAATCCTGACAAGAACCCAAGAAACAGTGGTTTGGTAGAGCAATCCGAAAAGCCCTGCTTACACAGCAACCACTAAAGACACGTTTTCTCTCCTTCAGCCTTGAGCAACACGGGGTACAGAGGCGCATTAATTGTCGATGGTCTGGAAACGGCGCCATTCCCGGCCTGATTGCATACCAGTGACGTAAGCCCGTCATGCACCGCCATGAGTTTTTGACAGCAGTCACTTAGTGAGCTTGCTCACCGCTAGCCAAGCTCGAGCTTGACGCGGGGCAGCAATACCATTGAGCGGGTTGGGATTCAGCAAACCTTCTTCAAAAGCTTCACCTTATTTCCTCAACAACAACAATTCTGTGTCTGCTAACACGAGCGGTGACCTGAAAAGCCTAGGAGCCCAATCCGTGGGCGAATGAGCCGCCGGCATGGACTTGACGTCATCCAACATGACGGGGAGAACGGGAACCCTTGCCAACCTCCGAGTCGGTACTCAAGTGCTCCGTACTCCGTACAGTAGTACACTTTTGACACGGGATCCTGTTGTTGCATGATGCACAGTGCGCGGGCAAAGGCGAAACTTGTCGTAGTCGGTTGCACCATGCCGACGCTGGAATGGTGTTTTGTTGCATCCTTGCTGACGAGCAGTGTTTTCCGGCAATGCTGTTTTCCAGCGCGCATAATGCATGTGAGGGAACACAAGGGACGGAGGTAACTAACTAGACAAGGCTGGCCTCACGGCCGGAGACAACGCCTCGCAGGGAGCTGCAGCAAGTGGCAGCAGGGCATTTTACATCGGCCAGTCCCAGTTCGCAGACGACAAATGGGGTGGATGGCGATGCATGGTTCGTGATGATTAGCGGAGCTCTCCCTGTGAAGCCGTTGCCTGATTTGTAGGAAGACGCGAGCATAGCCTGCAACAAGGAGGAGATTCTAAAGCGAGTGAGGCTCGACTCGAACGCCACTTAAGACTTTGTCGTTCCAGACCCCGGGCTCGTGCTGACGAGGGAACACACGAGGACAGCGGATAGTCGACGGTCACGTGTTCAATGCTAGGCCGAATATCCCCTGCCATAGTTATCTGCGTCGACGGAAAGAAAATGGTTGACTCGCGACAGAAACGAGCCAAAGGGAATGACGAGCGAGATTCTCGGATCGGCAGACATGGCTGACTTGGTTGCCGTGGTTCCCCGCCCTCGCAAAAAAAGGCTGTCATGACTGAACTAGAGTAAATGTTAGTAAACCATCAGAACATGTCGACGCTGCCGGCTCTGCATGTATTACGGCGTGTCGGGTGTGTAGCCGCAAGACCGGGAGAACGAGCAGGTAGACGCGCTATCTTGTGTGGTGGAGTCTCCGTGGACACGATTCGGGCCTGTAAGTGGACGGGCTTGAGATGCCAGACAGTCAATCTGCGACCGGGGCAGATCGTCTCTGGACACATAGACATTGTTTGTATGCAGCCAACGCGCCAAGCACCATTCGTCGCTCGCTGCACCGTGTGAGGCCGTCTCTCGTTTTGGGCAGCACGTCGCGGCGGGTCGCGATAACGATGACGGAGACGACGGGGATGATGATGCCGTCGTTTCTGAAGTCGGACTCCTGTTCATTTGCTTGTTTGAGTTCGTAGAGGCAGCCGTCTAGCATCTGGGCGTGGATGACGGGCAAAATGGGGAGTCGGAAGCTCCGTACGCAAACGGTGCCGTCGAAGAAGTCATGCCCAGAAATGACCATGGGTAACATAGTACGAGTCCCTGTTCTGGTCCGTATGCCAGCCCGTATTCCCAGCCGGGAGCTGGGGCGACGCGCCTCTGACATTCCTTCTTGCTTGTTCATTCGGAGCAGCGCAGGAGAGGAGGCTTTTGTCCGGCGGGCATTCGAGTGAGCGAGGCCATACAGTGCTCCGAACGCGTACGCATGGTTGCGGCCCGCCTGCGTTCTGCGATTCAAAGGGCATCGGCCGATTCGACGTGTCGAAAAAGTGGGAAGAGGCACTGATCAACCAAGTCTGACCGAGGGTCTCAGTGGCCGACATTTGTTCAGTCCCCACACAGTGCCGGCTGCTGAGAAATCAGCGAGTTGTCAGCCAGTCAAGTGGCAAGCCGGCGGTGCAAAGGTCCGCGGCTGCTGCTCGCTCCTGCCCTGTTGTCTCTTGGCTGTTGCTCTTTCGCCCCTTGGCTACCCTCCTAATTGGACCCGGCCCACCCGACCAATCTGGGCCAACGTGGGCGTGCGGTCACAGTGCAGGCGAGGGGAAGCTAGGTAGGTGGTGCACGGAGTACGGAGTACCAAGGACGGAGCTGCCAGTTAGCGAGCTACCAGCTACCAGCTGCCAGTGGTCAGCAAACAGCTGGCACGCATTATAGAGCCTTTTCCAAGACCCCCCCCGGGGCGCCGCCATTCGCTTTTCTTTCCTGCGCCTTCTTCTTCGCTGCTTCCTCGCAACGTCATCTCTGACGTCTTTCCTTCCCCAAACCCAGCCTGAGCCCCTTCACGATCCTCGTCGTCGCAATCCCACACAACAGCGCGCCAGCCGTCCGCATCTGGCTTGCAAACAACGTGCTCGCGACACACACTATTTTTCTTATCGGCCGCGTGCTAGAGCGCATCTTTTTGGGCTGGGAACCGCCTCGTCGTGCCAAGGATCCAGCGCGGTGGTGCAGAGATTCTTTTTTTTTCCTCTCCGGGCGGCCGGTCTGCTTCTAGTCCGTTACCAACCAAGTCCCCAACCCCGGCTTCCACTGCGGGTGTCAATCTTCGCCCACTCCAGAGAAGCGCCTTGCTCACCTTTTGCGACGCTGGCAATATCAGAGGCTCTAGCGACTCCCATCAGAAAACGCCTCTGACATCTGTTGCTGTCTCTGACCTCACCAGCGCTCTTTTAATTTTTTTTTTAATTTTTTTTTTGTTTCTTGCATCGACCTAGCCGCTGGTCTGCCGTCCGCCTCCTCTTACCCCACTCGCACCAAGCCATCCATCCCCCCCCCCCAAATATAATACATCATACATCATTGTGTCACTATGGGGACTTCTCCGACCGCCGAATCGAAGTCCCCCAAATCGTCCAGCAACAACAACAAGACTTCGCGGCAAGGTGAGTCGAATTGGCACGTTTCTTCTCCGGTGTCTAGCCTTTCGCCCCTCTCCGCACAACTAACATGGGCTCGCCCATGACTCTCCGCTCGTCTGCCACTGCATCGTGTGTCTGCGTTTCTCCACCTGTCGTCGTTTTGCTTCGGTCGCAGCCCACCTCTGTTGCTTGACCTTGAAACCACCACGCAAGTCCCTCATTTATCAGTCATCGTTGTTCCATCGCATCATCGCTCACACGTGTTTCTCGTTACAGATACCTCTTCCGACTCCAAGGCCGAACCCTCCGCGAAAACGGACGGTGCGTCTAATGCGGAAGCCACCAAACCTCTCGCACCTCCGCCTCGACCCGGACAACAACCACAGGGCAATAATACGCCTGACTATTTCTCCGGCCAAGTTGGCGGATCTCTCAGCCTGGAGCCCAATCCATTTGAGCAGTCTTTCGGGGGCGGTGGTGGTGGTCCAGAGACCCCCGGAGGTACAAAACTTCCCTCAGTCGCGGCCTTGACCTCACCCTCTTCGCTGCTGCCTGTTGGCAACAATACCCCATTTAATTGGGGAGGAGGCTCGCTGCGCACCGGGCCGCTGAGCCCTGCAATGTTGTCGGGACCGGCCAATGATTACTTCAGTGAAGGGCATCACCTGCGAGGCGGATTTCCAACCCCCAACGAGTCGTCGTTGCGATCAGGACTTACACCCGGAGGCAGCGGGTCCATGTTCCCAGCTCCAAGCCCCAACTCTCAAGCACTTTTCGCACAGCTTGCCAGTGGAGGCGCGACTCCTAGCACAATCGACTTTCATCGAACTGCCATAAGCGCCGCCGCCGCGAAGCGTGAGCAAGCACAACCTCAAACACAATCGCAACAAGCCACCTCACAACCAGCAGATATGCCAAACGACGCAGGAACTACTGTCAAAGCAGAGCCAAAACAGGCATCCGGACCGTTTGATCCCCACGATAACGACGCCGCCAATGGTCTTTTTATGCTTGCGCAAGGCGCGCAAACCAGAAACGGGAACCAACCATCATCTCGCTTCTCCACGTCTGGTCCTGCTAGTCACGCTCATCCAGCACCGACACCTGCTCAGAACCCCAACACCTCGCCGCAAATGTCGACCGGAAACGCCGCGTCAAGAGGTGCCAGCGAAGGCACCAACATGTCGGAGGAGGCGGAACAAGCCAAGCCTGGGACCAGAGCAAAGGGCAAGAAAGCCACTGCTACGAATGGCAGAAGGAAAGCGGATGATACACTTGCCAAAGCTCCTCCCAACAAAAAGTCTAAGAGCAACGCTGGTGCAGCAAACGGCATGTCACCCGAGCTGTCGGACGAGGACGAGGACGACATGGGAGATGATCCCAGTTCCAAGTCAAAAATGACGGACGAAGAAAAGCGCAAGAATTTTCTCGAACGTAATCGGTAAGTCGAGTCGTGTTGTGCCTTGTATGTACATTTGATCCTAACTTGAGTCGTTAGCGTCGCTGCTCTCAAGTGTCGGCAACGTAAAAAACAATGGCTTGCCAACCTACAAAACAAAGTCGAAATGTACAGCAGCGAAAATGATGCGCTTACAGCTCAAATAACGCAGCTTAGAGAGGAGGTTGTGAATCTCAAGACCTTGCTATTGGCACATAAGGATTGTCCCGTGACCCAACAGCAAGGCCTGCACGGTAACTACATGTCCGGGGTTGTAGAACCCTTTAGCGCTCAGATGAACCCCTACGGAATGGCCGGCCCAATGCCCAACCAACAACAGGTCATGGCCGCGGGTCAAAGCATGCAGCGTCGATTCTCATAGGACGGGGCGACCAGTCCAGTAGGCGAAGCGCATCCCTTTGGACATGTACGACCCGGGAGCAGTTGATCTGGCCCCGCCCCTTGCACCCATACCCAGGATGCTTCGGCACGTCGTTATGATGAGATGTGGGACGCGGCGTGGACTTGGGAGTTGCAAACAATGCCTGCCTACCTGTGCTGGCAAGCTTGTCCGTACAGGGCTGGAGAAGCAGTTGAGTTGTACAATTTTTGTGGTCACTGTGGCATTGATCTGTACAACAATGGGACGGAATTACAAGATCTTCTTGTGGCATTGGTAAGCTTTGAAAATGGACAATTCTACGGAGTCGTCGGGCCTTTATTTCATGGTATGGGCTGCCGAGACACGGCGTGATTTCCCGTCAATAGATGGGTACGCGGTCCGGGCCTGGTCACACACACGCACACACTTATTCATGTATATTCTACAAGGCACACGCACATTAAAAGGTGTTCGACAGGGTCGTTTTGAGTTTGCTCGAGGCGTTGCGGATGAACTTGTATCTTGCGGACAACGCACTCGGTGTTTGATGGCCTTTCATGTCTTTCACGGTAGCTCTAGGCAACATGATGATGTATAACGTCTATATGAACAGCGTGAAGGCGGCCGACTGTGTAACTGAACGGGCTACGAACCACCATCGGCCTGCGGACTTGTATCAATTACAACGCACCGATTATGATGAATACCTACCTAGGTACTTAAGTAGTTGGCCTGCCGTTTGAAACGCCAACTGTACTCTACTGTACCGCACCGTCGGATTGGGTCACGGGAGCCGGAAAACACCCCGACACCTGCCTACATGGTACTTCACTTGAGCTTAGGTAAGTAAGTACTCAAGTACCTAGGCACTTAGGTACTTACCAGGTACTTAGGTAATCAGGTACGCAGGACTTGTAGGTATTTGTGTGAGTGGCGGGTGTCAGGCATGTACTCCGTACATAAGTATGCATCGTATTGTCTGCTACCCGCGTGGCAGCCTTGACTGACTCTTTGAGTGGGCGGGGCCGCCTGGCTGCTGCGAGGCGGCCAAAACGGGCTTAGCGGCACTGTTGGGGTTCCTCACCACCTCCTCCGCGCGTAAACAACATGAAATGAGCCCAAGTTCCCTCTCCCGGACGGATTATCGCCATTCCCGCGCCTACGGCTGCTCCCCATCCAAGAACATCAAATCCTGCGTGCAATTCGACGCCGAGAAAGCGACAATAGCGCAGCATAGACGACCCGAAGAACGCTTTCACCGCGCGGGCCGCCGAGCCCAACGCGACGCAGTCGACGCGACCGTTGCCAGGCAAAGGTCACGACTCACCACCACCGGCCACGCGCGACAAGATCCCGGCTGGGTGGCTAACCACCACCACCACGACGACGACCAGCGACCGACCTTTGGATATTGTACAGACCTCGTCGCTCACCACCCCATGCACTCCATGAAGCCGCCCAATTAGCCATCCATGACGACTCTCGTGGCGACTCAACGGGCGCTAGAACATCTTAGCATGAGCAACCAGCAAGAGCGCCGAAGGAGCAAGCGTCCAGCCGGTATGTTTTGCAGCCAGAAGCAGGAGGACGTGGGACACGACGAGCGATGGGGAATGCTGACATTGGACGTAGCCGCGGCCGACTTTGAACGGGACGATGATTTCCAGTTTGTGCGAAAGTCGAAGAGGTCCAAGACGGAGGAGCCCCCGGCGAGCAAGACGACAGGCCGAGGTCGTCGGACAACGGCAGACCAAGCTATCAAGGAACCCACAGTCGCAGCACCGAGAACTGCTGCTCCGTCACAACCGAGCCCGGCGACAACGGGTACACGGCGGTCATCGCGGCGGCAACAGGTCGACGACGCACCTCGTAAAGATGAGCCCCAGACCGAAAGGAGGCCTACGAGAAGGAGCAGCAGGGTTGCCGCGGCCGGGGCGGACGGCGACGCCGAGACGGAGAGCTCAACACTGCACGACGCCCCGTCGAAGGCGTCGAGCCCGGACAGAGAAAAGGTATCGAAGCCAAGACGGTGGGAGCCGTCGCCAACCCCGCGGCGGCCAACCGAGTCCAAGATTGCGCTCCCGATGAGCGACACCCCGGTCATCAATCGGAACAAGGAAATGCGCAAGAAGGCCGGGAAGGGCAACAGACGGAGCAGTCTGGGGTCGCGCGGCCGTCGAGCAAGCTCGCTCATAGAGAACGGACAGACGGCAACGCCGCACCGCGACGTGAACACGGCCGAGTTCTACAAGCACATCGAGGCCGAGGGTCTGCTCGAACCGAAGAGGATGAAGCAATTGCTCATGTGGTGCGGCGAGCGCGCCCTGCCGAGCAAGCCGCCTCACGGAACGCCCAATTCAAACGCAATTTTAGGCGGTACGCAGTTGAAAATGCGGCCCGACGGGGACCGACCAAGAAGGCCTTGCTGACTGGACACTAGCCCGAGCGATCCAAGAGCAAATACTGAAGGATTTCGCCCACCGGACCGACTTTTCAAACTGGTTCAGCAGAGACGAAGACGCGCCCAAGGAGGCGCCGGTTCTGAAACCGAACCCGCGCAACGTCGAGCTCGACGAGAAACTGAAGGCGTTGGAGGCAAAAATTCAAACGTGGGCCAGTCGATCAATCAATGCCTGGCGGGCGCCCATGGGTACGCAGGCACGCATATACGTGTGCGGTGCTAACGAAGACACAGGTTGCAAGATGAGAAACGGGCCTGGCTGGCAATACGCCAACCCCCGCCGCCCGACACGCCGCCCATGTCCTCTTGGGCCGAGGCGCCTGACATCGAACTCCCCGACCTGGGCCTCCTGGAACCCGAAGAGGTGACGATCCGGACGTACCTCGCCGACGAGATGGCGCCGTTTGCGGCGATGCGAGCCAAGACAGAAGAGAGAATACGCAAGATCCAAGCCTCTCTCGAATTCGAGGTGGATCAGCTGGCGGACAGCGTGCACAAGCTGGAGCAGAGGGTGTTGGTGGCGGGCAGGCAGGCGGATCAGGTCCTTCGGCTGAGCGCGGCGCGGCTCAAGGAGCGGGAGCAGCGGGAGAAGGAGAGCGCAGGGACTCGGGACATGCCTCTGATGGAGGTGCTGAGGAGTCTGAGTAACGTGTTGCCCGAGGGGGGTTGATGCCGGTCCTGCCGCCGTAGAACGAGGGTATCTGGAGGGGTCGGGGGGCCACGACATGTCACTAACGAGTTTGATGATGCTATGAGGCTACTTTTCTTTGTTCATCCGGCTCATACCTCATTGGGCGGGACGGGACGGGACGGGACAGGACAGGACAGGACGAGGAGAAGGCCTTTGCAGTTCTTTGGTCACTGTGAGCGTGGAGTAATGGCTAGGCTATGGCATTGGCGCATTGACACATTGGGTTTGTCGGATTGGGTGAATACATGACCCGTTGGCACATTGCGCCATCTACTTGTGTGTGTGTGTGTGAATTCGCGGCGAGGGAGCTCGCAGCCGTCGTCGTGCTCGACTGCCGCAGAGACGATGCAAGGCCGCGCGTGAACTGGAAGAAGGAATGCGTGAATCACGGGAGGGCAGGCGCGGGCAAGTAGGCTGGCAGGGCACAGTAGAACAACGGACAGACTATACACGTGTACTACTCGAATGATACCGACGAGCCACTAGGTGCCCTATCGACGGTACCGAGGGCGTCGGAATAAAGCACAGCTCCACGCACGCGTGTCTGGGCCGTCTTGAGCGATTCCGTCCTCCATCACGATGTGCTCGTTCCCGCCACGGTCCGGCGCACGGGTTCAGCGACCTTCCAGGGCCGGCATAAAGGCCATGCCGCCGCCGTCGGCGCCGTCGACGCTCTTGCTCCTCACGTGCGCCCTCAGCAGCGCCAGGACCTCGCTGCCCCTCCATCTCTCGGGCACCGGCCTGTACGCGGGCTTGAAGTTGCCCACCGTCTGCGCCCACTCTCCCCTCGGCGGCTGGGACCGCACAACCGCGTCCGGAGATGGCTGCGTGCTGGTGCTGCTGCCGCTCCTGCTCGCGGGCATCGACGGGTTAGTGGGCGTATACGTGTCCGAGGGCTCGCGCTGCGTCGCCCAGTAGTATATGTCCCAGTCGTTCTCGTCGAGCAGCGCGTCGTACTGCGTCAGGAGGCCGCCCGACATGCTGGGCAGATGGGCCGTTGCAAACGTCGACAGGAGGAGGTCTGCTTCGAGGGTGCCGCGCTTGCGGGACTGGTCTTGACGGGCGTTCTCGTTAGCACTCGGTTCTTCACTCTTCTCTGGCGCTTTCTCTCGTGTGTGCGTGTGTCCTCGGGAAGACGGACGCTGAAGAAGGGGGGGGGGGGGGGGGGTCGTCTGTTTCGCCGGCGCGCCTGATGGGGGCGACGCGGAACTTGATGCCTTGCAGTTCGCCGACGCCCAGCTCGCCTTGGGACGGCGTGGGCTCGGCCTTGGCGGACGAGTATCGCGGCGTCGTGGTGAGTCGTCGTCCACGGGGGAGGGTGGCGGCTCGCCGGGCTGCTGGGGTTGCGGGCCGGAAGCGGAAGGTCCGGAGCCGGAGGGACGAGGCCATGTTGCTTTTGTTTTTGGGTTTTTGGTTTTTCTCGAGTTTCTCGCTGATCTTTCCGATTGGTGATTGGGACGAATTGACCTGGTCGGCAGGTTGCGGACGGTGTGTGCTTGGGTGCTTTGCTGGATGCAATGTTGGTGAGAGGTGAGGAAGCCGCAGGCGAGGGCGAAGGCGATGCTGTTGCCGAGGACTAAAGACCGAAGTGGGGCCGGTGGCGAGTCGGCAACGCTCGCTCGAGTCCCGAGTCGATATCTCGGTTCGGACTTCTTGCCGCTGTCGTTTGTCGATTATTTGTTGGACCGTGCGTGCGTGCGCTGTCTGTCTGTGCTGCTCCAGCCCTTGGGTTTGTTATAAGTTGCTGCTCATGTGCTCCGTACTCCGTGCGTTGGCAGAGTTCCGCAAAGGCACAGCCCGCATGCACTTGGCACTGGGAACCGCCATACTCAAAAGTCAATCCACACATCGCTTGAAAGATGCCTGTTGAGGTCTACCATACGTGCTACCAGACAGACAGACCTCCCATCTTTTTCTCGCCATCTCCATACTCCCCTTGACCTTGTCCCTTTTCGTCCATCATAATGTACAAACGCCAGCACGCTGGGTTGTCGATAGCCGCCATCTGAAATAAAATACAAGGACAAATAGTGCGGCCAACCCGATGAAGCTACCCGGCCTTGGAGAGAAACTTGCCGTAAATTCGCAACCAACCACGCTAGCCTTTGAATTTCGAAACATGCGCTTCGGAAGCCGCTCCGGCAGACCCCATCGCGAGACTGGAGCGACAAGGGCATATCGAGCATCTTCCTTGCCTATCCTGTGTCGTATCCTGCGGAAGCGGGCTTCTAGATGAGATGCTTAGACCGGAAGTAAGCTCGGAGATACATGATCTGCCACACCCAGAGACCAATCAAGACCCACGTCGTGGTGACGCCGAACCACTTGACACGGTTGTTGGTGCTCTCGTTGGTGTCGCGGAGCTTCTGTTCGCGGTGGCGGAGGTATTCCATCTCTTGGACGATTTCTTCGGTCAATTCCTCGATACGGCGGAGCTCAGCCTCGACGGGCTTGAGTTTCTCCGTGGCCTGAATAGCGCTCCAGTCTTTGGCGTCGGCACCAATGTCGACGTCGAGTTCGATGTGGCGAGAGGCAGGGTTGGGCCGGCGAGCTACGCGCACCCAGTCAGTTGATGGACGAAACGCAACTCCTTGGCCCCGAGGACCGAGGACCCGCGGGAAGCCCCCGACTCACCGCCTGAAAACAAGTTCTCGAAGCAAACGTCAAAAGCGGCATCGGCGTGGGACTGAAACGTCACCCTCGACTCGCCGACAATGTCCCTAGGGCGGCCGTACTCGTTGCCCAATGCGTCGCGAACCTGCCATGACGGCTCAGCGTCAAACCTTGGCCCCCGATGCGATTTCTTCCAATCCATCCCTTCCGGCAGACGGACTGATGACTTACGTGCATGTTGACAACCATTCCGTCGCCCTTGAACCCATCCACCTTGGCCGTGACGACGACCAGCGTCTGCCGTCCCACGAAGTTGCGGATACACCTCTCCTTCTTGGTGTTCTCGCCGCCCGGGTGCGCCATCAGGTCAAACTTGAGTGCGTTGGCGACCCCAACAAGCACCAGCAAGCTGCAGAGCCACTGCAGCGTCGAGCGTTGTACTGCCATGGCGATTTTCCGTTGCGTCGACGTGCGGACGTTTACATGTACAAGGGGATATGGAGGGAAGGGAATTTCGTCGCCATCCATCCATCCATACACGGCACCTTGGGACTCGTGGGAACTTGCAAGGTGTCGCGTTTACCAAACAGGGTGTGGGAACAGGGGGCATCCAATCAGAGTTGATCCGCCAACGCAAATTCGCTCCCGGATCTGTAAGTCACGTGTGGGGCTCTGCCGCCGTGCAAACAAGCTCTTGGTCGCGACGCTGCGGCAAAATGCCAACGTCTCCATCGACAGACAACCTTCATATCGCTGGTGCCGATTGCTGCACAGGACACTTTTATTTGACAAGATGCCGAAATGTAAGTCGCTCCCTCCCCACCGCCTGACGCATACGACCTTTGCGCATGCTATACTAACCCGTCAAACAACCAAGTCTTTTGTAAGCCCGGAGCTTTCCACTCCTCTAATCCCACCACAACCGCACCACCGTTCGTCCCGAAACTCACACCCTCCAGGCGACTACTGCGATGTCTACCTCACCCACGATTCGATGAGCGTGCGCAAGGCTCACAACAGCGGCAAGAACCATTTGCGCAACGTGGTGGACTACTACCAACGTATGAGCCACCGCCCACCGCGCACTCAACGACAACCCCCCCCCCCCAAGCCATCCATCTGACAATCTGGCTGTAGAGATCGGCCACGAAAAGGCACAGTCCGTCATCGACTCCATCACCTCATCCTACGCCGCTGAGGGCCAGGCACATGCAAACCCGATGCTTCCCCAAAACCAGCCGGGCAACGCTTTCCTGCCGCCGTTCCCGTTCCCAGGTACCACTGCCCTTGGGCCCCCGTCCGTGAATGAAGCATGCAGCCGTGCTGACGACAGGTGTAGCCGGCGGTCCTCCTCCATTTCCTGGTGCCACGCCTGGTGCTGCTCCGGGCCAGTTTCCCCACGGAATTCCCCCTCCTCATGCTGGCGGCCGTGGCATCCCCCCCATGCCGCCCTTCCCTCCCGGTCCGAATGGTCTCCCCGTTCCTCCTCCCGGGGGCTTGCCGTTTCCTCCGCCCCCTGGAGGCCTTCCGTTCCCTCCACCGGGGGCTGCTGGCGCGCCTCCAAGTTTTCCTGGTATGCCGGGTATGCCTCCTCCGGGGCAAGGCTTCCCCCCCGGCTCTGCTCCGCCGCCGGGCTTCCCGGCCGGGCTCGGTGCGCCTGGACAAGATAGAAGGTAGGAATTGGAGCCGAAAGAAAATAGAAACTTGTAGGAGCATTATTTCTTCGTTAAACCTTGTATCTGGGAGTCGATTGGCGTCATGGGACGGCTAAGAAGCAGGCAGCTCTTAGCATGGGCATTGCAACGTTTGGGCAAATAAAACTCTACTGCATCATAAAGAGATTCATGCCTTTTAAATACCAAAGTACCTAGGTGGCTCACACATTGCACTGTCATCAATTCAAAGGCGCACAAAGTTTGTCTTATTCCCAAACACTTGGACGGGGCACAGAAAAGACGGCTTGTTATTGCAGCACACCATTATATCTATGATACATCATCGCTCGTAAATCTTTCCACCTCCTGATGTCGCTTCCCTCCAGAAAATAGCAGTCACCAGAAACAATACAGGACGGACCGCTCATGACTTGCCATTCGGAAAAAGGAAAAGAAGAAGAAGAAAAAAAAGAAACATGCGCATAGAAATCAAACTAGTAGCGGTTCATCGGTAGTCTCCATCTCACCATCATTATCGCATCAGCTCAATCAAACACCAAGTGCCCAATGCCCATACCGAGTAAACTTTGATGTAATCTTTCCCATGAAAATTTCGCTGCTATCATAAACCGTCAACGTCATGGCATTCGTAACTTGCACTTCCACGAAAGTTGTATGCGCCTTCTCCTATAGATGACTCGTGCCAGGATGCTTCCTCGACTTTTGACCGTTTTTTCTGTTCTCTGCCGACCATCATCGATTGTTCCATGAATCTTTGCTCCTTGTGTTGTCTATATTTGGTCCGGGTAAGCCCTTTGTAGACCTTGAATGTTGCTGTTCCTGATGACATCGCTGACACCATCGCGAACTTCCCTAGGTCCACTAATTATCTGTCGAAGCTCCTGTGTTCTCTTCTCTCGTCTTCTCTCATTCCACATCCGCGTCAGACTTGGGAGCCTTTCGAGTCTGCCGCTCAGCGAGGAAGAGCGGCGTAATTTCCCATGACTTGGCCGCTTCCGTAAAGAATGACCGCGCCAAAATCCCCTATGCGAGCTGTCGTCTAGTACGGGTCGTAGCTCATCATGAGCCTTCATCACTTGCTTCAGCGAGTCAGAACTGGCTCGCCTACGCATGACCCTTAGATTCCCACTAGGTGTTCGTTTTACTGTGCGGCGTTGGGGCCCGTTCATGTCGTCTGCCTCGTATTGTTTTTCAGCTCGTAATGGGAAGATCGCAAGAGTCTGCTTCATTTTGGTGCTCAGACTGCGTTTTGTACGACGTGGTCGATTGTCAACTAGAGGATAGCGATAAATCTCATCGTCCATCCGACTCCCGCGGCGACAGTCTGCACATTCGCAAAGCTCATCGTAATCCCACTGCGGCCGCCAACGAGGATGCAGCTTGTCTTGTTCCATAGGTTCGTCTTCCCTTCCCCCGTAAGACGGATCCATGTCGGGGTTGATGCTCCTGAGCCTTTGTGAGTCGAAAGACTTGGGGCCAGTTCGTGAAAGAGAAAAAGTTTTGGCTAAGAGACCGGCCTGCTTTGAAGCACTTGGGGGGTAATCTATAGAGTGTCTGCGCCGGCTTAGGGCTCTTCGGACAATTGACGACCGTCGACTTGGTTTCTCAGTATCTGACTCATCAAAAACCGCAGTTGGCTCTGCCTTTTCATGAGCTGGCGTTAGACCAGATGGCGTGGCAGGGATGAAGTTGATCGCGGGTGGGAGCCGAGGCGGATCCGGCGGCGCGCGAGGGTTTCGAAGGGGTGAATCGACTTCTTCTGATGACTGTCGTTGTTCAGGCGTTACTGAGTTGCCTTCGGGGCTGGTAGCAGTTATTTTCGGAGGCTCCTTGGACTCGACCCTCTTGAGACCCTTCTCCGTAGAGTCCGATGCATCCGAGGGTTTGGCAGAATGATCCACCATCAACACTGATGAATTTTGATGGGCATACATATGAACGGCTTGCGCTTCGGATACCTCGAGGGCGGTCCAGTTGGTTTCCACTGATACTATGGAGAATGGCGTCGCGCGAGAGGAGAATTTCTTTGCCGAGGCTGCATCGTCGTGATGATCTGCACTAAAGTGCTCAGCTGCATAGCCTCCCACTTCGGATCTTGAAGTTTGCGGAGAGTGTGCTGCCACGACGGGTGATGTTGGTGCTACTGGCACTGGCACTGCTGGTATGGCTTGAACTGTGACGAAAGTCGTAGGCAGCGCTGCAGGCACAATTTGAGACGGTAATGCCTTGGTGGCATGGTCATGTGCATCGTTCAAGGCCTTTAGACTTTCGACAGTCAACGAGCCAGCTCGGGAGACAGTGCGGCTTGTCGGGGCCGACAGTGAAGATGAGCGAGCCAGGATATGGGGTGGAATATCGATGGTTCTTCGCTCCGACCACTCCGGCATAGAAGTAGATCGGTCCCAGCGTGATTGTCTCTCGAAAGACGATTCTTCATTTGGGAGGGGCGACTGATCAAGAGGAGTAGAGCCAACACTTTTGGTCCTAGAATGTCGGCTTGATGTGGACCGCAAAGAAGGTTCCCTTGACTTTGGCTTGTTTGACGATTTTCGATCAGGAATGACAACTACAGGTATGCCTCCATTCTTCCATACTTCGCGTCTTGCGCGTCCACTGAGCAATGGCTTTGTGCTAGGTGTGGAAGCGTAGCTGTCACGTCGCCTACCCGGCCCATTTTGTAATGGCGATGGTAAGGGCAATGCATGATGCCGCAGTTCGAACGCATCCGTAAAAGCCCGTCGACCACGAGGGCTCGTCTCTCGGAGTTCCCTTCGCTTGCGAACATGTCGCAAGGTTGGTCTTTGTGGAATGGGTGAATTATCAACCAAAATAGCTTCAACCACAGTAGAAGGCGTAGATTGATAAGAGAGACCGGATAATCTTCGTGATTCAATATTTCCCCTCGGTTCTGAGTGCGTTGTATCCACCCCGAAACTTTTTTTTGGAAGGGTTGTTTGAGGTGACGGGTCGACCATGGCGGGGTTTTGAAGAGATAAACTTCGGACAGCCCTCGTCACATTTGTCGCCGTGACCACGTCATCTTCTGTGGCGTCGCTCTCCCTCAAGGCCACCCGAGTGGCCATTAGAGAAGCAGTTTGGGGGCGATGTCTGCCTACAGATACCATTCTCCCAAGGTTGTCATCCCACTCCTGCTCTACCCTATTGGGAGAGCTCCATTCGCCATCAAATCGAGCCAGTTCGCCGCGGGCCCATGGAGTGTAACTCTCGTCATGTTTCGCACTGTATTCGAGGGCTAGGTCCGAAAGCTGGGGTTTGACGGTATGACTACTGACTTGTACGGGTTTTCGAAGGACTGTAGCTTGCGATGGCGTTGAAGAGGTCAAAATAGATTGAATAGCTGACATGGCAGCTTCGTCCTCAGACAGCGGTTCCTCTCGAGCTGTCTTGAACGACTCAGTGTGAGAATCCGTGGTGGCGGTTGTAGTCCGAGAAGTGCCACGATCAAAAGTTGCGAGACGAAAAACGCGAGGGCGGCTCGCAGGGTGAGGCGGCGTCACATCGGGTGTTGGAGGACTACGTTGATCTGGTGGCGTTGTCGGTGGTCGTTTTGACGAGACTTGTGGGGTTTGAAAACTGATATCAGGATGTGAAGGACTAGACGATTGAGCTGGATAACTACCGGACGAGGCGCGAGAGCAGTTTGGAGGAGTCGGGGGTAAATCAGGGCCAGTTCCTCTTCTCCGCGGTTGGTGCTTCAAAGTTCGTGGGCTGGAGGCTTGAGAGTCGGAGAAACCGGGAAAAGCGAACGTGTCGATGAGCAGGTCGCACGCTGAAGGCACTGCTGATGGAGAATCGTCAACGGTCGGGCCATTTCGTGGGCGAGGCAGGACTTTGCGCTTTCTGAATTGCCGCTGAGCCTTCAAGCCCGCGTCGAACGGGCTTTTAACATGGTCGGGTAGTATCGGTGCCGTCATTGTGAGCGATGAAATGACGGCAACTCGGCTTGAGCATGCTCAAGGAGCGAGCTGAGGAGACGCAGGGATAAAGAGATTTGGATGCTAATGTTTTTTTGTGGTGGCTGTCTTGAAACCAGGGATTCTGTGCATACTGAAGGTACCGGCGACGCCATTCAATTGGACAGGTGGCTGAACGTGAAGTAAAGTGGTTCGCGGCCGCGGCGCCAGGGTGACCCTTCTATGACTGAGATGACCAAGTGGTCTCAAGGGCATCTAAAGCAGCAGATGCAGCAATATGCGCAAAGAGTTCCTGAGGCACGGAAGCAAGCAGGTATGTACTAGTAGCAACGATGGTGGAAAGGGGCGAGACAGAGACAGGTTTGGGATGGGATATTATGCGACCCGGCGGGTCCTGAAGTCTGAGGAGATGAGAGCCAAAAAAGATGAAAAATCAAATTAAAATTAAAAAAAAAATTAAAAAATTAAGAAAGACGTGAAGCAGGTGATGCTTGGTGGACCGAGGTGGGACGGTGGTCGCGAAGCCGGATGGGATACGAAGGACGAGACAAATAGCCTAGCGAGGCAGCGCGGCGCAGCACACGGCCGTGGCGATACTCTGTACGATGTAGTCAAATGCGCAACAAGCTGCTTCAACGTTGTGTCGGGTGGTTTGGCGTGTCAATGCAGATACATGTCAGGTTTCAAAGTTGGAGTCGCCGAGGATGGTGGCAGCAATGCTTCTGGTGACGGAGGACTTGGGGACTCGGGGCGAAGCAAGCAAAAAGGAAGGAAACGGTCTGGTCACTGGTGCTTGCCTACTACTAGTTAACTCGTCCTACGTCATTGGATGACATTGGCGGAGGGCCTGGCCGGACAAAGGAAGGAGGAACGACGGCGCCGTAGTGCCCGTGCCCGCTGAATGCTCAACAAGTGCCTTCCGCTCGCTCTCTAGCACCCAGTTCCACCCGTCAGCTCCACTTGTTTTCCATGTCACAAAGGCCTTCCCACAAACTGGTCGTACGGCACTCCGTACTCCGTGCCATCTGCCATCTGCCACATCCAAAGGCGACACGCCACCAAAAGCCGTGCGGGTCGGCGCGGAAGACTAACGCGGTTTGCGAGCGAATTTCACTTTGCTGCTTCCGGTACCCCACGACGCTCGAATACATGCTGGAAGAGGTCAAGGTCAACTGGTGTCGTCGGGTCGGTGCGGAGTAGAGGGACGTCTGATAACAGCAACGGGGCACCCGATGTGCGCGGCACTTGAGGTACTCGAGCACCTTTACATTGAGTGTGCTTTGCTGACCTCTCCCAGATCCTTGCCCATCCTCTGTCCATGTCCAGTGTATCTGGTTTTGTCAGGAGGGGAGATTCTGCGCAACTACTGTGAAGCCCCGGACGTGAAGACGACGCAGCAAGGTGCACGAACCAGCTGGTCGTTGGACCCTCCAATGTTTCCACTAAGCACGAAGACCGAGTCACGACCCTGGAAGACTTTGTTTAGCACTGTGTCTCGATCCCTCCCCCGAGCCGTGGCCATATCCACATAACCGACTAGCTATTATTGCACTCTTGCGACCGCGGACACCACCACCGAGCGCTGTCCACCATCATGGAAGATGGCCACGCCAGCAGACAAGGTGCAGACGCGCCTTCCTCACCATCACTGAGCAGTTTTCAACTCTGAACCCGCAGAGGTCCTCTGATAGGCCTGAACCGGCTGCAGACCACCCTCCCCTCTGCCTTCGTGCGTCGCCACGCTAGTCGACATGCATCACATCGGCTTCCCGTAAACAATGTCGAAAGCCCGCGTCTTGGTTTCCTGCTGTGCCCTCGCATTGACAACTTTCACTGCCGACTGACAAGTACCAAGCACTGGAGTATCTAATTTGACAACCACCCTCCCACCTGTACAATACGCATTACTTCCACTTCTTCTCTGCACCCCTACTCCGGCCCAGACCCGTCACGTTACCAAGTTGGCACGAGGCTGTTCCCTGCCCCCCGGGGCGTCAACACATGATGTTTTCGAATTGACACACTGAGTAGGGTTCAATCCCTGACTGTTTGAACCTGTTGTCGCAATTTCTTCGCCTTCTCATTGGCCCTGACAACGCTGCTAGAAGCCCTATTGCGCTGCATCCCGAACCTTGATCCTGTGACAGATTGATGCATTCGAGCCTGGTTTGCCTTGTCATTAGTCCACTCCCCTGTGAGCTATTATACATGAGGATCTAAAAAACGGATTGCTCTGTTCCGTACTCCTCTCGTCGTCAGCCAATACTCTTGTTTCAAAAATGGCGGCTGCGCAGAATAGAAGCAATTCGATTCCATAGATCTCTGCATGGAAGACATGGAGTCGGATCGGCATTAGCTGGATTGCCATGCTGCCGAGTCGGACTCTCGAGTTATCATATCTATGGCCGGTATCAGAGAAACACTACAACGTTGCGGTTTCCCCGACCCTCTAGCGAACAGCGATTACATTGGCGTTGAGTTCGTATGCATGAGATTAGACTGCCTCGGCAATTCCGAGCAAGGAAGGGCTACCTCGCCCCGAAATTTGGCATCGAGTCTTTGAATGATCGTCGCTGCTCAAGAACGTCCCATTTAACAGAGGAATCATGTTTTACGCGAAAACGTAGCACTCCACTGTTTAGGGGACTCTCAATGAATTGCTTTGTCCGGATAAAAGGGTGAACTTGGTGACAGGCTGACCTAGCAGTCCCATGCTAAGCGAGCGCTTTAGCAAACATGAAACACCACATCGTCATCGTCGGAAACTATCAAGGCCACCTACGTAGACTTAACCGTGCTATATATCCTCCTGAGCAGTATAGTGTACTGAGCATCGAAGACGTACTTGTTGCTGTCTCATGCTCCCCAGTCTTCCATACCACGCTGCCATAGCCACCAACTACCTTTGCACAAGCACCTACAGTTGGGTACCTTTTGGGGATTGGGTTTCCAGCCATTGCATCTGGATAACGTCAACTGGAGCACCACTCCGCCGGCAACTTGCAAGTTCCGCAGAATTTAAACACCTTTCCCGAGACGGAAAACCACTTGCTGGTTCCACATGGATTTGGCCAGTGTGTACAAACAGATGCCGATGAAGTTGGACATACTGGGGAGGCCTCATGGGCATACTGCCTCCTCCATCTTGAGAGACGTGGCATTAATCACTGCCTGCGAGTTGGGACTCTGGATTTTTTTTGCAGTGTATGGATACCAGAAAAGAGCGGAGTCGTGATGCGACGCACGATTTCAGCATCAAAAGTTGCAGATGAGCGAGTGGTCGGGACAACCCAACAACAGGTACCGACAACACGGTGTATTGTTGTCTCGGGGAAACAGACGCAAACACGTACTTGGGCGAGACTTGAGAAGGAGTTGGCCGATGTGGTATAATCCGCAGGGTTGTTCTCATCATGGCGGTGCACCTCATGGCTGGGCTACACAAAAGGAAGAAGCGTCCTTTACCGAAACCGCCAAAGCCATTCTTGTATCCTGGCTTGTCCGTCTTCAAAGGGAAACAACTCCGCTACTACAGGAGTAGCTCCTTTGGACAAGTCAAGACCTCAAGCGCTGAACCATGCTCTCCGTGTAGCAAGCAATGCGGCGGATCGACAATGCGCTTCGAATTGTGTGACGCGGCGGGCGACCAAGGTATCACGACCAGCAGAGCCATTCGATTTTTATCTTCTCTTTCACGGTTTCCGAGATTGATCCGATTTTGCTACGTTTCGAAATGGCCAGGCAGTTGACGCAGCGGTGTGGTTGGGTTGGAACAAATTGCCCGAGTCTTTGAAGGGAAGAAAGAGACAAAATAAGACAAGGCGATGTTGACACAGAACTGGAACGTTTATATCCTTCGAGTCGCTCCCTTCTTTAGAGTACAGAATAACAAGGTGGTGTTGCCAACGCGTCAAGGAAACCCGGCTACGCGAAGTCCAGGCGAGAATTCTTCCAAGCCAAGGGGAAGAGATGTGAGTAAACATAATCGTCAACAGAACTAGGACGAGCGAGCACCAATCGTTGAGAAAGACAGGCGTCGCAAAATATGATGAATGGATAGTTGTACGCTTAGCAGGGCCTGTGAATGCGACGTATTTTACACAACGGATGGCTTTGAGGGTGGACGAGGAAGCATTCACGACAAGCTGCACATCACAGGGCTCCTTCGCCCCAGGGTGAATGTGCCGAGTTTCGCATATCATTAGACATCATCGCCGAACCTGCACATGCTTACACAACGGCTCTCGTGCAACCAGGGGCATTGCCGCATGGGCACCTTTAGACGGCACAGAAGAAGGTGACGAACGCCTGTCTTGAAACTTTGACCAAAGCGGTCACAGATGGGGATGTATCCTTGGTAGAGCTGCCGTGTATCTGCGGTGGAACAAAGCGGACGGGTTGCTGCATGGACTACGGTCCATGGATGTGTCTCGGTTTGAAGGGATATTGCACGGTGCCATAGTTTCGTCTGATGGTAATTTCGTATCCGAGGGAATCGACCAGAACCCCGCTGAACAAATACGATTACTAGTTACTCCTGGTACGTACCCAACACGTGGGCTCTGGATTCTGGGGTTGCGAAGCCGCCGGGATATGCATGGAGATCTGGGTAGAAACGCCGTACGGACGAATGATGGGCATAGCAAGGAGTGCGCAGACAGCAGGGGCCCCCTGCGCCTCGTATAAGTGCCAAGGACGACTGTTGAGAAAACAAGAAGCTGGAAAGGAAAGGCAGCAGCGGATGGAGGCTTCATTTGATGCGTGGCCGTGATTGCCCTCGGTTGGACCATCGTGCAAGGCCGCGGATACTGTCGAGAAGAAAACGGCGAAAGTTGATCATGGAGGGGTCAACCAGCAATCAGCAAATTTGAACATGGTAGCCTAGTGACATGACAGACGCCCACCAAGATGCGAAAGTAGTGAAGAGAGGCTGCCCAAAGCGCAAAAAATGAGTGAGTGAAAAAGGAATATGAAAATAAACGCAATCGTTCGTGGTCCGGTGCAGATCTCATCAGGAGGACAAAAGTGGCCCAGCCGCATGACGGCATGGTCTTGTGGTTGCAGGAAGGAGCCACCAAGCTGTGGTTGCATTTTGCTGGCTAGTGGCCCAAAACGGGTTTAACGTTGACGGGTCTGTCTGTGGTGTGTGCGCTGGCCTTGGGCCGACGAGATCGTGACCGTCTTGAGTCTTGACTCTCGACCCTTGCGTCTCCCTAGCTTTTCCATGTTCCTGTTCCCATCCGTCCCTTTTTGTCCCAAGACATTGCCACAACCAACTACGTACTCATATTCACCACACGAGCCGTCTGAGGCCTTGGTGCCAGTCGATGCTATTTCACCGAGTACTGGGCCGCTACTCCCCAAGATCAGAATTCGATTCTCGTATCGGCGTAAACTGAAGACGGTGCCCCGTGCCCATGGATGGTTCGTCTCTTTCCAGGCCCCGACTAGGCAAATACTGCGACTCTTCCAGGATGGTGCTAGATATCTGACCTGTGACAAAGCAGTTGTAGGATGCCACCCTACCTACCCGAGTACGTAGTTACTCGACATCCACTATGATTGACCTCGAGACAACAAGACAACAGCTGTTGAACATCCTTGTTGGCTGTGACCTCACTGGTCCCTTCACTTGCTGCGCTTCGACATTCGCCAGTGGCCCGGTGCCACATCACCATCACCATACCCCGAACTTGGCACGCAACTCGTAGCTCCGCGTGTGCGACAATCAAGTTGGCCATGCTTTCGTTTGCTATAAGAGGTCCGAGCCGCCGCCACATGACTGCAAATTTCCATCCTCAACTCTCTTGACCCGACAGAGAGAGTATTCGTCCTTCGCTTGTGACTCCAATTATCCCGTCGTGGTTCTGCCAACATTTTGTTCTCTTACGAGACCAAGACAGCTCGCTCACTTATAACACACGTGGTTCATCATGAAGATCGCCGTAGCTGCCCTCGCTACTGCTGCGGCAGTTGTTTCTGCCATTCCCAACGGAGGCATTCCTGTCGATGCCAAGATCGCTTGTGAGAAACCCAACGTCAACTTCTGCCTGGATTCTACGACACTTGTGAACTGCGACGCCAATAAGGTGGGCACTCGCGCTTTCTGTCGCGAGAGCATGATTCCATCACCACCTACAAATGGAATCGGCTTGTGCTGGCAGAGCTCGAAAGACGCCAGCGATGCGGTTTGCCACAAGGCAGTAAGTCTAGACAAATATCACTGGGGTTAGGGTTGCACGTTACTCATTGAATCAGTGCGTCGTCTATCATCCAACGCAATACACCATCCCCGCCTCGCTTTGTAACCCTACATATATACCAATGGATGTTCCAAGATCGGATGCCTTTAGAACTCCTACTCAAACCGCCAGCCTTCCTGCGGGAATCTCGACACAACCAGGTACTGCTTCATCCAGCACTCCCACCTCAGGCGTCATGAGCATCCCAGAGGGCACCAGTCTAGGAACTGCCACGATTCCCCATTCCACTCATGGTGAGGTGACTGGCCCAACCGGTACCTCGACTGGTGCTTGGTCGCCTACTGGAACCGACGACTGCCCTGTTCCCACAGAGACTGCCACTGCTACCGGAAGGACTGGTAATAACACGACGTCTCATACTACTTCCGACACGACTGTCCCTACTGCCGGTGCCAGTACCAACCATGTCATCGGAGCTCTCGCTGCCGCTGGCTTCCTGGCTGCTTTCTTCTTCTAAACTCATATTCTAATGCCCCGAGGCATCATCCGCCTGTTGGTAAAAAGGCCTGTTACCCAGCCACCTCCAGCTCTGACGAGACCGCCGAGTTCGGTCAGAGAAAGGATGATTTTTTCCTTGGCGAGGAGGGGGGGGGATGGAAGACCTACGAATAATAATGCAGAAGTAGCGGAGGCAAGGCGAATGCCACTGAGACGATCCAAGCATGACACCGCAAATTCAAAGAGACCAACCCTGAAGTTTAACACACGAGTTGCATCAGGCCCTACACTAGTATATACAACAACAAACGCTCCCTCATTCCCCAAAACCCCTTGCCGCTTCCCAGACTCCGGCATGAGACACGTGTAGTCCGAGTGTGTAATCCCCGTCATTGCGTCATCACTTTTTACTCGCCCACACGTTCTCATGAAACACCCACAAGGACGGGGCCTCCTCGGACCCTTGATACGAGTAACTCAAGTACAGGGCGTATCGAAACATGGCCACTCTCAAGCTCTCCTCCGTCACGTCCTCCCTCTGCAGACTCTGCACCACGCTGTCAACCGTCAACTCCTCGAACCGGCGGCCCACACAACCCTCGCTCAGGCCGATCTCGCCATCCGATCCGCATTCCCTACAAGTGCCGCGCATCCTCGCCACACAAGGCTGCCATTGTCTGCCACGAAACGCAACATAGACAGCGAGCAGGAAACTTTGCGGAATGGGCAGATGGCAGGGCACGACGCAGCCAGGGGACCAGATGGATGTCTTTTGGCGCCTTCTCGCCTCGCGAGCTCCCGATTCGAGCTTTGACAGCGCCACATCGGGATCAATGAAGGACGGGACGGACGGGAAAGACCGAGGCGCGAGAATGGCATTGAACAGGCGCGAAGTCAGGCGCGTCGAGGGCCTGGCGGACGGCGGTAGGTGAGAGAGGATTTCGTGCAGGAGCTCCGAGGGCAGCGAGTCCATGTTGCGTAAGGTAAGGTATGGTTGGTGATGCGGGGGTTAGGGTTGCCCGAGCGGATGGCTGGTTGTCCGGAGCTTTTGGGGGGAAACTGGAATAAAGAAGTAAACTAGCCTAGATGACGGTGAGCGGTAGATATTTGAACTCTGAAAAGATAAAAGAAAGAAGGAGAGAACAGAGAAAAAAGTAGACAGGGTGACACGGTGCCTGGCTGCGCATTGCACACATTTAGTAGGTTGTAACTTGTGGCCTGGGAGCCGTCAAGGTTCACGGCCTGGATGGACCGCACGGCGCACGCCATGCCGTCGGTCGGGGCCAGAGTCTCCCCTTCCTGCTCTGCTCTGCGGCCGGTTGGCAGCCATGGCTTCGCGTGAATATACGATAATGCTTGGCTGGACGGGCTTTATTGTATGCGGGCTAGGTGTTGGCCGCGTCGACGGGATGCATGAGGTGGCTGTGGTGGTGCAGGAGCAGTGGTGCAAAAGCGCCCATGGCTACCGATGTGATTATTCTGCGGTTCCATCTTAGCTTGCTCTTCTTTTCGTCTTCTCGATCTGGACTGTGTCTGCGCGGTTGAAGTTGTGGGCGCGACCGCCAGGAGAATTATACTGAAGCGTCCGTCCAAAAAACCACGTCTCCCTGGCTGGCTATGGAGAGCGACACGTTGCCAGCTGGGCCATGCCGCCACGTGGCCAGCACGCGACGAGGACACTCGGTGGTCTTGAAGTATTCTTCGCCAGGTTGCTTTTTTTGTCCCCTCTTTATTGCGTTTGACACCCTCGTCTCCTTTGGCTATCCGCAGCAGTCGTCACGAGGCAGTCTCGTCCCTCCACCACTGCTGCATCAGCACAATCCTCTCCGTCCTCTCCTTGGCCAACCTGCGCCCCTCATCCGTCTTCATCATGCCCTCCAGCCGCACCAGCTTCTCCGCGAAATGCTCCATCGTGTTCCCCATATCCCTATTCCTCGCACCGCCAAACGCAAAGGCTCGGCCTATTCCCACGGCGCCGATGGCATCCAGGCGGTCCGCGTCCTGGACGACGGCCAACTCGGGATGCGCCTCTATCAGCTGCATCACCCTGCCCGGGTCCTTGACTTCGCTGGAGTAGCTGACCCCTAGGCAGATTGCTTGTACCTTTTCAGCGAGGGCCTCCGAGGCGCCAAAGGAGCGGAGCGCGTCGAAGACGAGGCGGGATGAATCTTCGCCTGGCTTGAGGTACTTCTTGTCGCCGACGTCGTGGAGCAGTGCCGAGAGGGTGACAGCGTCCAGAGAGGTGCTGGGGAGGGTAGCTTGGATGTGCTTGGCGAGCCGCAGCACGCGCTGGACGTGGTTGAAGTCGTGGGAGGGGTCGTAGTTTGCCATGTAGGCCTCCACGTAGTGGGTTACTTTGGCGACGAGGGCGTCGTCGATGGTGAGTCCGGACGACATGTCGGCGTGTGTTGCTGGTTGTAACTTGAGGAGGGCGGTGGAAGGGCATTGACTGGTCACAACATCAAGAATGGGAGGCACCGATTGCACTTTCCGAAACAAGGCATCCAATCCGCGTACCAGCCAATCCGGGGCTCGGATTTCTAAGCCATGTCGCATCGACCCGACCCTCCAAACCGACATGGAGTTCGGAGTGCCGCGTATGGCAATCGTCATCCGAAGTTGATTGACGGAACTGGGACCTCGTATAGGTTTTGCCTCAGCTAGGAAGCGATGGAGCAGCGTATTGGAATTACAGTACTCGGCGCGATTCGAGAATCGTGGGTGTAGCAGACCTGTCATCAAGTCAGACAGGCCACGTTAGTACAACTTCAACCCATGGTACGAAAGAATACGCAAGCATAGCGTAATATTGACGGGTAAAGCCGCGCAAAAGCCGTCTCGGCTCGCAACCAAATTTTCCAGGAATAAATTCTTCTGAAATGCTGCAGTAAATTTGGTATTGGCAACGAAAGAACACGCTGAGCAAATCTCTCATGAGCAAAATCGTCGTGGCACAACGCAGTCCAGCACGATATGTCCACATTGGAGAGTTCGCCGGACCTTGAATTGATAGAAGAGCTAGTGGTGGAACGTGCCGGACAAGCCGAGGACTGGCCTGTTTCATATGGTCAGATCGCCTCAAAGCCCGTTGCAGCCCGCGGTTAAGAATGGCTGCAACGTCGGTACCATCTCTGGTTCTGTTGAATATATCGTGAGCCTCCTGATTAGGCAACGTTTTGAGAGCTCAAACGGTTCTTCGTGAGAAGTTGCTCGGCACTGCAGGTGATTATAAGCTCGTCTGAGGGCCTGCAACTGCGTCTCTCCTGGTTGTGTGGTCGGAAGGCACTCGGTCCGTCGTTGGATACATCCACGAAAAACTGGTCGTTCTGCAGAGCGTTGCCAAATCCGGTCCGCATTTGCCACGCAGGTGACGGTATTCATGCCCAGGAACTTGGTTGAGATACGTGTCCCCTGCTTACGACACTCTGTACACGCCGCTGCCACGAGATGGACCCTCGGAGGCAAAATTGGCTCTGGAACTGGTCAAAAGTAGCAGAGGGCGCGATGCTTTCATGCATCTCTTTGGCAAGACTTTCTGCTAGCCTCGTAGCTTATCTTGATTGTGCCGCACCCACCAGCGTATGCTAATCGGGTCAGTAGTAATATCACAGTTTCTTGGCTGCCGCCTCTATAACCCACGCATATGTGTTCGATATTCCTCGCAAAAAATGCTACTGTAATGCTTGTCTCCCTATGTTCTTGCCAAAATGATCCAGGTCGCTTGAAACGCAAGCACCAAGCGGTCTGGAAATGCAGCAAACGTTTAAACACCCAGGCAATACGAGGCACTCTCGATTTGTTATCTGCTAACTTGTGGCGAAAAGTCTCGTCTTCAATGCAACGTCTTCGTCCGAGGCCAACCCTTGGATACTGGTTGATAGAAGGCATACCCGCGGCCTCGACTGCGTGTATTCTTCGCTTGTGACCCTCCTTCTTTACCCGCCGACGCTAAAACTTAGTGGCTGCACGAAACTCTAGAATGAGGGCGGAGGACTCGCACCATAATCGGCTTGTTGCCGCATAGTCGAGAGGTGATGCAGGGCGGTAGTTATCAGCTCAGTGGCACGAGGACAGGCCGCATAGCGTGGGAGAATCCGTTGTGTGATGGAGAGAAACGAGCTTCGTATTGACTGAGAGAAATGTTTTGTTTATGCTGTTCAAGTAGATTTCGTTGCTGATCTTATGCTACCATCTCGGCGTACCAGGACGAGACCTCCGTACTGAAAATTGGGCGAGTGTACGGAGTACTCCGTACCTGGGCCAGCAGTTGCCGCTTCAAGGAGCCGATGTCTTTACGTGTGAGGTTATCATGAAGGCGCAGTCCTGAGCTGCATTGCTTGTTCCCGTCAATCGGTAACTCACGCCCTTGGCCTACCTTGGCGCCTACGCAGTAGTAGTACGAACGAGGAAGGTGCAACGGACTCGATATCATCGTCAAAATGTAGCCTAGCTACCTAGGTAGGTGCCATGTCAGGTCTGTCCTTCCTCGTGCCATGTCTCGAGCCAAAGTGTAGCTCCACGGTTGGTGATGAGTGACGGCCCATCAATTGACATGCCGGCAAAGGCAAGACTGTAGCTAACTTCAATGGTGCCAGTGTCGATTCAGGCCGTATTGCGCCGTCTTCTGGCACGCATGCCCTCAAGACCAATCTGCAGAGGCAGTTCAGCACGCACCGACGACGGGCGAGAGAGAGAAAGTCGCCTGGCGGGACAACAGGGCACTACTACAAATAGAAATGGCGGGGTGACGCTGCAGGCTCCACATGGCCCACCTCCAGCGCCAGCCCAATCAAGCGGCACTTCTAAACGCCGGCATCCATGAGCGTGTGCACCCAAGTCCCGTCATTGGCCAGACTTGATGCCGCTCGACGCATCGTGATGCCTCGTGATGCCTCGTGATGCATCTATGTGCAGGCGCCCTGCCACTGTTTAAGCGCCGACAATCCCCTCATCGCTTGGTCCCCTCTCTGTCGGCTGGCACTGCTTGCTCTCTTCTCGGTCGCCTCTCTCTCGCCCGCATTCACCTCCGCCCGTCGTCCGCAATGTGGTGTCAACGTCGGCCACTGACCTGTGCCCGTAGCCCATGATCCCATGTCCATCCCACGTCCAGCCTCTCATTGGATGAGTTTCTTGGGTAAACAGTGCCATCGTGTCTTCTACTTCCTGCATGTCTCCCAAGCGTGCAGCTGCAAAGGTTTGTATGAGTAAGTCGAGTGCGTCAACCAGGCGGCATGCAAGCCATTCTTGTCGAGGCCGACTCTGAGGCACACAATGCGGGCTACTAATCCATATAACATGGGACCAACACCCTCTTCCTCGTCCCTTCCCTTCCTTTCCTCCTCAGCAAGTTCTGTGAAGCCAAATCCTCGTTTCTGTTTGTGTGTTGCGGTTTTCCCTTTTCCCCCTTTTCCCCTTTGCCTTTGCTTTGTAGAGCCGGCCTCTACCTCCTCTTCTAATATACATCGTCTCGAATAGCTGGATATTCCCGTTTCCTGCAATACCTCCATACACCCAATCTCGTTAAGTTGCTGGTCAGCTTGAGAGGCGAATTATTTACTCGTACTACTGCAGCATTGTTTCGCGCGTCCTTGTTTGCACTCTCGCCTTGATACACTCTCCCTAATAGCGGAACATCGTGGATTTTACTTGCTCGCCGACACCCATAACCAAGTTCCAAAATTTTATTGTTCAGGATCTTTTTCACTCGACTGCATCGTCAACTACAGGAATAAACAACATGTCGGCTATTCAACTTTCTTTCTCTCTCCGCGTCTCCGCGGGCGTCAAGACGGTGCACCTTCTCGGCTCTTGGGACGGCTACGTTGGTCAGCTCCCTCTCTCCAAGGACAAGTCTTCCTCCAAGTCCGGTTCCTGGAAGGGAACTTTCCGCTTCCAGAACTCCACTCTGGAGGCTGGCCAGCGATACTGGTATTACTACATCATCGACGGTTACCATGTTTCCCACAACCCTAGTGTTGCCTCCACCACAGAGCCCACCACAGGCCGTGAGCTTAATATTCTCGACGTGCCCTCTGGGAGGTCCGAGAAGCCCGAGAAGTCCTCTTCCCGCCATCACAAGTCTTCCTCTTCCGCCAAGGATCACAAATCCTCGTCTTCGTCCAAGTCGAGCAGCAAGAGCTCCTCGCGCCATCAGTCGTCATCCAAGGACAAGGAAAGCCGTACGTCGTCGCGCAGTCGATCATCCCTCTCCTTTGACATCCCCAAGGGACGACCTCTCTCGGTGTCCCAGATCAAGGCTCCCAAGCCCATGTCTCCGCACGCGACCAAGCACATCCTTGACTCTGACTACTATGACAATTACGAAATTGAGGAACTCAGCGCCCGGTTCGGCAGTGCTGGCATCGACGACGAGGATATCATCACCGACTTTGGCACCTCTCCCGTCTCATCCAATGGCTCGTCACTGTCATACCGCTCCGACAGTTCATCCCCCAGCTCGTCCCTCTCCGGCTACAGCACACCAGGCTCCGACTGCAGCTCATGCACTTGCGAGCGCTACGGCATCACCCGCAGAGGCGAGCGCGTCAAGCTCGACTGCGGCGGCTCCAAGTGCGGATACGGAGACGACAGCTCCGACTGTTCGAGCTACATCAGCGAGGATGAAGAGGACGAGGTCCACTACTCCCGCGGCCACTCATGCCGCCACGGAATCGTCGTCACCTGAAGCACTTGTGCAAAACCGTGAAGGATATGCGTGTTGGTCATCAGAGTAAGGCCAAAACAGAGAAATTCGGCCGTTCATTCCCTTGAGCCGGCAGACGTTGACGGACTCCCGTCATGCCGTCTGGCTCCCCAACTTCTTGTTGTGGTACATTCAAAACCAGTGCAACAGTTTTGCTTGCATTTCACCGTAACCCCCTCACTCGCAGCGAGGACAGCCGCACCAAGCAGGCCTTGGAGTACGCTGGCGGACTCGACTGCGGGCGAAGACCAATGGGTCGATGCTGCGGCCCTCTCGCGGGCGAGGCTCGTGCCTGCGGGAGCTTTCGTTTGTTACTTCTTGAACAGTAGGGGGCTTCGAAGGAGCACCGGCACTTCAGCCTCCTTGCGCAATCGCTAAACGTCAAAGATGGACAGCCTCGATTTTTACGGATCGTGGACCGGCTCCAGGAGGAAAGCAGGGGAGATGGTGGTAGGACACCTTTGTGGATGTGGCGAAGGACCAGCCGTTGGGACGGTCTCGAGCTAGCCAAGGGTGTATGTAGTAGATAACTAGACCAGAGGCAGATTCACTGCCTGACTTTTTCTTTGAATAGAGGACGCTTGAATCTTTTCATTGAACTGGGCGCGCGCATCCGTGGCGCTGCATGGCAGTTGGTTAATTACCCGTCGCGTACTTTGTCCGGAGTCCATAAAGTACTTAAAGTACTTGGTACTTACTAAAGTACTCAAGTTCCGTACCGTCACCCGTCGAACACCCCCCGGGGCTGCCGTCGTGGCGGGCGGCCCGCGACACCTGTGCGTGCACCGATTTGACTGACACCCAGCGGCGGGGTAGTTCAGACCGAAACTTGGAGCTGAGAGTCGAGACCTTCGGTGTCGGACTAGACCTCTGGGAAACATTTAGCCGGCCCGTTGTTCTGTTTCTTGTCTCGTTCCTTCCACGTTTCCACTTGACAATTTCGCAATCAGCAGCAGCAGCCCGTCCTCATTTTGGTTCGACACCTCAAGGCTCAAGCTCTCCGCACCAACTCCACGGCCTGTGGCTCCTCCCATCCTGAAGCTCAACATGGCCAACGACCAGCTCATCCTCCCCATCATCGACTCCCACATCCACCTCTACCCCGAGTCCGAAGTCGACTCTCTCGCCTGGTGCTCGCCTTCCAATCCCCTCCACGGCCAGCGCTCCCTTGCCGAATACAAGGAAGCCACCAAATCAGCCCCGTCCCTCCTCGGGTTCGTCTTCGTCGAGACAGACCGCAAGCATGGCCTAGATGCCGGCGAAACCGACGGCTCAGGCTGGGAAGCCCCCCTCCAGGAAGTCAACTGGGCCAAGAGAATCGCCCTCGGGCAACCAAAGGACGGGGAGGGCCATACCGCCGACGACGCGAGGCTGTGTCTGGCCATCATCCCCTGGGCGCCACTGCCCAGCGGCAGAGCCGTCATGGAGAAGTACATTGACCAGGCAAAGCAGGAAGCCGGGGACGCCTGGCCCAAGGTCAAGGGATTCAGGTACCTGCTGCAGGACAAGCCCAACGGGACCATGCTGACAGCCAACTTCGTCGAGAGCCTGAAGCTGCTGGGGGAAAGGGGCTTGGTGTTTGAGGTGGGCGTCGATCAGCACAGACGGGGCAAGAGACAGCTAGATGAGCTGGTGGAGATGATTGGCAGGGCTCACGACGGGGTCGAGGAGGACAAGAAGGTGACCATCATTCTCAGTAGGTCTCTTTCGACAACGCGGCCCAGGAAAGATGCCACCAGCATGTATGTTTGAACCGTGCTGCTGACGCAACCACAGACCACCTCTGCAAGCCCGACCTTAGCCTCTACAACATCACGTCAGACCCCTCCTTTCACGCCTGGCGAACAGCCATGTACACGCTCAGCAAAGCGTCAAACACGTACATGAAGCTGTCGGGGGGGTTCTCAGAAATGCCCGAGGCCCTGCGCGCCCAGGAGCCCGCACGCATTTTCCAATCAACGCTGGGGTGGCTGGGCATCGTGCTGGCGACGTTTGGTCCGTCTCGAATCATGTTTGGCAGTGACTGGCCGGTTTGTACGTTGGAGGGAATGGGCGACGAGGCATGGCCAAAGTGGAAGGACGTCGTGGAGAAGATGTGCTGGATGGCAACATTGTCGGACGAGGAGAGGGCCATGATTTTCGGCGGCACCGCCAAGAAGGCGTATAATTTGTAGGCAAGAGGTTGGGATGCCAGATGCCAACAGCATTGGCCGCCGTCTGTGGGTCAAGGTCGACGACAAAAGGGCGGCCAAGAAACAGTCTGTTCGAAATTGCCCCGTTGCAGCCGATATGTACGGCATCGCTCATCATCACACAAGACACACATGGTTTGTACAGATGTTGTTTCCGGGAACCAATGTGAGAGAGGCCTCCGCGTGTTGTCGAGGCTTCCCGGCGGTATCGTGACTTGAAGCCGGCATCTTCTCAACGAGCCTCGAAGCGACATTTGATACCCTGAGCCTGTGACACTCCCACCGGACCATGGATAGAAAAGCTCAAGCAAGCCACAAGTCAACCGCATCCAGACGTATCCGAAAATTCTTTTCGCTCCCATCAGGGGGGATAAGCAGTATTGCCTGGCAAGACAGCATATCCCGCTTAGTCCGCTCGACGACAGATTGGCGTGAAAAAAAGATGAAATTCAATTTGACCCAGACGCCAATTCGTACATTCATGACTCCCTTTCCAATGCCGCATCTACTTCCAATAGCAAGCATCCCTTTCCCCCGCGTCACTCGCGACGATGCTCAACATCAAGAGCCCCTCGCACCACGGCAAGTCTCTAATCCTGCCCTCTCCCCCGATAGCTGCCCATCTTCTCGATCGAACTCATGATCCCGCTCCTCCCCGGCCGCGGCAACCCGCCACCCCCCCTGCCCAGGTGCCCCGGCGGCGGGATCGCCGACCCAGGCGCCCTTATTCCCGAGCCGCCACGCCTCCCAGCACTGCTATATTTTGCATAATCTCTCGATGCCCTGGGCGTCTTTGCCAAATCAGCCCGTTCCTGCTGTTGCTGCTGCTGCTGCTGCGCACGTTGTTGCTGCGAACCCCCAACGAAGCTCTGCATGGACATCATCTCCTCTGCCAGCTGCACCAACTCCCCCTTTTCAACCCTCTCCCTCTCCAGCATGGTCCTCAACTCGGCATTGTCCTTCTTGACCGTCGAAATCACAGCCTCCAGCCGCTGAATATCCGCATGGAGTTCCTTCATCGCCGCGCTGTCTCTGGCCGCTTGCGCCCTGCGCTCCTCGGCCCGCGTTCTCTCGGGCTCCGCCCTCGTCGCGTCCGTTGCGTGCCTCTCGCGAAGGCTGGCGTTGTCCTCGCTCAGCTCCTCGACACGCGCCTCCATCTCCCTGACGCGTTTCTCCCAGCGGGCTTCGTACGACTTCCTCAGCGCCGCGACCTTGGTCTCGTGCTTGCCCTTGTACAGCGTGTGAAGCTCTCTGGCCACCCTCTCCACGGCGATTTCTACCTCCTTGGTCGACGCGGCCCTGGCCTTTTCCGGAGAGCCAGGCGCGTCTTTTGCCTTTTCGACGTCCTTTCCGGCGCGCATGCCCGCCATTTTGCTCTCGGCCTCTTGGTGCAGCATCTCGGCCGCTTCTCTGCGCTTCTCGCTCTCCTCGAGTCTCTGCTCCAGTTCTTCCCTCTCGCGCTGGCCCGCCATGGCGTCCTCCCTGATCTTGCGGAGGACGCTCTCCATCTCGCGTCCGCGCTTTGCCCAGCCCTCCTTTTCCGCAGACAGTTGCTCCTTGAGACCGCGCTCCTCGCGTAACTGCTCCATCGACTCGCCCACGCGCTTTTCGGCATCGCCAACTGCGGCCTTGAGAGAGCGGACCTCTGCTTCTTTCCCGCTCAGAGACGCCTTGAGAGAGCTGATTTCCGACAAGAACCCAGACTTGAGTGACTCCAGCTCACGAGGTGTGATGGAAGGGAGACTCCGGGGTGTCGGCATGGGAGGGATATCAAAATCAATCAGGTTGGCGACTTGACGACTGGGCGTCTCGGAGAGACCAGGGACCGCTCGCGACGGCGACAAGTCGCCTCGCTTACAGGGCGACCTTTGCTGCGGAAAGCGCATCTGGTCCGTGAAATCCATCAACAGACTCGTCGTGTTCCCGCCACCGCCGCCCGACGGAGAAGCCGGTCGGGCAAAGGAATCCTGCGGCGGCTTTGTTCGAGGCGTGTATCCGTCAAGCCCACTCCTCGTCGGGCTCTGTCCCAGCTTCGCAAACACCGTCAAGTTGGGCACCACCGAGAAGGTACTAAACGTGCTGACGATTGATTCATCCGGCCCGGCGGCCTCGTCGCCCTCCTGCTCGCCGGGCCGCACCTGAGCATCCGCATCCGCATCCGCAACTGCGCCCGCGCGAGGCTCGCTTTCGTCCTCGAATATCTCAATCGCCGTCTTCAGGCCCTCATTGCTTCTCACCATGTCCTCGACGCTAACCTTCCTCCCCTTCATGGCCGTCCCGCCGGCATCTTCCCCCCTCGGGCTGATCTTGACGGGAAACCTCGCCACCGGCGACACCTTTCTCGGGCTTCGCTGGGGCGGCGGTCCCATGGAGCCGCTCAGTGTGCTCTTCGGGTCTCCCAAGATCTTGAGCGGTGACAGCTCCGTCCCGGAAATGACACGACAATGCCGCGCTTTTGACGGGGACATGTTCTCCTGGTCCGTAGCACTGGTCTCCTTGACCGAAGACACTAATGGCGACGACCGTCGGGAGCCATCTAGAGGTTCGGTGCCGCAATCGCTCGCGCCCGTCGCAGTGGTGCACGTGGAGGTGTAAACGCGCGCCTCGTACTGCTCGTACTTCCTCTTGCTGGGAGGCGTGTCCCTGTTCATGCCTGCCTCGCCAACAGGAGACAATGGAGACGCCATGCTGCAGAGAGCCAATGCGCAGCAGGTCTATTGTAGAATGACTGCGATGTATCGACAGCGTCCGCGACGTCGGAGTTTGGTATGGCGTCGTGCGGCGCTCCGTGTGGGCGATGCTCGAGGTGCAGTTGTCGGATCCGCCTCCCGGTAGTGATGATGCAAGAAGGGAATCGGGGCTCTGCTGTCGTCGGTTTCCCAAGCGCGTGTGTTGTCCAGCAGGGGAGAGAAAGCCCATCGCCTTCGGAACCGATTCCACAATGCGAGGGGCCCCCCAGCTCTGTTTACTCGTTGGCCCAGCAACGCCTCTGTGTCGAAATCACGTGGGGCCCCAATCTGAACTCGGGACCGAGCTGGAAGCGAGCCGTCTCAGTCGCCTTGCTAGAAATCAAGCGTGAGCTCTTCGTAGCCCAAGATTAGCATGCGTCATGTGTCGCACTTTTACTTGAACCTCTTGCAGCACGACATACAGAGCTGAGAGGAAAGGGTATCAACCACATGGAAAGTGGCCTGCTGGCTACGCCTCTTCTTTCTTCCTTTCTCCGCAGGTCAGCCGTGCCAGCAGGACCCTAGGCTCAACTTCAACACCAACCTCCTCGGCAGCCGTGCACTTGTCTAGACAAGTCCGTAGAGTTGGGACCTGCGAGGGCCTCTTTGGCGGCGAGTGTGCTGCAAGCTCCGACTGTGCTCCTGCTGGGATGGCTGCGCTGACGAGTCTAGCCTTCAAACGCGCCTGTTACAATTGACACGGAACCCGAGCGGCATCGAGCCCGTGATGCCAGGCCTCGTGCGGGAGCAGTCAGTCTTTCTGGACGGCAGGGCCGCACACGCTCCAGCCGCCTCTCCGCCAGCGTCGACAGCGCCACCATCCATCTCCCTATTTGTGTACGGAGTACGGCACGGCCAAAGCAGTCTCGCAGTCTGCCGAGTCGAGCCTGCCGAGTCGAGCCTGCCGGGGGCGTCGTCGCATCGCCAGCCAAAGAGACCATATCCCAGATGCGCACCCGAGGCGCCCACGTAGGAAGGGAGCGAGGGGAAGGAGGGATGCTGCTGGGCGTGGTTTGCGGCCGTGCTTGTACGTGGTCACGTCAACTGGCAGATGTTCTCCGTGCCCGACGACCATATAGTAGTGCTCCGTACTCCGTAAACCTGCCCGAGACCAGAATCGTCGTCGTGCATAAAACGAGGCTGTGGGCTAATTCAGCGTTGAGACAATCGGAGAGATTTCATCTTGTCCTCGAACCCAAATACAGACACGCCAGCCCATCTTACGTCATCATCACTGTGGCGCCCACCCCGTCCCGCCAGGCTCCAGCCATCCCCGAAACTCTATCTTTCAGCTGCTAGGTACTCCGTACGTGTAGCCATAGCCAGCAAGTGCAACGGGTCAGCTTCTTCGTCTCATTTTCTTCCAAGACAAGAAATACCACCTTCGTATCAGGCATGACACGCTAGTGCAAGCCCATGTATGCATGTACTCTGGGTATGCATGTAGACAAGGGCACGAGACGAGGACCATGGTTCCTCGAGGCAAAAAAGCGGTACCTACGCAATACAACTTTCCCCACAATTCTCCTCTCACCGTTGCAAAGTCATCTCACTGTCGATTTTGGTCATAGTCGTCATCGTGTATATAAATATATATGTATATATTGAAATTTGAATAGCTTTTAGTCATTTCGTAAAGTCGTTACCTAGACGCGGTTTTGTCCAACACACTCTCTCTTTGACGCTTTTTGTTTCAACGCAATCATACCAAGACGGTGAACAAAAGTGGTCGTAAAGTCATCAAAATTGCAGATGCCTCTTTCGTTTCCAAGCCAGTCTTCCACCGGAGGACTCCTGTGAAGCTAATAGAACGGTGACAGAAAAATAAAACAAGGTAATGCCAAGGTAATGTGGCGTGGGAATGCCCACAAACCAACTCATCGTTTCTGGCCTGAGGTTCGTAACAGGCTCAAAGTGCTCTCGCTCTCTTCTGATGTGTTCGTATCGTTAGGTCAAGGTTGGAAACTCAAACCACTCGTAGTCGTAGTCTGGAATCGTTCTCCCAGCACATAAACATGCCAAAAAAAAAAGAAAGAAAGAAAGAAAATAACCCACAGCAAGTCATCAGTAGAAAATTACTTCCCTCCATGCAAACCGTAACTCATCAGGCACATACAGACGTGGCAGGCATGCTATGTAACATAGAAACAGTGGCCATCGCTCGTCAGCAAGTCTTTGATCCGAACAGACGTATTTGATGAGGCGATTTCCAAAAAAAAAAAAAAAATACAAGGCCCTAATCCTCTGCAGAAAAAAAAGGAGATGATATAAAGAAACATAACCAAAAAAAAGGCCAAGGCGATGACAAGTACTGATTGAAACAAGGAACGTATCTGTATTGTGTGGCGAATTGGTGGCAGCACCTCGTTTCTTATTATTCGGAAGATGGTGATATTGGCAAGTCTTTTGAGCTCAAACCCAACATGTCGCTAATCGTTTTCGCCGCTGCCAGTACTAAACGCCCCAAAAGCCAGGACCGTAAACGAGGAAGAAACAAGGTAAAACATAAAACAACGCTCATCACGACGCGTCGCAATTGAGCACTGTTTCAACGGCAGGGTATCATCACACTGGGATGCGTGGCAAGACAAGTGGCGGGTGATTTCTCATTCACCGCCTCCTAGGTGCTGTAATGGCAGAAGCCGGTCGGTTGAGCGCGTCGTAGGCTGGAGCTGGCACAGATGTCTCCATGATGGTCCTTCGTCTCTTGAGGTCTCCGTTGCTCATACCATTGGCTTCGCTTCCAGATTGCGACAAGTCCTCATCGTCTTCACGCCCCCGCTTCATGCCTCCCGAGGCACCATTCATCAGTGGTGGCTGTGGCGCATAGCCATTGGGAATAGAGTTGGACATGTCGGCAGCAGGTGCATAGACGTCACCACCCGGACCAGCATTGGCCTGCCCTCGATCATTACTGACAACATTGTAGAGGTTGCTGGTCGTCTGCTGGACGCGAGGGGGCGTGTTGTAGCCATTGTTCTGGGGGTAGTATGACTGATGCGGAGCCGCCGTTCGAGGTGTCGCTCGCCCGGAACTTGGGGGGTGGCCGGGAGACCCGGTCATATCAGGATTGATGTTCGCGTCGTTGGCCAAGTTGCCAATGCTTGGTGCCGTATAGTTATAGGAGGAGCGAGACTGATCGTAGACACCGCTGTTATGGGTATATTCTGCCTCATGCTCAGGTTCCCCCTCTTCTTCTTGACCGTGTCCAGACTGCTCAGATGGCATGATACCGTTGGCAGGTTTGGTATCATGCTGCTCTGTCGATTGACCAGGCGGGGCTGGTCGACTGGATGGCGGTCCCATACCGCTCTTGGCGTATGAGCTAGTCTGGCTATAGATGCGGTCGTTGGCAGGATTCGCGTTTTGATACGGTGACTGCTGAGAAGCAGAGGCACCATACATCTGGCGGGAGTTGTCATAGCCCTGGCTGGCCTGGTGGTAGGGTTGCATGTTCTGAATCGGCTGACCGGGGGGCGTCGTAGCCGGCGTGTTTGGCATTGAGCGTGTGCTGCTTATGCCGGATTCGATGGCCAGCGTGTTGGTGCCTGGCGCACCATTCATTGCTTGGCCTTGCCAACCAAAATTATCCGAAGTACCCATGCTGCCTACGCCGGCATTGCCAGGTGGTGTGGGAAACGTATGAGCCCGGTCAAGGGTTGGACGGCTGGTCATACCGCTGTGAGAGGGGAGAGACGTCTGTGAGCCAGAAAGACCCATTTGCTGGTGCTGCTGGATAGATGGCAAGCCGGGGGGAGGGGGTGGAGGGCGTATATGGCTCTGTTCTTGTTTACGGCGCTCAGCTGCTGCCATTACTTGACTAGTACGGGTCTGATTCGTGGGATGATAGAGCAGAGCTCCAATGTTGTGCACGAACAGCGGATAGAGCATCTCGGTGATCTTTTCCTTGTTGGCAAAGTCAAGAGCTCGTTCGTAAGGAATCCTACGAAGTGGTGTTTTAGTATATTGTCACAGTTTTTCTTTGGAATACCTCATCCATCATGCGGACTTTACGTACCAAACACCCTTCAAGTGCATAGGGCCGATCTTAACGACATGGCGCACTTTTTCGCTCTTCAAGATACCGTCTCGTCGACCTCTAGTCATGCCGGCTACATTTAACAGCTTTGTACCGTTGATCATGTGGTTGTCTGTAGAGGATGATATGGGTTAGCCACAAGCTCTTTCTATTGTGTACTGTACCACTATACGACTGGGAGTCTACTCGACATGTCCCTCGTTTTAGGGTCAAGTTCGGTAAGGCATACCTTCACGTCGAGCAACGCAAATTCCCCGGGCTTCGACCTGAAAGCACAAGCTGCCCTCGTCCTCCCACAACGTAGCGGTAACCCGTGGCTTCATGCCAGGAGGGGGATTTTGTCCGGTGGTGTCAAAGCCGGCGTAGTGGTTAGCCATTGACGCCTGTCCAGCAACTCCAGGCAGAGGTAGGACTGAAGACGGGGCACCGATGGAGTTTGACACTGCCTGAGCGGCCGAAGGCGACGTCAAGCCACTTGCGTACTGAGAGTACTGGCCGTATGGATTTGCATTGCTGTAATTGCCAGGCCCGGGTTGCATCAGATGCGGTGGGTGCTGGTACGAGGTGAGGTTGTTTGAAGTGACGGTCTGGGGAGGCGGAGGCTGGCCCCCAGAAAGATGCTGGGGGTAGTACATCTCCGGGTTCTGATGGTTCATGGCTTCGTAGCTGACCATAGTCGTCGTTGGCCCTGCGATGGTGTGTTAATGGACTGGCAGAGTTGGCGACGGTGGAGGGCAACAATAGATATGTATATTACTCATGTAAGGACATGGGTATTACGCATCTATTGGAAAGACAACAGGCGAGCAGGAGGGTCAAAGGGAAAGAAGGCGAAGGAGATGGAGAAGAAAGGGAAAAAAAAAAAAATGGCCGGCAGTCGGTGGCCGGTGAGGGCGAGGTTGAGGTTGAGGTTGAGAGGGTGAGGGTGCGGGTGCAGGTGCGGTTCAGACTGAGTGAGGGGCCCTACAAGAGACAAAAGACGCGGACAGACGGGATCCTCTTCCTCGCCTTTGAACTTGGGCGCGCCTCGTCGACTCGTCACTTCGTCTCGGCTCGAACGTACTCCGTGGTCGGGTGGCTGGCCACGGCGGAGAGGGAGAGGGAGAAGCGGAAGAGAAAGACCGTGCAAGATGAAGGAAAAGAAGGATGGGAAGGCAAGAGAGAAATAGAGGAGGTCGGAAGGAGGGTCTTTGAGGACCAGTTGGCCATCCAAGAGGTGCAGGGGATCGCGGTAGGGTCAGGTAGGGTCAGGTAGGGTCAGGTAGGGTCGAACTGGTCGGGCAGGTCGAGGTACTTAAGTAGGGCCGGCTTTGAGAGGTCTTGACCCTCGAGCACTCTCGAGTACGAAGTACCTGCGCAGCGCGGCGAGCAGGTCGACTGGTTGGAATCAGGTACTACTCGGCCTAACAATTGAAGTACTTTTTTTTTTTTTCATCGACACGGAGCTGGAGCGAGCGAAGGAGTGGAACCAAGCCGACTTTAGACCAGGAACCTTGGAGCTTGGAACCCAGACCCTGGAAGACGAGCTCTTTAGTGATTACCAGCTGGACACTTTGCTAAAGTCCGGCACCCGCGCCTACTTGGTACTTTATGAACCTGCAATAATATCGTACTTGAGCAGGTACTTGGGCAAGTAACTACGTACTTGCCTAGGAAGGTAGCTTTGAGCTGCCCGGACGGAAGTACTTGGAGGTAGCCTTCGCGTGCGGCCCCTGTTCTTGAGGACCGCAAGAGCTCTCTCCCAAGACGGCCAGGCCAAACTTGTCGTGTGCTGGGCGGGCGGTGTCTGTCTTGTGTTCATTGCAACTACCTAGGTACTTAAAGTACTTAGTAATGAGGCAGATGACGGTCACCAAAAGACCCCTTGGCGCGCCTCAGTAATCGAGTAGCATCGCTGTACTTTGTCAAATCATAACCCATTTCCACGTTCAGACGTTGCCTTTTGGTGCTCGACAGCCCACGTTTTATTCTCAAAGACAACGTGCCTACTCAAGTACTTACTTGGGTACCCGTCTAGCTACCTCGGAACCTACTAACCTGAGCTACCCAAGGTGTAGGGACCTACATACCCAAGTTAGGTACCTAAGTAGGTACCTACCCACCAAGTACTTGAGTAACCTGGCTAGGATGGCGCCGTCCCCTCTTAGTTACTCGCCCGTTTTTTGTTTCTTATGTTTTTCATGTTTTCATCGGTTTTTTACTAATATTTTTTGGGGGGGTTTTTCTTTGGGCGCAATTGGACTTTGTTTTATACCCGTGTAGAATTTCAAAACGGCCGCCAGGCTAGGCCGAGTTTGAAGAAGCAAAACCACACAGCTCCTCTTTCCCCAAGGCACGAGGCCGCACAATGCTCAAAAACCTTTTACCACATGGCTTGAACAATGCGAAGGCTTCTTGTGACTAAGGGCTTCAACGTTCCCGCAAGGTTTGCAAGCGCTCGGCGCGAGTATGCAAAGAGAAAAGAGTGGACGAGCGGCCGAGCGGCCGAGCGGGCGAGTGGACAACGGCGACGGCTTTCACCAGGCTGCTCCAGTCTGGAAACCCTGCAAAAAGGCTGGGTGGAAGTGGGGAGGGTCAATTGGTCCGTCGTGACACTCAAGCACTCACCTCACTTCACTGCCTCTGAGATCTGAGAAGCAGACGAGGGAGGGGACCGTCAAGCGGCACAGCGACAGCGACGGCGACAGCGACAGCGACAGCGACAGCGCAACATTCATCAAGGGCCTCCAGGCGCAGGCGTTCTCCTTCCGGGAGTCTACCTACCGTGCTCCGCTGAGTGTGCAGCGGATGATGCCAAGTGCTGCAAGTACGGATGTGCAAGTAGTATTAATATTTGTATGGATGCACCCCGTCCGGAGTACCGAGTAATACGGAGTACCAGCATGTAGAGATGGTGGTATGGACGTGGACGTGGATGCGGACGTGGATGCGGACGTGGGACGTGGTTGGGCGTGGGCGTGGGCGTGCGTGCTGGAGTGAAGAGGGGCGAGCGGGTGAGGGCGCGGGTGAGGGCGCGGGTGAGGGCGCGGGTGCGGGTGACGTGAGGGTGAGGGTGAGGGTGAGGGTGGGTGATGGTGAAGGGGAGGGGTGAGGAAGGACGGCGGCGTAGCCGTCAAACTCGTCGATTCGTCAAACTCGTCAACTCGCGGGCATGGGCAGGGGACGCGCTCTGTGTGTTCTGCTACCTCTAGCCTCTTGTTGGTAGGCTACCAAACACCGAGTGAATACCCGGTTGCTTGCTGCTTCGATATGGCTAACCAAATAGCACATGCACCCAACGAAAGTACGGAGTAGTTATTGACCATACCGCAGCGACATCATCTACAACCTTTCTCGGCCTCGGAATTGTGGATTCCACCACCCTTCCCCAGCCATTGAGTCGCCTGCCATAATTGGGCGGCGGGATGCCAAAGGCGACAAGGCGAAGACCCGGAACCAGTTTCTGGACGACCGGGGGGGGGAATATACGTTGGCTGGCGGGTGACGGTGGACCGGGCGTGGAGTTGGCCTGGATGTGCGTGCTTAAACCGAGCGGCGGCGAGAGGGGTCCAAGATCCATCATGATGGCGGCGGGTGTGGGCGTGCATGCGGTATTCGAGCTTGAAAGGTGAGAACTCGAACCAGTAAACTTTGGCTTGCAAATGTGGATGCCCGGTCGGCGAGGAAGAGGCGCCAGAGTCGCACTCCCAACGTCGACTTGTGGTCTTGGAGATGCCGTCCCGCCGCCTTTTGCCTTGGAGCTTTCGAATTTGGAATCCCTCCAGTACGCAAGGAATAAAGTCGGCAGCTGGAATAGCAGTACTTTACTCCGTACTCCGTATCCGCACGCCATAATGCTAGTTAATCACTTCCCCGTCTTGTGTCCGTATCCAGCTCATCCATCCACGTACAATTACCCGTCACTCGGCCAAGTCATCCAAAACGCTTCAGTATCACTCCGTACCAAGTGTGGAGTGCCTCGATTGGCGAGACTATACTCCGTACAGCCGGCCACAACAGAAGAGACAAACGTTGTCATGCTCCTGACCACTCAACTGCCCAACCTCTCCATCCCGTCCCTCCTTCACCCTCACCCTCACCATGATTGCTGGCTGGCTGGAGCTCCGGCCTGGCCTGGCCAGCTGGCTGGGGTGGTGGGTTCAATGTTTCCTGTGCCGTCTTCCTCGCCCTCTATCAACCCTGTCCTTCCTTCTTGCTGCTTTGCGGCTGGGTGATTTGGATGCCTGGCGGACCAACAGACGCCGGCCTCCTCCTCTGTCAAGTCATCAGTCTCAACACCGCCCGAGATCATTGCCCGTGTTTGTGCCCATGTCTCGCCATGTCTTGCCGTGGCTTGCCTCGTCTCAAGCATGATCGAGACCGTGGCCCCGCGCTGTGGCCAATGGTCTGGTCGTCGTCCTGTCCTGCGTCAACCCTTCCTCCTGGCTCCAGTGCCGAGTAGTGTTTGCTTGCTTCAGCGCGCGTGCTCTGCACGCTGTTGTGAGTTTGACATATTGCCGATATGAGTGGAAAAAGGACTCTCGCAGGCAGTCGGCTTGGGGACACATACTACATGCTACTTCGTACAAACATACTGCCTTGACACATTGCTATCAGAACCTCGAAGGTCTCCCAGCCCAGGCCCGTTGCCAATCATTTCAGGGCACCTGGGCTCTAACCCAGCCTCAGTGGGCTTTCCGCACTGGGGAAGGCAAGGGGAGACCGAGTCCGCACCCCGAGCCGGAGCGATCTGATGGGCCATCTGCAGGGCCTTTTTTCCTCTCGATGGCTGTCTGTCGCTGTAACATGAGATGATAGCGGGTAAGCAGGCCCGCGCCTAGCCATTCGAGCGGACAAAAATGGAAACGAAGTAGTAACACAAACCACACACACACGCATATACACATACCTAGGTACTCCGTACCTAGACACTCCTCCATACTGCATACGGAGCTGTGACCCGTGAGCTGAGCATTGGAGAGCAACCCGCCAGGGAACCTGGCAACTGCGCAGTCTGCGATTGTCGGTTCGGCGATCCGCAAAGATGCCAGATGGACGCCCATGAAAAAGACTCAAGCCACGGTTTCTCGAATGGAAAATCCAATGACGCCGAGTTTCTTAATGATTTGCATGTACTGGCCGCACCTGGGCGACCCTTGGCAGTTGACGCAAACCAACAGTATCCAGAACAACCGTAGCCGAGACCAACCGTACTTGGTTTGGCTGCGCTAGAGTCTCTGTCTCGCCGTGAAAGATTGTCTTCTTCTTCAAACCCCGAGCCAGCTCTGACCACAGCTGCCCGCACCTGCCTTGGCGTCCATTGTACCTTTCACTCTATTCCGGCGCATTGAGGATTTCCAAACCACGTTCAGCTGTCTGAGAAGGAGGACGGATGGCTTTGTTGAAGCTCGCTGCCGTGGTTGAGTTGAAGTCGCTCAGGTCAGACAGGATCCACAGCTGGCCGTCGCAGTCTTTTTAGATGCCAAGGGTGTGGATGGGAAGGAGTGGAGCACCAACGAGAGAACTATCAAGGCCACGGAAAACTCCCTCATCGGACTGTGTGCATGGGTCGTAGACTGGGCAGCTAGGAGGAAGCGCAACAAGCTCGTATGACAATTTGTAGCAGAACCTGTCCATGGCATCAATTGTAAGTCCCCATAGACGGACGGAGAAGGCAAGGAACAGGTCGTCCCGG